ACGAATGAATGTATTACCAAGATTATTATTTTTGTTCCATCACTGCCTATTAGGATTCCTAGCTCTACTTGCAAAATATTAGACAAAATTATATTACAATTTTTATGGCAAAAGAAGAAAGCTAGAATTAAATATAAGACACTTCTTTGCCCGAACGAAAGGGGAGGGTTAAACCTTGCCAATGTAAAAAACTACTATTGGGCAGCACATCTAAGAGCTATAATTATGTGGCTAACTAAACAGACAGATGCAGTATAGGTAGGAATAGAGCAAAGATCATGTCAAAATGTACAGTTAGAATCACTCCCATTTTTGACAGAAAAGGCACAGAGGAAACTTAAGATTGGTAATGAGTGGATTAGGGAAACAATGAAAATATGGTCAATGGTACAATAGAAGTTAAATCTCTCAAACTCCATCTGTAGAGCCACTAAAATAACAACAAATCCAGATTTTTTACCATCTATCATGGATGCAGGATATAATAAAAACGGTCAAAAAAGGTTTAATATACATTGCGCAATTCTTCAATGGACAAACCATGAAGTCATATGAACAACTTGCATAGGAGTTTAATCTACCAGCCCATGATTTTTATAAATTCTTACAACTAAGACATTACCTCCAGAAGCATAAGGAATGGGGGAATATTTGCAAAGCACCATCCAAACTAGAGGAACTATTAATGTCATTTACAGAGAGTGAGACAAAAAAAGGGATTATATCAAAAATGTATAAAGCACTACAATATGAATCTAAGGATAACAACATGGAGGTCAAAGAAAAATGGGAGTTGGAAGAAAACATTATAATAACAGATGAAAAGTGGGAGGAATCATTCAAAGCAGGGCATAAACTAACTAGTAGCCCAACATGGAGGGAATTTGACTGGAAAATAAAGATGAGATATTTTAACACCCCTTCTATCACTTCAAAATACAGCAACACATCTGAGCTGTGCTGGAGAGACTGTGGACGGGTGGGGGACTTCACACATACATTTTGGGATTGCCCAAAACGTTTAGAATTTTGGAAGAATGTTCAAAATGAGATCAAAAAGTTTCTAGGGATTACTCCTACTTTAGACCCAGCACTTTGTATATTGGGTATACTCCCTGATAGTATGACAGATGGAGACTTAACCTACCTAGTAAGAACTTTGCTTTTAATAGCAAAGAAAATGATAACCACTTCCTGGTTAAAGCCACAGCCCCCCAGCATAGCACAATGGAAAGAGGGGGTAAAGAAGGTCTTTATTATGGAGAAAATCACAGCAAAACTACAGCTTAGAACAGACAGGTTTTTTAAAAGATGGTCACCATTACTACAGGCAATGCCAGAACTCTTGTCACCTCTTTTTCCTTAGTGTTCATTTCACCCTTTTTTTTTCCCCTCTTCCTTTATGACAGATTAGCTTACTAGATGTTTTGAACAAATATGAAAAGAATTGGATGTATATCTTGTCTATGTTTTGTGTGTTATGTATTATGTACAATGTGTGTTGAATAAAAATTTAGTTAAAAAAATAATAGTAATAATCACCATGGTATTATATCATGTACGCTCATGTATCAAGATTTTTTTTAGTATTTCAGTGATGTCAAGTCATAACATCATTTTGTTATAAATTGAATGTTAAACAGACACCAAAATCACTTTAGTCTAATATTCCATTAAACCTTTATTTTCTAGTCTACCGTACAGTGGCTTGTCTGGGGGGCTGAAATTTAATTGGCCGTCCCCCAATGAAGGTGGTCGCTGATAGGTTATTAGGTCATTAGGACTATGTATCATCTATTGATTCTTTTTAAAAACTAAGAGTGATTCTGTTCTACTAGAGCCAAATTGTGCTGTGCATTTGTTTCCACATTTAGAATCTCTGCATGTGATCAATTAAAACGATGCTGCTTTACAATGAGATGTTTCTGGGACGCTGTTTTAACGAACAAAAACCATCACAGCTGTATTTTGTGTATGACACTCATGACAAGCAGAAAAAGGCTTGCGTACTTGAACACTTACACTTATAGCAGGTTACTTTGGGGGTGTTTGTGAAAGGTATAAGCACACAGCATAAGTGATACAATCTCTTGCTATTCTCTCACATTTGATAAACTGCAATTTGGTAAATGCAATTTCAAATTTAAAAAGATACTTAAACAGTGTTTATGTGCATTTACCCTCCACTACATTCCTGGCTGCAACTTCTGTTTTCTACCCAGACTTTTCTATTACAGATCTTATAACTCAATAATGCTTTCATTTAATCAACACCAGTGGTCACTCGCATGCAAACAAATTTTCCCCTTTTACTCCAAAGGGAAGGTAAATGTATTCAGGCAAATTTTTAGAATGTAAAAAAATATGGAATGAGTTTCAGACCCTTAGTTTAACTGTCAGTTAAACTTTGGAATTTACGGCTGTATATTTATACCTCATGCATTTAACTTAGGATAAATATTTTAGATGTTTCAGGAAAGCTTAGGGAGTGTGGTCATGCACAGGGTGGGTGAAAAAGGGACATTTATTGTGGTGTTGTTGTTGATGTATTAGCTGTAGTGTGTAGTTGCATTTATTACAGTAGTTGTGTCCAATGAGAGTGGTCTTTTTTTTGTTTGTCTACCCTCATTTACCTCCTGCCTGTGTTTTGTGTTGAGGTAGCACTGGGCATTTCACTGCCTCTATTGATGTGTCTGTTCAAAATAAAACAGCGTTTGGCTGTACATGCAATGTTGTCCATGACGACTTTTGTGCTTATTCAGTATTTTAATCCTCAAATCACCTTATCTGAAGGTAAATAATGACATGAAGCTGAGCCTGTATAATACACTGAAATAACATTAAACTAAGTAATGATACGCATTTGCGCTGTAGGACCATATGCATTACAATCTGGCAGTTCTCTTTAAAAACAAATTTCTCTGAGATGTAAATATGTGGTGTGATGTGACGTGCTTCACTATAGCCACAACTGGACACAATTTGGATTATAAAACATTATAGGCAAGAATCTTACCTCAAAATTGTCATGATACAATGTTTCAGGCATCTGGCAAAACATATCTGTAACCATTTCACAGAATGTTCTGTGAGGAAGCTTTTAGAGACATTAACCTCTTATCATATCAAACCACTCTTAACCATTTAATTTTGAAAAATTGGTGGAATCCTCCTTTAAGTTTGCATGGCCAGCAATCAGATATGTGTCTAATCTAGGACCACATATAAAAGGACCACTTCTGTGATGTGCGGCTGTGAGAAAGGAAGAAACACCAAGACGGACAAGAACTGAAATAAAGAGAAAAGGTAAATAACAACACTAGGTCAGTAAAGAAAACATGAATAAAGTGACAGTAAAGTTAAAAGGTACAAACAAACACTTTATGCTGCAAAACAAAAACACTGCCAGATCTGCTAGATCAATTTACAAGCGAAAGTGCTACACCTCTGGTTGCTGTTAAAAGGCTCTTTAACTGGTCTGCAACTGATGTGCCCTCACTAGAGTAGGTTGACCAGGTCAGCACATTGTTCATCAGTGATCAATGTTGAGTGCAAACTGAAATGACCAGTTTTCCATCTTGGCTCCTTTGGAAAGTTTAAATGATGTCACTTACTCTGTCACATACTGTTAAACAAGCTTTTCTCACTTGCTATGAAAAAAATCATACACCAGGTTAATGATGAACTTTGAATTTACATACTTGAAAAACTTGGCACGTATACCTGGTGTAGAATGTTGTGGACCCAAATGAGATTATCATGAGACTCATCAAAACTGAAAAGATTATGTGTTAAACATAGTGGAATCATTGTGCAACTATAGCCTATAATAGTAAGCATGTAAAACAGGAACATTGTACTTCATCTTTATGGTACTGTGAAGTATTTCCACAGTATTGGAAATTACTTTGATGATGGCTGTTATCTTTATGAGGCTTACACAACAAATAGACTAAGCACCAACGTACAGTTGTATGCAAAGGTTTGGGCACCCCTGGCCATAATACATATTTTGTTGGTTTTTGAAGTGAAAAGCAAACTACTTAAAAAGTAACTTTTCTGAAAATGTCTAGTCACACTATATTTAATTCCTTTAAAAAATAGAAAAAAAACCTGCCAGGAGTCTTTATTGTTTTAAGAATTTTCACCCACTCTTCTCTTCATAACTTCTTGGGAAGTTCTTGGGCCGTCTTGCATGCACAGCATGTTTAAGGATCTACCCTCAGATTTGCCATGACATTCAGGTCGGGAGACTGAGTGCCATTCCAAAGGCTTCAGCTTGCATTTCTTGTTCATGGTAGATTTTGTGGAATGTTTTGGATGACTGTCCTGTTGTAGAAGCCAGCCTCTTTTCAGCTCCAGTTTCTCAACTGACTGGTCACATCTGCTTCCAGATTTTACTGAATTTAGTGGAATCCATTCTTCCATCTATCTGTGCAATGTTTCCTGTGCCACTGGTTGCCATACAACCGCACAACCCCTTTTCATCAAATGCTGCTCCTTTTTCTCCTCCAAACTTGTTTCCAAACAGTCTCTGGCTTATCTAGATGTTGTTTTGCATTCTTCAGACATTGACTTTTATGATGAGGTCATAAAAGTCTTCCCTTGCTGAGTCAGAGAATTTATAACGCACTGGAATTGTCATCAGATGAGAACTCCTAATGACAGTTCTTGACCTGCTTAACCAGTCCCAATAAGACAATTAAGGCCTAGTAAGTTCTGAGACTTTACATCTGGAAGGGTGTCCAAACTTTTACACATGCCACAATTCTCATTTTAATCTTTTTAGCCTTTACTCACAATGTTTAATATAGCATAGTCAACCAGGAATAAAATAAATTAACAATTACGTTTAACAATTACAAACAATTGAATTTTAGAAAAGGATTTGATAAATGCAGAAAAATGGAGGGTGTACATACTTTCTAGAAAGTGTAAAAGAGACTCCGCTACATTAATCTTGACCACATTATCATAATTGTTCAGAAGAAATAAAAAAGAGGGGTTTTTTTTGGTATGGTTTATTTTTAAATAGAGTTGATTTAATTAGACAAAACAATCAGAAAAATAAAAAATAAGAGATAAATATCGAAACCATCCAAACAAAATATATAGCACCTTGCACAGTCCGTTTTCAGACTGCTGATAGTGGACATGAAGATAAAGATGTAAAATAACGGATCACAAATTATCGCGATTAAGTCAGTTATCATTCCGAGACTGTGTGGAGAACCACCTTTTCCCACTCATGCTTGGCATTAAGCAAAAACTGCAAACCTTTAATAGTCGTAACATGCCAAATGTGAATATTCATGATCTGATGGATTGCACGCTCTGATTTCTCTCTGTATTTAAGTTGCATCAACACATAACATCCACCAAAATAAATACTGTACATTAACTAGTCTGATGTTTGAACACACATCTGGAGGTATTTCAGTTTGTGTAAAAGGAATAGTTCAGTCAACATAAGCTAATGTTGTTAACAATGAATGAAAGTGAATAGCCACTAATTAGCAGTGCACAAATGGAGGAGCTCATTGGTGGCTAGTGCCTCCCATTTGTTGTTAGCCATGTTAGCACGTTTGGTCGAGCTATTCCTTTAAATATCAATGCATTTGCCCTGATGTAAAAGAACCCAAAAGCACTGCCTACTTGTCAGAGGCAAAGATCTACAACAATATGACTTTTTTCCCACTCACAAGAAAAACAATTCATTTTTGAGAAACCATCAGTAAGGTTGTTTAAAATTGATATGTCATACCCATGGGATGTGCTTAGCTACTAATGACCATAGGTGTGGAGAGCGGACAGCTGAGCCTGGCGCTTGCTGCTAGTCGCAAGGGACCAGCAACTCATTGTACGAGCTCAGCGAGAGAATACTACATCAGGGTTTATGGAAACTGTCATAGCCTTCTGGTTTTTGTAATAGCCTGTCCATGATATGTAATAGAGCCATATTTATCTGGGGACGGCAAGAGAGAGAAGATTAATAAAATCTATTAATATTACTTGTCAAGATGACAACAGGTCTACAGCTTGATTAAAAGCTAATGCATACCTAATTAATCAGTTAGCTAATTAGCTATAGTGAGAAAACCATATGTCACTTCATAGGACTAACTCAGCTGTTGTACGAGCACCATTAGGACATTTCACAAATACTGGAAAAAACCTATGTACACTTTCTGTTCTGCTGTCTTCCAGAAACTTAATCACAATTTCATCACCATTAAATGTCAGTTTTCATTGTTATTGTTAACTAGTGTCATAATTCCTACTTGAATCTACAGTATAGTGGATCTGGCATTCAAGCAAATAGGCATCATAATCATTCTACCAAAACACTGACTTCTACATGAGGACCACGGTCATTCTTAAATTTGTTGGTGGCGAATGTATTTTAGTGGTTAAATTACTTGCCCTTTTATTTCTTCTTTCATGCACTATACTGTGCTAACAATCACTGTGGAATATTAAAATTATCCATGAGCTGTGCATTCACTTCACTTATACATGAAAATAAATTTGACACCAATGTTGAAAATAAATCAAAATTAGTGCTGCTTTAACAAATAACTTGTGTTCGGGGATGGCAAACTCCCATAAAGTGAAAGGCAGCTGAATAATTACGTTTTCAGGACAGTTACATTCACTCTAATGCTTGAGACACTAAAATACAGAATCTTAAGATTTGAAATTCATATTTTTGTCATACTCAGTGACGCTGTATTTATAAGTTTCAACAATGTAAAAGACTCCAAACACCCTCAGGATAAAACAGGGACAGAAGTTGGTATACACATTTTTGATACTTAAGCTCAAGCAGCATTTCCATAGTAGGTACTAATAAACTTACCAACCCCCTTTGTGTTTGTTTGTTTGTTTTCTTTGTACTTAGAGGAGAAATCTTGACCTTTTACAAAGTTTTATGTTCACTGCTGGGGTGTCACACGCAAAGAAATAAAAACACACTGCCAAACACTGCTGTTTTTTTTATCAAAGTGACGACCACACTAACGTCCAATTCAACGTTTGCCACGATCTGATGTTTCTAGCATCCATAATGTTCTTTTTTTAAGCAACACGCAGTTAGGGACCAACATCCTTGGTCTCAGGACAAACACTCACCCATACACATCTAACATATTCAAAAAAAAGTCCTCAAAATTAAATATATTTCTGATGAAAGAAGCGAGAGGAGGGGTGGTTGACATACATTGCAGTCCAGCATGCCACAGCTCCCCTGGGCTGGAAGACAGTGCAGTGAAGATTCTGATCCCACGGCTGCGGCCGGACACGTTCTCGCACTGACCGATGCGTTTGATCAAAAAGCTTTACATTAAACTAAGGCCACAACGTTCTTCCAGAAAATGACTGCAAATGAAAAAGAGAAGAAAATTAGAAGTATTGAAGGGGAATTTCTTCTGTTTTTTATTTTTTTGCATAATCCAATTGTTAAAGAGGAATTCCACCAGTTTTTCCAAATGCCTGGATAATTCAAGCGTTGACATGTAAAGCAAGTCCTCCAAAGTGGTTTGATGTGAAATCTAACATTGTAGAGAAACTCACTGACTGGATTTCTTTACAGCGGTGGTGACGTCTACACTGCCAACACAGACATTTCATTTACTATCCAAAATGACCATTAAACCAACACGTCTTCTGAGTCTTTATATTTAATGTTGCTAATGATAAAATAGTGGTAAATCTGAAAAATATGGGGTTTTTAGTACTACTGTTCCTTACAGCACCTTGCATGTAACTCTCTACCATGAATGGATTTTAAAAAATATGTTATAGGCCAAAAGTTTATCTTAAAACTACTGTAAAATATTGTTTTAGGTGCCACGCAGCGTATTTGTAACCATTTCATGTAATAACTTTTTTATTACATGCTTTTGGGGGCATTAAATGCTTTGGACACCTGGTAACCACTATTGTGACCAATCATCATAAAATGACCATTGAATCTGCATATACCTATCCAGCAACAATGGTTTAAAAAAACAATGCAGAAATGTTTAAGAATCAGTTAAATTCCCCTTCAGGATGTAAACAGTCATTCAGAGTCAGAAATATTCACACTAACGATAAAAAGAACCAGACGTCTGAAGTGTTTAATGGCTCTAAAAGCCCCCTCGCAGAAAGCCCTCACATATAATGGTTATGAGTATGCTGTCTGATGCCTGAGACATAGTCTTTTATGATAAGTTTTTCATCTAAAATGTATTTTTAAAATGCAAACAGAGTGGAGAAGTTTAGGTAGGGCATTCTAAGGCACAGTAGCATCTAAAGAAAACTTATTTTTCAGAATTACCATAATTTTATCATTATCAACATTACATATAAAAACTCAGAAGACGTGTAAATTTACTGGTCGTTTGGATAGTCAATAAAATGACTATATTTGTGTTCTAGACATCACAACCCCTGCTTGCTATCACCACCACTGTGTGTGTGGTGGGGGGGGCAGGATACTGAAATGACCTCTGTGAGCTCACAAGCTTGCATACGTTCCACGTTCGGCATGCGTCCTTAGCAACGATCAATCAGAGGCATTGTCGCGTAGGGTGTTCATCCATGGAGTCCAGCTGCCATGTGTGTGACAAGGGAAGCTTATCCTCTGCATGACATCTGCAGTTGTTCATTTTCTCCACAACTACATCATACTGTTTGCTGAAGCCAAGCAAACATCAACCCTGCAAAGAAGGCCTTAAGTTTCTCTACAATGCACCATTTAATATCAAAATACTCTGAGGTGGAATTTTCCTTCAGGTTAATATAAAAATTAGAGGCTTGGAATTTAAGGACTTACATGAACTGGGTTAAACTCTAGGACTATTACTATGCAGTATCCAGGCAGTTGGAAATGGTGATACAATGAGATAATGAATTCCCTGAACAGATGACAGAAAGATAGCAAATGGAGGATGGGAGGGGAGGAAAAACACAAAAAGAGAGAAAGAAAGCAAGATAGTGTTCAAGTATGTGTGTGTGTGAAATTTTAATGGCAGGGCTGGAGACAGTGAATGGAGAACACACCCTACGGCTTTAAGGCACTTCAGCTGCTCCCCCTAGTGGTCTGACTGTGCTCTGGCGCAGGGCTGCTGTTTATCTCCTCTTCCTCCTCCTCCTCCTCTTCCTCCACCCAGCCTCCCAGACGGAGGGGGCTGGGCAACACCAGGCTCGCCGTATGTGTCGACTGCATCAGAGGCCCAGGTGCTGGGTTTGGGAGAGGTGGAATGTGAACGATATTTATATAACCATGTAAATTAATCAATCAATGACACATCTGTGCCCATTACTGTGACAACTCCAGTGTATTTTGAAATCATATGGTTAATGTAGACACAAATCAAGCGAAGTTCAACATATTCAATGGAAATGAACAGTAGTACTGAAATGCAATATATGCATATCGTTGCTGTCCAAACAAAAAAACAGTGTCTCCAAAATGGTAAGTTTAGAGGAGGCCAAAAATGTTCTTTAATTTCAATGTAAGTTAATGTAAAGTGATTTTATTCCAAGCAATCTTGGACCATTTCTACTGATCCATTCATCACGAAATTGTCACACAATGTAAACAAATTAGAGTCTGAAACACTGTCAGGTATAATACAACATGTTCTTAAAAGTGGCTCTGTCCAAATATACAGCTCACCCGCAGAGGCACCAGTGTCCCTCATGGCCACAGGAGGCTGAAACTGGCCTGGTCCACGCTGAGACTGGAACTTCTGCTGGTGGACCTAAAACAAACCCATATTAATGTGGGTTAAAATTAAACATGTCAGTACAGTACAATAACCTTTACACAAAACTTGCTGGTACTTACAAAAAGAATACCCATATTCTCAGCCAATAGTTGTCCTTCTACTTGTCAACACTCACTCCTTGTATTGTTGATATTTAAAGAAAAGTGTTTTTTTAAACCTCTTTTGGCATTTACACTTTCCAACAGCCCTTGCTCTTGGCTTTAGCAAGATACCAAAACAGAGCAGTAGAGTGAGGCAGCTTTATTCCAGAAGTTCAAAAGAACCAGAACCTTATTTTTAAAGTAAGCCTCTCAGTAGAATGAATAAAGTGACAAAAAATAAAATAAGAATAAAACAAGCTCTAACATCATTAATCTGTGAAAATAAAATCTAATGGAATACATCTATTCACCCAAAAATACCAGTGCGTAAAGGACACACAGTATAAGATTCGATTTCTGTCAGGGCAATACTTATTACAGCAAAAAATGACATCTTGGCAAGTGAAATCATCTTAAACCCTGTCAATAAACCTAATATTTCTCATTTTGAGACTGTTGTAAGAATATTAATAAATATTAATAATATTTACATTTAGCTTAACTCATTAACTTAATTTTAGGCAATTTACATGTTTAAAGTCCTTTTATATGGTCAAATTCTGCTGACAAGCACTTGAAACAAGGAAGACACCTTCTCTACATAAAATTAACCACCTTTAAGATGTTTTCACTTTCCAAGATATCATGTTTAGCAGTGATGCTAGCCTCCCACTATTTTATGAATGATTTCACCAGTCATTCTACCCTAACTAGCAGGGAGTTGCAAGCCTGATGCTGAAGGTTAAAGAGCAGCCAACTGGACATTTGTTATTTGAAAACCGTTTTTATGTAAGAGTGAAGCTGAATCGAGATTAAAATTGACTTGGTACGGAACTTACACTGAAAATGTATTGCGGAATTCTGAGGGCACAGGTACAGATTATACAAGACTTAAGGCCATAAATCAGTGAGCACATCCTGATGATATCTAGACAAGGCACATATAGAACAGATGTTAATTTTGTATTTGGGCTACAGAAAGTGATCACTGGAACACTGGAAGTCAGTTAATGTACGTAAACAATGCACTACAATATAGTTTTGTTAAGGGCACCTCCTATTATCGCAGTATGATTGTTTTACCACCATTCAATTTCACATCTTTATACTGACAGTTCATTAGTTCATCTGAACCTTGTGATGTAGTCAGTGTGCAACATACACCCTGGCACTGGGGGGGTCCTTCACTGGCTTGCGACTCCAGCATTGGCTGGATGCTATATTACTTTCCAGAGCTCCGCTGATGCTAGCTTCAATGGCACAAAAATGTTTGGTTGAAACAGTGCTGTTAACAAGGAGAGAGGACCTGGTTAACATTAGCTTATCTAGCTTGCTACCAACTCTGCTCACCACAGAACAGGTTCAGTTCTGATTAACACAAGCTACAGTGAAGTTTCAATGATAATGACTCAAATTTGAGGAAGCGAGTTAAATAGCTGTATTGGAGAGACAAAAAGCCGAAATTAAACCTGTTCCATGGTGGTTTGGATCTGTAGCTTCTTAAGCTGGCTCATCTCTCCTAGTTAACTTAGCTAGTAGCTTATGTATAAGTATATGTTTGACTTCAACTAACTGGTGCTTTGCTGTTACAAATGTAGAACATAAAAACTAAACTCTGGGGGAACAAAGTTGAGTGACTGATGTTGAAGTGACAGAAAACAAACTTGCTCTGTAGTGTTCTCAACTGTAGCCTGCTGGGCTAGGCTAATACTAATGTAATGTTAGCAGGCTAAAAATGTCACTCACTGCAGTACAGGCTTGGTTCACCCTAACTGATGCTGACATGAGGACTCTGAGAGCACAAAAGCAAGTGTGAGCAAAAAATTAACTGTGGTGTATGTGTGGCTATTAGCCAGTTAGCCGTCACTGAACTACCAGTGTATTTTTTCTTCAGTATTTCCTGGTTCTGAGGACAGCAAATGGAAAAAGAAACTGTAACCGGTCTCGAGTCCACACCAGTGCAGAACAGGACAGTATAGCCCTGAGAATCTTTTGGCCCTGAGTATGTTTGTTTTACTTAAAAATATTGTAACTACTCATAAAAAAGGTGACAACTGACACTTGTAGAGTAGACGCTTCATTTGCAGTGTACAACATGGAGGTAAATCGTATTAGAGATGCACAAAATAGGTGCACTTACCTCATGCATGTATATGGCATGCAGGCTCATTTCTGCAGAAGCAAACTCAGACAGCAGGGCCGTGTTGGACTGGCCAACGATCTTGGAGTCACTGACAGACATGCTAGATTAAAATGAAAAAGTTTAATCCATCAATTCGCTGCAGTTTAATTCTGATAAGAGCCTATTAGCAATGCTATTTAATTTCCTTAGCTTTCCTAATTCAAATGACTGGGAATTATTGCTCTAAATGAAAGGGCAGATCAATTAGCTTCAGTGTGATGCTAATTTGAGTCATTAGCAGTGTTGTTTAATTTCCTAATTTATTTTAATTACTTAATAATTCAACTGACACAGAGTTATTGCCTTAATTTGGTTCAAACAAAATGGGCTTGGTAGGGAGTTATTCTTCAACAGACCAATAATTCAGCAAAAACTACAGTGAGACATTCAGAATAACAAGCTGGCATGACTAATGTATTCATTTTTGCATTCATGTTTTGTTTGTTTTAACACTATTTGCCCTGGCTCACTGAATATCACTTTGAATTAAAGTATGATGTTACAGTTATGGGCTGTGGTCAGGAGCACATGTACCTGTCTGTGGCAGAGCGGTCACTGTGGTACATGGGGCCTTCATGGTGGTGGTGGGCAGAAGGCAGGAGGACGTGTGAGCGGGAACGGCCTGCATGGGGCTGCTGGGAGGAAGAGAGTGAGGCCAGCACGCTGGCTGCGGCAGAGGCTGTGCTGCTTGGAGGAACGAAGCGACGGTTCCACCCTGGCAAACCGGATGCAGTCAGCACCGGGTGGGCCAGTACACTTGCCAACAGATTGTCAGGCTGTGAGGGAAAACGGCCAACAGACACAGCAAAGCACAGAGGAAGTAATTAGTAGAGGTGGCTAATATGTCAAAAATACACATTATACTTCAAGACATTCTCACAATACATGATAAGCTTCACAATATCTCGTCTGATAAGTTGGAACAGACAAAAATGAATTAGCTGTGCAACATTTTAAAAAATACTATCAAAAATGTAAATTTTATTCAATGTTTCACATACTGCACTAAATCCAGTTAAACAAGACTAATTATGCTCTTTTTTGTAACGGAACATGCAGTTAGTCAGTGTTCTTTACGTACTGACAATATCCACAATATGCTCAGAAAATCTTTTTGTAATCATCCTTGTTCTGCTGGTGATTTCAAATGTGCATTCTACAATTTCTCAAATGAATGCCCTGAGTCTCTATTATTAAAAGCGCTTGGGAGTTACTCGAGGTGTGGGGTGTGTGGGATGGTATACTTTCTGGATTGACTCCTTCTCAAGCTGCGCTATCCATGGTCTTCTAAAATTTACGGTGGTACACCGCACGCACTTATCAAAATCTAAGCTCGCCAAAATCGGGGCCTTTTCTCATTTTACTGTTGTTCATATAGAACCCACTCCACCCACTGGTTTGTCTGGAGTCACTAAAGAACACCCATTTATGTCCAGTAACCAATCTGATACAAAAGCATATACTTCTTTTATAGCAAGGCGCTTAATTCTACTAAACTGGAAGAGCTGCCTTTCTCCTCTTTTTTGCCATTAGATAAGAAACACTTAAAATCAATTACACAAAGTAAGGGTCAAATGTTAAGTTTTATTCCCACTGGAAACCGTTTCTGTCCTAAGTGGATGGTCTTTTCAGTATTCCCTCTTCATTACACTGTATATAAACACATGAACAATTAATTTTTTTAAGGTTGTGCAGACCTTTTCCACCTTTTTCCTGTTTTGGTCTCTTTCTATTCCCCTGTGTTACTGATATGCCCTTGTTTCTATTATTTCTCTCACTATTTAAAAAAAATTGTTAAGATTCTACCTCTAATCTGTAAAACCTGTAAGAAAGCAATAAAATATACTTTGCTCAGAAAAGCATGTTGTGACATAGTAGGACATAATCTAGCATAATAATGATAACTATTGTCACGTTGCCTATGCCTAGTAATTAGTCATTTATCATGCAACAGGGGTTTCTGCAAGTGCAGTTTAGAACAAAAAAAAACGCCTAAAACACAAAAAAAAAATCACAAAATTATCAAAAACAATCCAGGATCAATCACTTTTATGCGAGCTGCATACATTAATTTAATGTTACAGGGAAAACTACTCTGATTTTCTTTACAATGGTGGTGACAGGAACCGGGGATTGAACTGTCTACAACACAAATTACACTTAGAAAAATATAAACACAACACTTGAAAAGGTTTTACTGAAACCCCACAAAAACAGACAGGGTCGTTACACAGTTCCCTCATCAGTATCTGGTGTGACCACCACTCGCTTGTAGCATCGTAATTTATTTCTAAAAAAAATCCAAATGGATGCTTTATGCATAAAACAAAAGCTCAGACATCACACAGCATATTTGTTACCACTCCAGGTAATAAGGTCCAACGTGGTAGCTTTTAGAGGCATTTCAGATATCTGCTTCCTGTCAACACCACTGTGAACAATCAGAAATTAACATGAAACCACTCCGAACTACTTTGTCTGTTTGAGTTTGTTTGTAACAAAATAATTATGCAGAGATTTTGAAAAATTGGTGAAATTCCCTTTTACACTTTCTGTTTTTTGACTCATAACAATGTAAAATAGTTTCATGTTGGTACATCTGAATACTATTTGCTTAACAAAGGGTAATTCTTAATAGGAAAACGGGTTATAATGTCCATTCCTAAACAACACAGGCAAAGACGTAATGCACTCGATACTGGAATTTTAGTCCATTTTTTTTTACGAATCTAGCCACTAGCATTAAGGGACAAGACAATGCCAAAATGAATCATGTTCTCATATTATCAGGTGTGACGTTTCACAATTAACTGAAAATAAGAAAGTATTAATAGTCATTATAACAAAGAAAGTATTAAAGTCATCACTGTTGTACCTGTGGCACCTAACTGAACACCAAGAAAACTGCACTCCATCATTCTCCATATTCCACAAAGAAACTGTGGATAGTTATAGCCAGTATGATGCTCCTATACACAAAGATTGCACATTTCCACCTAGGGGTGGGCAAAATAATGACATTTATTTTATCACTTTAGTGAGCATATGGTAGATATCATTAGTAAATAAAGAACACTGACCAACTGCATGTGTCATTTCAAAGGGAGCATAATTAGTCCTGTTTAATTTAGTGCAGTGCACGGTGTGAAATCTTTATATAATCATCATATTTATAGTTTATGACAGTATTTTTGTTTTTAAATGTGGCACTGCTGGAGCTTTTTTGCCTGTTCTAACTTAACAAACTGGTCTTTTCCACTTACTAAAAACCAAATATTGTGATATATATCATGAAAAAATATTTTGAGGTATCATATATGATATTGTATTTTTGCCACACCACCCTACCAAATGACAAATTTCATTGATCAAATTACTATTTCTATCTATAATAACAAAATAAACACACAGCAACATTTCAGTTAAAATTGTGTGTGACTCACAGCAGTGGCAGACTCATTGGAGAGCAGTGAAGTGCACAGAGGAGCCTCAGAGAGGAGGAGCTGAGGAGAGGGTCCACTCTGCGCATCCTGCTGCACCTTTTCACGCAGGTGGCTGATAAAGACTGAGCTGTCCTGGGGAGGCTGCCAGCGTGGGTTCTTAATGGTGAAGTGCATGAGGGACAGCTCTGTCTTGCCGTTCTCTGCCTGCTGATACATAGAGGCCTCCGTCTGGCCCTCTGACATCCACTGCGTGGGAGGAAGCAGCGAATGGTTAATAAAGCAAAACTTGGCAATTGCTTTCGAACTGCTGAAACCACAACAACAGCATTCAGAAATTGCCTTATTAACAGAAAACAGTAGATAAAACAGCAGAAATAGCCACTGTTCTGTGCCAGCCCTAAGAAGATAAGTTGTGTATTTGAATAGTATTCATACACATACACTCACACACACTCAGCCACACTGACCTGTGGGTTGCCATGACGGCGAATGTCCATCTGTGCAAAGGAACATATGTCACCGACGCCCACCACCTCCACAGTGAAGTTGCGGAAGAAGTCAATGATCTCCAGAGACTTGTTCCGTAGGAGGAAAATAAGGATGAAGGGAGTGATGATGGGACTGAGCAGCTCTTCTAGTATAAATACCTGCAGAGAACATTTACACACACAGCTGTTATTTAAACTAAAGTAATACTGTTATTTCTTATTTAAGTCTTATCTAAGTTTATATACCATCAAACTGAGCTAAGAAGACCAACATCGAACCAAACCATGAATAAATACAATTGTTAATGTGACAGATCAGTTCCAACATCCACCAACCAGGGCCCAATTTCCCAAAAACGTCTTAGTGTTAAAATCACCCTAACTGGTAGAGAGAGCGTTCAGTGTGACGCTCACTCAACCATTTAGGAATCTATAGATGCTTTCGGGGAAACCCAGCTCAGCTGATCAGCAATAACATATTGTGTAGATTAACTACATACAGAACTGAATGTATATACTCAACAGTCTGTGCCACTTGAACACCAAGCTGTTCCTATTCAAAAGTTTTATAATCTTTACAGACAGATATTTCTGTCCATTAGGGTGTTGTCATGTCAGTGCAGTTTCCAGTCTCTGCAATATTCTCACCGCTTTGTACTGGAACAGCTGGGCCATTTCGTCACGTGTCTCACTTTTATTGGCATTGCCCTTCCAGTGGTCGGGCATGTAATGAATGTGCGCCAGCACACACTGTAGCAGCTGCTCCGGGCACCACACCATATGCTCGTCTGGGATAAAGGATCTGAAAGAAAGCACAAACCATGTAACCCTAATGCAAGGACACCTAGCAGGTGCTAACATTACATGTACAGTATGCTCAGAGGCGAGGATAAAGTGCAAGCAAAACAACCTGAGAATGTTGTCCAATGTTCATAGATATATATAGTTTTATATAATACCCCTGCAGTCAAAAATGTGTTAAATGGTTAACTTCTCTTGGATGACTTATTTGTATCAAATGTATTATTATGGCACAGAGTTAACATTTTTCCTCTGAAAACACAGGCTTTTTCAGTACATCCAGAAAAAGCTATTTGTGGGGCACTAGGTACCAGCTAAGTTTTGGATAGCATGAATAAGCTTTTTGGAACTTCTTACAGTCCAATAGACTACAATATGCTAGCCAGAAGGTTTTCCAGACACTGATGAGAGCTGCGAGAGACAGCATGAGGACAGCGCCCGAGCTCCAAACACCAAGAACAGCCACAGGAAGTGGCATGAGTCCGTGCTGGCAATACCAAACCAGCATCAGGTGGCTCTCATAAAGAGCAGCACAAGAACCTGAGCCGAAAGGGAGAATGTGTTGCTCGACCTCCCATTGTCTTGGCCCTCAAGTCTCACAGCTGTGCCACTGGATGCTCAGTGAAGACTCACTGACGCAAGTTTGGAGAATAAAACTCAAATGTGAGCAGACAAACCTGTTTTTTTGTGTGTGGTGCTGTTGGATTGAGGTACTTGTAATTCATATCCTTATTAGCACCAGAGGCAATCATCAGCTTAGCAAGAAGGCTAAACCACCAGCAATTCCAGCTTACTGGCACTGAGCTAAGGTAGGTCTGAGCGAGTGAAATCGAATGTCTGGTGCTGGAGTAAAAGACTCCAGAGAATCTTTCGGTTTATTGAAGTTACAGAGGGAGCATTGTTTCTGATCTGCCTCATCTCATCTCTCATAAAAGGGGAAAGGGGCAAGATTAAGAGATAATGCAGCAAGGGGTGTCTACACTATGCGTAACAGTGCATATTCCTAGGTTTAAGGACACTCCTATTCCATTTTAGCAGTTTCTTGGGCATACCAAAAACAACATTTAACAATTTATTATTCAACACAGATTTTTTTTAGTTTATGTGTATGATTTTAGGGGTACTTTAATATACAAGGAATGACATTTCAACGCTTTCATATGATATTTGACTATACAGATTTTCTGTGGTATTTCCTTAATAATAATAAAAAAAAAAACAAATTGTCGGCCACTGCGTAGCAACTTAGCTTTTTTTTACATCACAAATAAGTTTGACTCCATCACGGTCAAATATACGATATAAAAAATATGCTAACGAGGGGATCTCAACAACTACAGAGCATGTCTGAGCTAACGCAGCTTACTTGTTTGAGATGTTTAGACTGTTCAGCTAGCCGTTAGCTAAAATAGATAAATGATGGTTGTATTAAACATTATGCCAGTGTCAAATTTCTGTTCCACTTTTATCAAATAGACTGTGAAATATGGTGTTCTGTCCTAGTAGCTTAGCTACAACTTTTAAAAAATTACAGAACAGCTTTGATTCTGGCTCACTAAAGCTCTACTGATGCTTGTTCAGAGGATAAAGACTTAAATCTGAGGAGGCAAACCTATGCTTCTTTGTGCAAAGCCATTAGCTAAATTACGTTTGCTCTGCAATACTGTCCTGTGAACAAGCTAAAACAGCTTTAGACACCACAACACAGGTTTAGTTCCAGCACACTGAAGCTCCATTGACACAATTTAGAGGATGAAGATTCAAATCTGAGAAGGCAAATATTTGTGTGTGGAGGCGTTAGCTAAGCTACTTTTGCTCCACTGTACTGCCCTCTTAGCAAGCTTGCTAAAACAGCTTTGCACACTACAACACAGGTTTAATTCTGGCTCACTGACACAAGTTGATAAGATAAAACAGAGTGAATGAAATGAAGTGAGCAGTGGAGTGACTGACAGAATCTAACCTGCTCTGTGGTGTGTTGAGCTACTTTATTAGCCTGCTAAGCCAGCGCTACCATAATCAGCTCCATAGGGCTCTCTTTAGCAGTGTTCGGCATTTAGCAATTGATCTGGCTTAAATTTAAAATCTTGTAAATTTATTTTCTGATTAAAGTTGCACTGACATAACTTTTTTCCGTTCAATGGAAAATTTATCAGTGGATAAATCTTTTGTTGATACTTGTACTGTTTTTAACAGGAAAAAAGCAATTCCACATAAATTTAGTGTCATGCGATTAACCTGGCATCTATATTTAATGGGAAACATTTAATTAAAATAAATGAATAATAAATGAAATGATTAAAATAAAATTTGTAGTTAAATTAATCAAAATCTACACAAGTAGAATTAATTAAAATATTTTCACAAAAAATCCCATTTGGATGAGACTTCAGAAATATAGCAAAGTGCCCAAAAAGAGCTGTTTAGACTTAAGAAACTGTAGCTCACAGAGTCTTTGTTGTCATGTGATCTGAAAGCTCCTCCCCCTGCCCCTCCCCCTCAGTCAAGGCCTCTACCTGGTGATGGTGATGACCACGCCCAGCACAGTGATGGCAGTAAGGATGTGCTGCACGGTGAGTACGTCCTCGTCGTAGACAGTGAGCGCGATGAGCACAGCCAGCACAGAGCCTGAGAAGAACGCCACATTCTTGGCCAGCACAGCCAGCAGCGGCGAGACAAAGGCATTCATATACTTGGCGGCTGGCTTGTAGCCCCGGCCCAGTCGCCCCTGCAGCTCGTGGTCCAGCTCATTGAAGTGGCGCAGGTACAGGCGGCCATACAGCGACCAGCGCCGCGCGCCTAGGCTTCCCGGTTCACGCTTGATCACCTCGGCATAGCTGAAGAAGGCGTACAGCACCTGCCACACAAGCACGAATGGACACAGCAGCAGGTTGGTGATCCCTGCCAGCAGGATGATCCGGCTCAGCTGCCGGGCGAGCTCCAGGCGGTTCCCCGCCCGCTTGTACTTGGGGTGTAGGTTCCACTTGTTTTGGAACAGCGAGCAGGGCCCCCAGAAGAGGATGAGCTCAAAGTTGTACTTAAGGCCCTGCGTGAGGAAGACCACGTCCCCAAAGAAGGGCACACGCAGGCGGACTGGCAGCAGTGACTTGTTGATCATGGCCACAGTGTAGTTCTTGAAGCGCAGGATGCGGTGGTAGATGTCCAGCTCGGTAAGCTCCTTCTTGTGGATGCACATCTGCTGCTCGCGCTGCAGGCTGATCAGGCGTCCCTGCACTTCCTGCCAGCTGAAGTTACACAACTCATCCTGGCAAACAGACAAAGATAAAATAAATCTTTAAATCTGACAGTTCTGTGGGCTGACTTCAGCATTCATTCAGTTAAAAGAATCATTTCACTAATCAAATTGCGAATAAGGAAATACACTGAAAAATGATTTTACAGGCACTGATGGTTAGCCGAGTGTCCCGCTATGACCTGCTTAGTAATTTTTCAAATGCACTAGAATGGTTCTACTAGATGTAATGAATCAGTTGTTCCAGTTCACCAATGATGCCTTCATGCTTACCATCCTGATTTTCAGGGCCTTTATATAAAACTGACGGATCTCCCAGTAACTGAGGACATTACAGATCACCTTCCCGAGGCGATAGATCCAAAAAATGGCTGCCATTATAAGTAGGAAGATGATCCAACTGTTGCTTTGAATCCTGAAATAGAGAAATCCAGTTGTAGATGGTTATATGATGCTACAAGGGGTTTTGCATAATCTTTTACATGAATATATTGTACACTTACGTCTTGTTTTTATTTGTAAATAATCACAAACAGTGCTGCAATGATGAAATTTGATTTTGTAATGTCCAATATCTGTCCAGTCTTTCTGTGCATACTGTCATGACTACTCACAATAACCTTTAACATACAAACACTGATAAAATAATGAACAATAAACCATGGCACATTTAGTCACTGTTTGCAGACTGAAATTTGCATTTGTTTTGATAAGCTGCAGTCACAGAATGTGAATCCAATTTATGTATGCCAACCTCTCTTCATCCCTTAGAACTAAACAGCCTATTTTTGTTACATTTAAGACTGATATGTCAATACAGCAGAACTGACTGCCTCCCCCATACTGTGCCTTGTAAAGTAGTCTAGGCTGAAACACTCCTTACAACTTTAGCATGAATGGGCGAAGCTAAACTGGCTTACTCTGCAAATGTATCACATAACAAAAACAATTCTTTCAAAATGGGCTGCTTTGCAGCTTAGTTTACATATATGGCCTGTAGATATTATATGGAAAATTTATCGAACCTGTCTTATCGCTCTGTCGAGGAAAAGTTATATCGCGATACTTATCGTTATCGTTTTATCGCCCAGCCCTAATGGCCTGTATGGACTAGAGAGTGAACGGTATGTTTAACTTTAACTAGTAATGTTACATATTACATTAAACTCTTCTCTTTCAAAAGAAGTGAGGAAATTTAGATTTTCCATGATATGGTAAATACTAAAATAGACATATTTATTGAAAAATTATTTCTGCTTGGTATTGTAGTTAGAGAACACTAACAGACAAACACAAAAAAGATACAGAATCATGGCAGAGAGATGCAATGCTGCACTCCAGAATATTGTACTATATGACAAATAAATGGTAGTTCTGAGTCGTTTTAAGTGTCCCCATGAATAGGGCCCAACCAATACGTCGTACCAATTTTACTTACTTAGCAGCTAAAAATTCAGATAACCGATAACAGCAGCCGATATGATTTTATATTTAGCTTTTAGATTTTAATGTTATACATGACTGTCAGTTCAACTGTCATGCTTTAAATAAACAGCAGAAACTCACAGTCCTAAATAATATAAATATTGTAGCAGGGTGGAGCTTTTTTACTCTAATTCCATTGATTAATTCCAAATTGATTCACAACCTGTTTGTTATGTAGATCTCTCTCCCACTGCATGACAGCACCACCAACCAAACAGAGCATGCACTGTATTACAGAATATATGAAGCCTGTCACTGAATCTTTTAAGCCACCCACAGACAGCACTGCAGGCCAGATCTACAACCTCAGAGGATAAAGCTAACCACACTTCTCTGTCTTGTGACCACTTGGTTGGCTAGCACCCAGCACCAAAAACCACCACACACACACACACACACAAAACCACACATCAATATCCATGTTATAAAACGTTGTGGTAAAACATAACTGCTTTATGGGTTTCAGCAGATGATAAGGGATGAAAGGCTACTGGGATCTGGATCAGCGTGTGCTTTCACTCTCTGACTCCTTCCCCTTTAATACCAAGTAAGCAGGGCTTCAATAACTTGGGGCCAGGAGGCACAAACTGTTCTTGGAGTCAGCCCATACTGGCACCACATCATATTCGATACAAACATGTTTCGCCTCTGGTCCAGGGCAAGAAATGATTGCATCTACACAAAAAAAAAGTCTACTGTTGCAAGTGATTTTACATAACAAGGCACCAATGAAGAGACTGCCACACAGGCCATGAGTAAAAATGACATTAGAAACCATTTTAGAATTCAGAAACAGCAAGTACGTAATAAATAAACTACAAAACAACAAATAAACATGCAAAGCAGTTCTTCTCAGAATCATTCTGAAAAGCTATCCATTCCTTGTGGAGCAACAGAAATAGCAAGCTCTGAGAAAGCAAGTTCCCTCGGCTGGTGTTGCAATAGAGGTGTTAGTTTACGGCCCAGCTAGCACAGGGCAGGCAAGGAGGTAACAGGACTACAAGGTACCGACACCAAACTGGATCATATGCTGTCACATGCACGATAAGGCATGAAAGTCAGCATTGTGCAGGTGCTGAAATTTGGTTTCAAGGCTTTAGTACAGCAGAGTTGTGGCCCACAACCTAAGAAAATCATTCTACAAGAAAAAACTCCAATAACTCCAGTTCAGAAACGTGAAGGCAAAATTGCTGCTTATTTGCTGAATTTTACTTATTGCGAAAAAAATAAACTAAAAGTTTGCCTGTGCAACAGTTATGTCTTATTTTTTCCTGTATGTTTAACTCAGCAACTGTTTTAACTCAGCAACTGTGTTCAGCCCACAGAACTAGAAACTGTGCACTAAAACCGGTAAAATGTCAAGTCAGCGTAAACTGTTCCCGCTGACAAGTGTGCTTCAATAAAATGGGTGTAATGATACACTTAATCTATGATTCAATTTGATGTGATTCTCGACACTGGGTTCACAATTCTGAATTCTTATAATTTTAAACAAAATTTGAATGAAGAAAAACCATGAAAACCATGTTGTTGCATGACTTAGATGACACTAAAGCTAAGAGGCAGCAGCAGTGCTGGAGTGAGTTGGTGCTGATTGCCTGCGAACTTTGGTGTTCAAATAATGCAGCTGCATTAGACATTAACAATGCAACAATGCTCTGTTACAACCCTAGCCTACAGTATAGTGTAAAAATCAGTCTCTCATTGTTTATTGAATATTTAGTTAAAACAACCATTAAATACAAGTTATTCATTTTCTGGAGATATTTCTAAGGAGGTTATATACAAAATAATCCACTTGCGTAAGAAGAGGGAAAGTCAAAGTGAAAAAACAGGAGTTCAAAACTAATTAAAAGATCTATAGAAGATGGGAGTAACAACTGTGCAAGATCTAGTGGACCACCAAAACTATCACCATCAGATAAACAGTACTTAAAGCTTTCATCTTTGAGAGACGCTTCAAATCTGAAGAATTCTGTCCATCCTTCCACTGTAAGAAGATGGAAAGGACGTGTAGCTATTAAGATGCTGTTACTGAGAACAAGACACAGACAAAAAAAAAAATATGTGTAAATGAAACAAAGAAGTTGCTGGTGTTCTCAGAACAATGGACTGGCCACTCCAGAGGCCAGACCTCAACATCACTGAATGTGTTTGGGATTACTTGGATCATGTGATGCAGAAAATGCAACCAACTTCTAAGACTTCGGAGAGGTGGAAAAATATTCTTTTTTTTTTTAAAGAAAGCAAAGCTGAAAAGCAAATCATAATGGAAGTTAGGACAAAATTAAAAGTTTGTGAATAATTAAAAAAAATCTAAGGGATTGAAGTCTGTGAAAAGTCAATGAAGACTGAAGGCTGTTTGCATATAATGCGCTACAGCATGACTGGGCTCCTTCTAAGTCAAACCACTGTAGATTTAGCAGAGTACCTCACTAAAAACACATCACTGCAAACCAGTGGAATATCCTGGAAAAACGTCTTTATAGTAGATGTCAGTTGTGTTGGTTGTTGGCAAATTGATTTAATTCTAAAATCCTTTCATTTAGAAATCCTTTCATACTTTTGGACCATGGTATTGATCACAACTACATGTAAGCATTTAGGATGGACAACACAGACCTCTCAGTGCACTGCTGACTAGGTAGGATGGCATCAGGCAGGGTGACCTTATTCCTGTCCAGTGGGTTCAGGCCCTGGCCAGTGTGGTTGACCGCTCGGTTGGCGAACAGCACATCGTACTCCACGCAGTTGAAGAGAAAAGTTGTGAAAGTGACCACGAAGAGAAACTGCCTAAATGGGGGAAACCAAAAAAAGGTTCAGTCTGTATTCAGAATGTTGATCACTGGTTTATTTAAAAAAAAAAGAATTTATGCCATTGAACGTTAAAGCTGGATTTCTGAATGAATATTCAATGTAATTTAAAGCTTATTAAAAGAAAAAGAATCTAAGATGAGTCTGTGGTTAAATTTGGGTCATAAGCATAAAGCACGTCATTTACTTACACAAGCTCGAAAAACTCTGATAACATCATGCAGGCAAATCCATTCTTCTGATGGAAATGATAAATGTGAGCAACTTAATTAAGGAATCACAATATTACTACATTTGCTTTTAAAATAACAAAATTCTCTACAGAAATAAAGGTTTGATCGACTATGAAAGAGGACAGAATGTCTGCTTATTTACAGTGCTTCTCATTGCATCCAGCATTTTTAACTCACGCAGCTGACTCACAAAGGTCTGGTGTGAAATCAGTGTCACAGAACTGCAACTAAATATCAATGAACACGCCTCCTTGCTTGCAGTGAATATCTAACTATCTGCCTGTGAATGGAGGAGCCAAAAGCTCTTTTAATGCTCTACTGAGTTCCAGTCTATAACTCTGGAATCAATGCAACCCCGTGATAAACAAATGACTAGCAAAAGTCAGCTGCCAAGAAATGTGACTTCACCAAAAAAAAAGGATATTCGAGTGAAGAAATTGTCAAGGTTCTTGATGTGATGCCAGGAATCTATGAACAGAAAGAAAAAAAGTTGTATCAGATGAAGTATCAGTGCCTATGTGTCATTACTGCTATGTTACACTTCTGTGCAAACGTAGCTGTCATACACAGACATTATAAGCAATGGTCTGCACTTATCAAACATCTCAGAGTAAGAATGATGATCCAGGATTAATTTATGGCTTTTGCATAATACTTAGTAGAATACAGATAGGCCTGTCACAATTATTACATAATCACCTAATCGCAATTATTACAGCAATATTAAGCCACAACAAACGCAATACAAATTGAAGGTGGTTGGTTGAGGCAAATAAATGTAAATAAAAGAAAGCAGTATATGCATTCATTTAGACACCTTGTGGGAAAGTTTGTTTAACATGTTCTGCCTGAATACACATGATTCTGTGTAACTGAGACATTGCGCGAGGGTGCATAGCAAACATAGCTAGGAAGCAAGATGGGCCAATTTGCCAATTTGGCCACTTTTGGCTTCTACATATAGATGCATAGAATAAATAATAAAGGACAATTATATCATTAATTGTAACTATTTATATGACAATTAATCATCAGCTAATAACAGACCTGACCTGATCTTAGATTTGTTTTCTTTTACTGAAATACTTGCTTAACTTATTTGATATGAGCCAAGTTTGTAAACACTTTCAATATGAGAGAATAAGTATTTTCTTGCAAATCTTAAAACATCTTTTTTTGGGCGGGGGGCATTTGCACTGTATGAACATTTCATCATTAAAAGAGCAATAGTATATAAACGTGGAATAAAATCTTTAATACACATTAGTATTAATGTGTATTAAAGATTTGTGTAACTACATGGTTAAGATATCAAGCTACTGTTCACAGTGCTGGTGATAGGAACCAGATGACCAAAGAGTTGTAAAAGCTCCCCCACAGAAAGTTTTTACACTAAACTGTTATGAATACCCTGCCTGATGCCTGAGACATTGTTTTTTGATAGTTTTGAGATAAGATTTTGGCCTAAAACATATTTTTAAAACACAATCATGGTGGAGAGGTACGTGCAAGATGTTATAAGGAAATGTTTTAATTTATTTATTTTTCAGTTTTTGCAGTTTTAACATTTTCAACATTACAAAAACGAAGATACGTGTAGGTTCACTGATTATTTTAGATAATAATAAAATGGCAATATTTCTGTTATCACCTATTACCACCACTGCAAAAAAAATTGAGCCGTCAAGTTTCTCTATAATTAACCATTTTATATCAAACCACTCTAAATGACTTCATATCTCAACAAATGAATTATATAGGTCTGCCATGGTCATCAGATCACAGCACACATTTCCACTTTGCGTCAGTCCATCTCAGATGTGCTTTAGCCCAAAGAAGTTGGAGGTGTTTCTGGATGTTGCAATATGTCTTCCGGTTTGCGCAGCGGAGCCTTAACTTGCATTTGTAGAACTGTGTTTACTGACCAGGGTTTTCTGAAGTGTTCCTGAGCCCAGGTGGTTATATTCCCAGATTCTCAGAATCTTTTGATGATATGCGGTGCTGCAGAAGGTGAAATGCCCAAAATCCTTGCAAATGCTCAATGAAAAAAGTTGTTCTTAAAGTGCTGATGCATTTTTTAAGCAAAGTGGCAGGCCTTAACCCATCCTCACTCATAAAGGACTAGGCCTTTCCTGAATAACCCTTTCATACCCAAGCATGATTGTTTCAACTGTTTAAGTTGTTTTTTGGAACATTTTGCATGTTATAGTCTTAAACTGCACCTGTCCTAACTGTTTTAGGACATGCTACAGGCATCACTTTCAGAATGACAATATATTTACAAAGGTAAAACATGAAAAATTAAAAGATTAAAAGTTAAAACATTATATTGTGTTTATTCTGTTTCTTGTTAAAGAAATGTCAAAGTGAATTAACAAATCACCGCTTTCTGTTTTTATTTGCACTTTACCGATACCATTTGTATAAACCTAAAGTGGCCAAAGTGGCTGATTAGTTCACTTGCTTCCTAGCTGTTGATATTTGGTAGCTCCAAAAATGATGACAGAAGCAGTTTGAACTCAAATAAACAAACGTTACTCACCACTGTGCTCTAAACATGTTATAGCACCAGTCAGAAGTTAGAACTATTGATGCTTTCATAAGACCCGTGTAGTGTCTCAATCACCTTCAATCTTTTTTATGTATTTGCCTCAACCCAACTATAGCAAACACACCCAATTTACACAGTTTGTGGCAGCATAAACATATGTAAGCTAACAGCTGTGGAAAATACAGTCGGATGCACACCCCTGGTCAAATTACTTGTTCTGTAGATTTTCTAAGTGAAAATAAGTGACAAAATAACACATCCTCTACATGAAATTTAAATATGGCATTTTCTGCTCATTTTAGTGTACCACTTTCATTTATTTGTTGAGTTCAACATATTAGAAAACATAAAATATAAAATGTGCCATACTTTTTACACATTTTATGTTTTACTTATCATTTTGGAGATATAAAGTTTTTATACCATAGCAACCACATGCACACTATACTTTAAAATGTAGCTTTAAACAATTTGTTTTGGTCTTAGATTCATATAATTAATCACAAATCCAAAGAAGGAAATCGTACCTTTCAGGCCTTCTGGCACATGAATCAGCAAGTCCTCTTCTCCTGGAGGCGAGTCTTCCTCATAATCCTCTATTCTCTGGTATTCCTGGTAGGCTTCAAAATCAGCCATTGTGCTTCACATTCTTCTCTCGTCTACAAAACACAGTACAGGTCCTAAAGAAAGGAGATATCAGTGCCATTAGAGAGGAATTAGGAGAAACATCATGTCCATTGTTCCCAAACCAGCCAAACAGACATGTGCCTCTGTTAAATCTTCCCTGTAAACTCGCATTGCTTGTACACTAACTCCAACTTCCGGTGTGGCCGAAAAGAGGATGGTTTCCCCTTTTGCGTCTTGATTCCTCTCAGTGCTTCTTCCTTGTGCTTTTAGAGAGTATTTCTAGTTTTTTTGTATTAATGTTGCCTTTGGCTTGTTCATTAGAGCAACTGATCCTGCATTTCTGAAAAGCTCCTGTCTGTCAAAAAAATGTTATACAAATGAAGCTGAACTGAAAATTTGTCTTTGAACATAAGACAAATTACACAAAAATGGCTAGAATTATTAAAACATGACATTGTCTAAACCAGAAATCAGTGAAAGATCGATTCTAATAATTTTACATTTTGTTTGCAAAAAGTGCTTTAGTAATAGACCCTTCTAGTTAAAATACAACAATTGTATCCATCTTAAAGCAGGTTTTTGACAAATATTTTTTTCTTTGTGTAATCTATAAGTTACAAACCTGTCTTATATGCTTTTGTTTACAGTCAGAGATGGTAATACAAGCTAAGTTATACAAGCCAGCCAACACTGATGCTTATTTCACCTCCATATAACGTTAGTTACATAGTATCTTTATGTATTGCAAGAACAGTGTAAATATTAAAAACGTTTATAACTGACCGGCTCCGCTACAAATGAATGTCACCACCATCCACCTAGCTGGACAAGCTAACTGAATTAGCAGGTTAGCTGACTCATAGGCAGGTTACAGACCGTTTACGTAGCTAAATAGAGAACCTTTTACTTTTTTTAGGAGTTGCAGTAATTAAAAACGTACACATGAAATATATCAAATAGGACATGTCCACATTTTAAGCTCTGAGCTCTTACCATCCGGACGCAGACGGTTCTTTTGCTTCTTCTCTCCTTAACAAAAACACACATACATGTCAACAAACCTCGCTGATGTCACTTCGCTGTGCTGCTGACGTTATTTCGCTGAGGCTTCTGGTCAACGTAGTGTTGGAGACTTCGGCTGTATCGACTCCGGCAACTGAACCGTACGACGTCTTAAATGCTGCTGGAAATAATTATTTTAAAACTATAGATTATTAAAAACTTTGTATGACGTTGTTTTGTTCATTAGACTAAAATATGTCTTCATGCAATCTCACTGTGACAGTGGGTTATAATTACTGGTTTCTGTGCAGATAAATCTGGATTGTGATCTTTGACATGACAGACAAATACAAATATAAGATACTACTTTGCAGCTAGCACATTTGTTATATTTCGATGAAGTGAATCTATTAAAGTACTAAAGAACTTCTTGGGAACCGAAAAGACTGACGGCTGAATTTAATAAACAACATAAATAATGTTTCTCAGCCAGATAAGCTAAATATTTGCAAATTTTGGGATTCTAGGACTAGAATTTAACACCTCTAATAAGGGTTCCCAGCTCCATAAGCCCACAGTTCACACTGCTCAGTTTAGTTTTCCTTCTCTTAAAGGGGAATTCCACTGTTTTTTTTAATCTGAATATTAAATAGTTAGATGTCAGCAAAGTCATTCAGAGTGAAATGTTCCGTTCTAGAGAAACTTACCAAGTTGTTTACAGTGCTGGTACCAGACGTCTGAAGCATTTAATGCATCTAAAACTCCCTCATAGAAAGTTATAATGTGAAATTGTTATGCTGCCTGATGCCCGATTATTGTTTTACGGTAGTTTTGAAAATGTTTTACGAAAGTTTTGAGAAGGTTTTATTCTAAAACATATTTTTAAACACTATTTTTTCTTAAGGCAAAATAGCCCCCAAAGAAAATTCTTTTTTTTAGATTTTCCACTATTTTACCTATATATATATATTGCACATAAAAACTCGTCACAAAGCGGCACATCTCCAAAATGGTAACTTCGTAGGAGAAAGAAAAAAAATACTATTAATGTAAGTCAATGGAACAAGTAATTTTGGGCTGTTTCTTTTGGTCCATTCATCATGAAATTTACCCAGTTAGCCAAATTTGTCTGGTCCACTGGTGGGCCACATCCGTGGTTTGTTTTGGCCCAATATACGGCTGGGTCCTCGGCTCAGATCTGGCCTACATACATTAAAGGGGGTAGAACTAAAGAATATGGCCCACATTTGGCCCCAGTCTGGCCCAACTAACTATCTATCTATCTATCTAAACACCCATCCATCCATCCATCCACCCACCTACCTACCTATCCATCCATCCATCCAACCCACCCACCCATTCATCTATTCATCCATCCACAGAGAGTTTTGTACATTTTGTTGGCCTCCACTCTCAGCTGAAGTTCCCCTCCAGTCCTGTGCATGGCGGTAATGCCGAACGCTCACAGGACAATAAAGAAGCACATGCCGCCTCTCATTGTTTAAAAATGGCGACGTACATGTAAATCCTTGTACCCACTCTTAAGTGACATTGTTATTTCTCCGAAATCATTTCGTCTGTCGTGTCTGGACCGTAGAGTAACGATGTTTCACTTCGTGCGCTGCAGTCGGCTGGCGCACGGCTCGGACCGATTACTGCGAGCACGATATAACGTTATTAAGTCAGGAGAGCTGCTGCTCCAGCACAGCCGGTATGTGTGTGTGAGTATAAGACACAGGACTGTCACCTTTCAGCGAACTAAAACCACACCCCAGTACACAGTTACATTTCCTCACGTCTTAGCAGTTGACCTTCAGGGTAAAAAGAGGTTTGGGGCACTAAAACGTCTGTCCCCAACATCCCACAATGCAACTCAAAATGTAGGGAAAGAATTCGCGACCTAATCAATTTAGTGTGTCCTGGGTTGCGTCGCATATCAAACCATCTGACAGCAAAACATTTAATCCGATGTCATTAGTACTTAAACTTTTTGGGTGGAGCTGGGTGATATGGCAGAAATTTAATATAACAATATTTCAGGACGTTTTCAGGATACATGTCATGATATTCATTTATTCTAAAATCCGAACAAAGTATTGCCTCATTTAAAAATGCTATCAAAAACCATGAATACAGTTTGTTTTTAACTTTTCACACACTGTGCTGCACTAAACCCATTAAACCGGACTAATGATGCCCTCTCTGTCATCAAACATGAAGTTGGGAAGTGTTTACTGATTATATCCGCGATATACTCGGAAAAGCATATTGTGACATAATTTATCACAATAATGATAATTGTTGTCATATTGCTGAGTTTTAAGTACATTTTCAGCAGGATCAGGATCTGAGAGTCACAGTGTCCTAGTAGATCGTATGACTTCATGACTTAATCAAGTCAGTTACTTTTGTTCCCTTTTATAGTAATTAACTATTCACAGGGCTCCATTTGAGACCCAATCACAGCCATAAAACAAGTGGTAGGAAAACAATAACACACATTCACTCCCAGAATCCATGGCTGTGTAATCATGTCAAGGTCAGTGATAAAACATATGAGCAGCACTCTGAAAGGTTTTTGAACGCTGTGAAGCATGTAGTGTATTTTCATGTGATGTCATGTTTTCCAGCTGAGATTAGCTGTCCCAGTAAATGTAGTCTCCTTCAGCCCTAATCAAGCTTAATATGAGACACATTCACAACCTTATTTGTTTAAAATAAGTGGTAAGTGCATGACAAAGTGCAATCACACCCAGAAGTATATGATGTCAATGTCAACGGCGACAGAACAGCAGCAGCACATATTAGTACATAATTTTGCACTCTCAAGAAACTTGTGCTTTTTTTCAGATATAAAGCAAGAATGGAGCTTTTATTACTGTTGTCTGATGGTGATGGTTTGGTGATTTACCAGGTCTCAGTTGTTAAGAGTCCTGTTTTCTCTTTAACTTTTAATCTTTCTTTGCTCCACTTTTGGAAACTTCTGCTATATTCCTGATCTTCTTCTTTACACAAGTAAATCGTTTTATATCTAATCTCATCAGAAACATCTCCTGATGAATTTTGAATAATTTGTATTATGTTGCAGATCTAAACAGCACTCACTTCAATGGACCAAGGCTCCAACCGCACACTCCACAAGCAGTACAGTCATACGACTGTGGGGTCAAGCCCACAGAGTGCTGAGATTGGCTGTCCGACGAGACCCTAGGTCCCCAAAAGTGGCTCTGACGTTGCTGGTGGGGCCGGCTGCATTAACAGTCACTGCACGACTGTTGGGTGGTGTAGCTTACTGTCAAGCTGATTTCAACAATAACCTTTCTGCTGAAGTCCAAGCGAAGGAGAAGGGGCCGGAATTCAGCTGGGCTGTCCTCTGGGAGTTTGTCCGGCCACAGCTCCTTGCCCTCATAGGGGCCATTATTGTAAGTCATCTCTGATTACTCTGGATAACATTAAATGCTAAGAAATTAAAAGGACATAACATTTTTGTGAACAGGTTTGTGTAGCCATTTCCACTAGATGTGTAAATTGCTCTCCATGAGATTTTGAGATTTGCGGTTGCTTATTCTTACTCAGAATCAAATTTGTATAGTCTGTTATTTTGATAAAGAAATAAATGTTCCCATGTAACTGAAAGACTAGTTAAAGGCAAAAAAAAAAAAAAAGTTCAAGAACTATTTATGGATTGATGAATAATGTGAATGCTTACCATCAGGGCTGTAAATCTCTCACCACAATTCAATTTAATTACAAATCTTCCCATGAATAATTTCTGTGTATGCAAATGTAATTTCACTACTCAGTTAAATTCAGTTCAATTTTGTTGTGTTATTTTGGTATGATTCAGAATTATTAAAACTGAAAACAGCCCATACATTTTATTTGTGTCAGAAAACAAGCACATAATTAATAATAATACAATTCAACAAATTAATCACTTCTAACATTACAAAATTATTGCTGTTGACTCGCCATCCTAATCCATTTTATGCCCCCTTATCCATTTTTTAAATACATGTAAGCGTACTGCCATGCGGTAAACAAATGCAAATGAAAGGCATTTTAACAATGCTCAAAACGTTCGTTTATACTGAGTTTTGGATATGTGCTTATTTACTGAAGAGCTTTATTTATTATTATAAGTTAGAAGAGAGCTGGTAAAGGAAGACTGGGATATCTAGCTTTGCATCGCTAAGAAAACTCCGATTTTTTTTTCTGGCTCTCGGAAAGCTTGCATTTGGTGCAGCAGCTCTGAACATCCAGATTCCGCTGATGCTGGGTGAATTGGTGAATGTCGTAGCTCAACACCTGAGGGAACATGCTGGAAATTACATGAGGGATATTCGAGCGCCTGCACTCAAGTTGCTGGGCCTGTACGGTCTACAGGTGAGACGCTGTCCATTTTTGTGTCACATACAGTATATCAAGCGAAAGAAGGCTCATACTACTAATAATAGTGTGACTAAAGAAAGATTCCTTTTCTTCTTTGATTTAAAGAATATTTCAGTCTGATTCAAAGAGGAAATTGCAACAATTGGTCGTTGCACAACAGCTGGACATGATACTAAAGGGATATTTCACTCAGGGCTGTTTCTGAACATTTAGGAGAGTTAAGAAACATTTTGCCAATCATATTTCTTCATTTTTCCGCATAGAAAAAGAATTAATACTTTTTTTATTTCGAAAAATAGGAAAATCTGTGAACCCACTGCACTTTTCAGAAAGCATTAAAAAAAACATATTTGGGGCCACCTAGTGGCTCAGGGGCTCTATGTGGCTGTTATACAGTCATATACAAAGACTTGAACACCACTGTCAAATTATTTTTTGTTGATTTACTAAGTGAAAATAAGTTAACACATCCTCTGCCGAGAACACGCCTAAACATGACATTTTTATGCAAGTTTTAATGCACAATTTCTATGTATTTACTGATTTAAACACGCACTTTCAAAGCCACTTATCCTCCTGGGTTGCGGGGAGTGCAGGAGCCTGTCCCAGCAGTCATTGGGTGGAAGACAGGAAACACCCTGGACAGGTCGCCAGTTCATCACAGGGCAGACACACAGATATATACATTCACACTAACACGCACACACACACACCTAGAGGCAAATTAGTATCTCCAGTTGGCCTGACTGCATGTCCCTGGACTATGGGAGGAAATCCACGCAGACACGGAAGGAACATGCGAAGGAGCAAAAGTTACATAAGTCCATCAGGTGGCAACTTTACCAAGACTAAGGCATATACCCTGTTCGCTGGGCATCTCTGCTTGTTCCTCAGGGTCTGCTGACCAGTGGGTACATCATCCTCCTGTCCAGAGTTGGTGAGAGAGTGGCTGCTGACATGAGAAAAACTCTGTTCACATCGTTGCTGAGGTTTGTTTCACTGCTTAAACATTATATTGAACTTTCCTTAAAATATGCTTGGTTTATGATATTGTATATGATTGTATATTGTTTGCCACATTTGCCGTTTTTGCCTCCTTCTTTGTTTTGACTTACCAGGCATTATTATTGACAAAACCATGAGCATGAAAAATGTATCATTGCTCAAAATTGTTATTAATTAATTTGGCAGGGGCTGCAAGATCAAATATGATTTTTACATTAAACATATTTTTTTGTTTTGACTCATTTTGAATTTATTTGTATGAACCCTTTGAATGCAGTAATGCTATGTATTCTGGGAACTGTAGTTTTCAGTGTGCAGTGACTATGTTATCTTGCAGACAAGATGTTGCATTCTTTGATGCCAATAAGACAGGGCAGCTAGTTAACCGCCTCACTGCTGACATTCAGGAGTTCAAATCCTCCTTCAAGCTGGTGATCTCTCAGGTATGGTGTGGTATTGCAGCTTTTTCCAGTGCAATTGAGTTTAAGTAGATGCACATTATCAAAGTATGTCAGATATTTACAAGTTTACTCTTTTTTTGTACTTCATATAAGCGCTAAGAAATCAAATTTTGAATGCTGTAGAGGCCGGCTTTTGTGTCCTCAGGGTTTGAGGAGCATTACGCAGACGATTGGCTGCTTTGTGTCTCTGTACGTCATCTCTCCGAAGTTGACGGGCTTGACAGTGGTGGTGCTGCCGTGCCTCGTGGGTGCGGGTGCTCTCATCGGCTCTTTTCTGCGCAGACTTTCACGAAAAGCCCAGGAGCAGGTAAACACTTGATAATGGAAATGTGGCTTAGTTTGTGTATGTATTTTATGTGTGTTGAGGGAAAAGGGATGTGGGAAGTACTGTTCCACTCAACCTTGAACGTCTGACAAGACGTTTAGCACTCCACTTCATGAATTATAAGATTAGACCTAATTCTCAGTGCTTGAGAGTTTGCAGCCCTGCACTCATGATTCATTTGGCTTCTGAAGAACCTTTTTTCAAATACTTGAATGATTGTATCAACAGCATTTAAGGCATTTGGGAATTCACCAAAAATTGTGAGTTAATTCATTTCTGTTTAACTCTCAGATTTCTAAAGCTACAGGAGTGGCAGACGAGGCCCTTGGCAATGTCCGAACAGTGAGAGCCTTCGCCATGGAGGACAGAGAACTGGAGTGAGTCTTCCAGCATTTTGGGCATTATAACTCATTTCGCAGTTGGATGCTGTGTATTGAAGTGATATTTTGCACCAAAAATTCAGGAATTACTGAAATAAAAAATGGTATGAATGAGTTTATTAACAGAGGGTATGTCAAATATAACACGTTAGTCATGGCTTTCTGACTATATGTCCCCGGCAGTTGTAGTGATTTGTGCCTGGAGTTTTGAAAAAATTGAATTAATTATTTGATATAATCATGAAGCTTTGTCATTAGCTAGTCTCTTAATGCTAAAAATGGCCATTGCCAATGTTGAGAAAAAAGCTGCCTCCGTATGCCTGGTACAGGATGTATGCCACAGAGGTGGAGAAGTCTGCTGCAATGAATGAAGCTTTAGGGACAGGAATCGCGGTGTTCCAAGGCCTGTCGAACATTGTATTAAACTGTGAGTGTTTACTATAGTGCCATTTACATTATCAGAAAATTACCCAAATACAGATCACTAAAGAGAAGCTTAATTACATTTGTTTGTCACTTGTTGATTGTCTTTTTCCTTAAGGCATAGTCCTAGGCACTATTTTTGCTGGTGGGTCCTTGATGGCACATAACGACATGTCTCCAGGTGACCTAATGTCATTTTTGGTTGCGTCCCAAACAGTTCAAAGGTAGGGATTGAATAGCACATATAAAATAGCTTTTTTTGTAGCTCTTGATACAAATACACTGTTGTATTGTTTTATGGGATCAAATATGTTTTGAAGAAGAAATGCTCAGAGCTGTACCTCATCTGCTCTTTTTTGCAGATCCTTGGCCAGCATCTCAATTCTGTTTGGGCAGGTGGATCTAAATTCCATTTATTACAAATTGACCATATTGTTGTTCTATTGCTAGAAAATCTTATTCAGTTTTAATCCAGCTAGGAATTGTGATCTGTGCTGTCTTGTGCCTTAGATGGTGAGAGGCATTAGTGCAGGAGCTCGCGTTTTTGAGTATCTGGCTCTTGAACCAACCATTCCTCTGACGGGAGGGGGTCGTATCCCTCACAAGTCTTTGACTGGACGAGTGGACTTCATGAACATCAACTTCAGGTAGACTGCCTTCACTGGCTTCCCTGAAACAAGAATGAACTCACAAAAGTAAATTGTTATATGAACTTAAAGGGATACACGGGGCAGACAAAGAAAAACCTCTTCTGATGATGGGATGAAGGTGGGAGGAAGTTTTGAAAACACTACAGCTGTGAAGGTTTTAGGTTCTCTTTTTATGCTGTGTTTTCAAGCTATCCAACCAGACCTGGTAATCAGATCCTGAAGAACTTCAGCCTGACTTTACCTCCATGCAAAACTGTCGCTATAGTTGGAGAATCTGGTGGAGGTAAAGTTCTCCCTCCTCCTTCTTGTAGTGCAGAATTCCACCTCAGTCATCTCATAATATTAATGCAAGGACAAGGATATTTATGCAGTATTTTCTAGTAGATTTGTCTTCGTCCTATTAAATCTACTGACAGAATTATTGATCAATCTAATGAACACTAGAAATTTAATATGGTACAGCTGCTTTGAGAATAGACTGACTGATGATCTAATAGTTTGTTTGCTTCTTTTCAGAGATTTCAGTCTTTCTCTCTGTTTTATGTTTTAGGTAAATCCACTGTGGCAGCACTGCTGGAACGCTTCTATGACCCAAGCGGTGGAGTGATAATGTTGGATGGCCTGGACATCAGAACGCTGGACCCCTCTTGGCTAAGAGGACATGTGATTGGATTCATTAGTCAGGCACGTCCCTCAAAGTATAAAACTTTTCAGAGAACAAAGAAGAGTACTGCTCAGTTTTTGACCACTCTGTTGTATTGTATTGTGTGGTATTGTATTTGACCACCCCAGTTGTATGTGCCTATCTGTAAAAAGTCTTGCAAAAAAACACACCACCATCATAGACTTACCACTTATTCCACAGTCTGTTATCCACATATTTGATTATCAGTGTCTTTTAAGTACTGGTTTTACTGGTGTTGATTGCAGGAGCCTGTGTTGTTTGGCACTTCAGTCATGGAGAATATCCGCTTTGGAAAGCCTGGTGCCGCAGATGCTGAGGTGGTGGCCGCTGCCAAACAGGCCAATGCTCACACCTTCATCACAGGCTTCCCAGATGGCTACAACACTGTGGTGGGTGAGTAATGGGCTCAGGATCATATTTAGCACATTTCAGAATAGTCTGCCCAAACAATTTCTGTGCCATGATCAGCGATTGCAGCATAACTGACACTTTTACACATTTTACATTAGCAAGTGCTAAGTGCAGTTGAAAATCAAACCTTTCAAAACCACGGAATCTTTACTAAAGAGGTTATCATACATGTTAGTACATATCATAGTGTGTGTTTTTGAAAAAGATTTTTTTGATTCTTTTAAAGTGATTCTTTAGTTTTAGTCCATAGGCGGAGCCTTATTTTAGCCTGTCCCTTATGGCTATGTGGTGAGCAGTTAGGTCCCATTGTTTTGACATTAATGTGTCCCAAAGTCTTAAAATCAGTGTTTAACATGAAGACATTTTACTACCGAAACACCTGTTTCCTGCAATTATGTAACCTTTTTGTGTTTCTTGAAAGATGTTATGATTTTATGTGTGTACAGGTGTGTTTGATAGTCATGTACTGTGTAGCGGTTTTGAGTTCTTCCAAATTTGAATCTTCCAAATTATCTAAAATTGTCAGTACCAAAAAATTGTCACTACAATTCGGTAAAGTTTCAGTAGTGTTATGGTTGTTTTGATAGTGACAAATTGTAATGTTCCATCATTTAGTTTTAATAAAATCAGCATAATTAAGGCATAGGTCCAAGTCAGTTAATATTCTTTTTTTTTTTTTATAATAATTTTTTTTCACTTAAATATCTTTTAAATCAAATGAGTAAATTGTAAATAATGAATAAAAAAACTTTCACTTTCACTACACGTCAGGAGTAGAAAAAGTACAGAAAATTGTGTTTAAGTGAAAGTATGGGTACTGTATGTATGTGTACAATGCTCAATTAAAAGTTTGGAGCCAAAAATATGCTTGCATGAAAGAAAACATACTAAAATATATAAAAATAAGGGTTTTTTTGGTGGTGAGTGATACAGAAGTGACTAACTGGTGGTACAAATTAATTTTGTATTCATATGAATTTGGTGCAGTGTTCAGTGATTTAAAATGCAATTGAGTAAAAGTACAAATATTCAATTTTAATTAATATTGATTAATGTACAATAATATTGATTAATGTACAAATCTTCCAAATGATGTTTAAGTACAGTATTGAAGTGGAAGTACTGTAGCACAAGTGCTTTCCACTCCTTTCCACCCCTACAGAATCATAACTCAGATTATTACACTATACAAATGTATCATCTTTTTGTTAGAAATATTAAGTATTTTCATATGTAGCGCTCCTTAGGTGTCATCACTTTGCTTAATGTAAGACACAGTGTCAGCTGTTTGTGGCCCAACCCTCTTTGCAGTTCTACTTAGAATAAAGCATCTATATAAAAATCTATTTTAAAAAAATGACATTATAAGACAGCACATTGTATATGTGTAATGTATTTAATTTTTTCCATATGTGCCTTACCTAAATGTTTAATTAAGAAAATTAATACATATGTATATTTCTAGATTTGTATACCCACAATGATGAACATACTGCTGTCTGCTGCTGATGACCATTTTGAATTATACCTTATTAGAGTGCAACATTTTAGGTGTCATTTGAGTGAGAAATTCATATTGCACCTTTTCTCTCCATATTCTTGGCATGTAGGTGAACGTGGTGTGACTCTGTCAGGAGGTCAAAAGCAGAGGATTGCCATTGCTCGCGCCCTCATTAAAAACCCCAGCATCCTGATCCTGGATGAGGCCACAAGTGCATTGGATGCTGAGTCGGAACGCGTGGTCCAGGAGGCGCTGGACAGAGCCACCACAGGACGTACCGTCCTCATTATTGCTCACCGTCTCAGCACCATCCAAGGGGCTGACCTTATCTGCGTCATGAGCAATGGCAGAGTGGTGGAGGTGAGGACATAAGAGACCTTTTTAAACCACAACAGGCCTTTAAAAATCATTCTGACCCTATAGTTTTGGACACAATGTCAAAATTAGGGTGACCAGATACTCCATGGTTCAGTACAAGACAAAGATGTTTATATTTCATAAAAATATAATTAAATTCATTAGATTTTTCATTTGAGAACTTTCTTTTTCAAGGACCTTTCTCTCAGAGGGCATACACATCCATTCTTAGTCATATATCAACAGCTCTAACACAGAAATAGAAAGCTCTTAAGTATGTCTTCAGATGGAGAGGATAGCCATCACTACACCTGCTGAAAACATGCCATTTATATTACTAGAGTGGTGTAGTAGTCTCCAGATTGAGGTTTTCTGGTTTAAAGACTGCGAAAAGCTTCTTTTGATGATGTACCTTGAAGGTAGTAGAGACTTTTGAAAAACTGCAACCCCTTTGGGGTGGATTTTTGCAGAATCTGAAATTTTTGCAGGTTTCTTTTTCTCTTTTTTCTGGTAATTGCAGAAGGAAGGCAGATAGCTAATGTAACTGTGAGGAAGCAGCTGTATAAATTGGAACAACTGTTTTCAAATCCACAATACAATGGACAGAATGGGTTACTCAAATGACAGAAATGTCTTGTAAGATGAGAAATGTCTTGTAAGATGAAGAGGTAAAAGTACCACTAATGCTAGCCTGGTATTTATAGTCTATGGCTTATTGGCTAGGCAAGCAGTCAGGATTGATGACATTTGCATAATGCACGTTGGGTGCTATAGGGAGAGAATGAAAATTACAACAAAAAAACATAACAGCATATAAAAATATAAAAAATCATAAAAACTGATGAGGCTGAGAATACTGTAACAATATAACAAATAACATATGCCGGAATGTCCCTTTATGTTTGCTGGAATCTGAAAGATCTGTTTCAGCAGCTTTTGCCTGGACTGTAGTATCTTGCCCACCTGCAGCCCTGTCAAAACATATGACTGGCTAAATTTCATTCTGTCCAGTTATCTGTTTTACAATGAGTTGATGTTATTAGTGATTACACACAAACTGCAGGTGTATGCACTTGCATTGTATGCATCAGTTTGCACAATGCATATTCTGTGCAATGTTCCTACAATTAAAAAAGGGACTGAGCTATTGAACCAGCTTGAGTTGATTATAGAATGATGTTACAAAGAACAATTGTGGCAAGTTCACTATATATTCAGTATAATTCATTATATAAAATCACCATACCAAAAATGTTTATTTCTACCTCTGCAAGACTCAAAAGATGCTAAAGGACATCTAGGATAGGGTTGAATAAATTTGATAGAAAGGACAGAACTTTACAGAAATTAAGGCATGCCTCATTAATTCCTGTGCCATGAAAACTTGACCTGACTCTAGTTTAGACTACATTCATTTCCTGGTATTTTGCATGTAGCCTACTTATGGTATTTGTAAAATGCATAGGAAGATGTCTTTTTTACATTAAATATCCAATCTCCTGACGTATTTAATTGTTCATCTGTTTGTTTTTAAGGCTGGAACACACCTGGAATTACTGAGCAAAGGCGGTCTGTATGCTGAGCTAATAAGAAGACAAAGATCTAATGGCCAACAGTGAATCAATGACGAAGAGCTGTGGAGTCCAAAGCACCATTACTGTGGTTTTGTTTAATGTTTACTGGATGTAAATGATATCTTTAAATTACATTTGACTTTAAACTCTAATGTTTGTATACCATTTGTTAACAGCGTGCTTCACACTGCTTATAGATCAATGCTTTGTGAAAGTATGAACTCAGGATTGGATTAGGCTTGTGTTTGGAATGGACGTTATTCCTAAGCATTACAGAGTATTTTGTCTCCAGACTGCAAGTATTTTAACGAATATTTTTTTAAAATTTTTCAATTCAAATGTAGCGTTTCCTTACACGTGTGTGTACATCACTGTATAGTAATTATTAAGTGTATGAATGTTTTACTGTGATATAAAGAATTTGTGAATGACCATACAGAGGAGTTGAGATGTACATTTGATGTAACTGGAGTACTAGGAATAAATAAATTAAATTATTACTCATGTCTGTCATGTAAATCAATATAGATATATTTTATAGCAATAATACATACTTTTATAGAAATGTGTTAGTCGTATAGCTATTCACATACACTCATTGTCCATTTTATCAGTTCCTCTCACCATGTCGGCTCAAAGAGTGTTTGTGCTATATTTGCCGCAAACCTATGTAAATGAACCATGTGATATTAATCGGTGCAATAAACTACTGAAATGGTTTGCGGGCACAGCTTTTGTTCATTTATGAGAACACAGCGCCACCTAATTGCAGAACACAATATGGACAAAACAAATTTCTCCTTCCTGCATATATTTGAAATGAGCATGACAAGCTGCCTTACATCTTAACTATTGTTAACATGTAAGGTTTATTTGTTTTGTTAATTCGACATAGACATTTAGATACATAGTTACTAAGAAAGCTGTATTTGCCAGATTCTACGACTAACCTCTGCAATTAATAAGGCTGTACATTTAATTCCGCCCCACGTTCCGTGCGGCAGATAGTGACAATTACAGAAAGAAGAAGGGGCGTGGTTATACACGTAGCAGCCCCCGTGTTGTCATTTAAAGAGACGAAAGGGCGGAGTTAAACGTTTCCCTGAGCGATCATGATAGATCTATGAGTGTCAATGATAGACAGTGTCAGTGGCGTATTTGGAGGCAACAGGCTGTATGAACTAGGTTATGTTAAGCATTGGTTTGAAGTCCATCTTGGGAGTTCCTGGTTCAGCCTTAAAGGCGATTTTTTCTTCTAAATTATTCAGTCGTTAGGGTATAAAAAAGTCATTAGTGGTTTGAAGTAAAACGGCTCTTAGTAGAGGCTCATTGTGGTGATAGGAACCAGGGGTTGCTGTTTACAACGTAAGTTTACTATTCAGAAAATCACTTGCGAGCCTAGACGTATCTTCTGAGTTCTTTAGTGCGATGTTGATAATGGTAAAACAGTAGCAATCTGAAAAAAAAAAGATTTATATGGGTACTATTTTGACCTACAACATCCGGCGTGTACCTCTCCGTCATGAATTGCTTTTAAAGTACGCTGTATGTCTATCGTAAAATGAGTCGGACATCTGGCAACTATTCTGAATCGTTTAACGTAAGAACTTTATGTGTATTGTGTGTGCATTAGCTTTAGGGGCATTAAACACTTCAGACATCTGGTTCTTATCTGTCGAAGTTTTTTTTTTTCTAGAACGAGACATTCCACATCAAACTGCTATAATTTTGCTTAGATCTTAATCATTTAATTATGCAGAAATTTTGAGAAATCGGTTTAATTCCCCTTTAAAAGAAATTTGTTTTCTGAAGGAGCTGCATTATGAAAACACTGTGTGGTCGGTTTATATCAAAATATCTAAATAGTTTAATCTCTCTGTGGTGGATTCTGAAATGGCTCCCTAAATGTACGTGACATATTGGTAAATGTGATTCCATTTTTCTGTTTTGCAAACGTAATGGTTTAGTTCTTCATTTGCGTGGCGGCTGGTTGTGCTACAGCTAGAACTTTTACTTTGAAGTTTCGCCTCACTCTAGCCATGTTGACGAGGCAGCCACGCCCCTTCTCCTGTTGACTAGCCGACGGTATCAAGTGGATAAAACTGCCTTAGCCAGCGAACAAAATATCGGAGTACACAGTGGCACCAGGCAGCTGGCTAGCTGCTTACAGCTAGTATTACTGGTTCAACATGCAGAAGTATGAAAAACTAGAGAAAATTGGAGAGGGTAAGTTGGTGCATTAAGCTGTCTTCCTTACCGCTGGTTGGGAAAGACGCTAGTGCCGTTGCTAGCCATGGGCTAGCTAGGTTAGCTAGCTAGCTAAGCAGGCACAGAGCCGCTTAGCTTTACCGGCGAAGGCCAGCTTGCCTACCTCAGCTTACCTCTAGATTGTACCTTAAAGTGGTAGAAACTATGAAAGGTGATGAAGAGGTTGCCATTAGTTTAGTTAGCTACGCGCCAAGAACAGACCTGGACGTTTCAAAAACGAAGCAAAAGCGATGTGTCCGGTGTCTGTGTGCCTCTAGTTAGCCAGTCGCCAAGGTCCCGTATAGCTAAGTAACCGTTCGTTAAGGTTTAATAATAATAGTTAACCTAATATCTTGCTAAATTATATCATATTGTATTCGTAGTTATGCCTCCTGTAGTCACTCAAGTATTCTAAAACGAATTGTGCATCTCTAGGTTATAAATGTGGCATTCTGCTTAACCAGAAGAATTCGCCTGAATTAGTAATTAATATTCGGCCAATCTTTGCTTTTGGAATGTTGACAGTTTATAATCCCTCTAAAGCTATTGATATGGCACCTACTATTTACATGCTTATTCAAAGTCCTCAATTAGTAGCTGGCTCAGCAGTAAGACATTTGGTAACCAGCGAGTGTGTGAGATCCGTTTTGATGCTGCTCAGCTGTGGTCCATCAGATAGAGCTGCTAGTAGAGTTGGGCGATATGGCCAAAAACGTTATCACGATAAACAAAACTCATATCATTCGATATCGCTACATATCGCGATAAATGTCATCATTATTTCTTTCACATTTGAAGGCTGATTTTGCTCCTGGGTGGTTAATTGCGGTTTTAAACTATCACTTATGGTCGGATCATGACAAACACTCGGCAAACAGTGGAACATTTCACAAATCTGTCTTGGGACAGTGGGAGAAAGTTTCTGAGCTGTTTTTATCAGCTGGAAAAGCACAGCTGCAATTTTTGTAACAGTCATTATTTAAGAAAGAAAACAGATTATTTCTAGCTGTCTGGTGACGAGTGCTCAGCTGTCCAGTTACAAATACTAAACAAGTGGCCAACAGCAGTGCTAAACTCTTCAGTTTCTCAACAACGTCAACTCGGTTCGGTAGGTCACTGCTGTCACTCCTACCACATCCTTGTCAGAGCATATCACAGTATTCAGACACCAGCTAGCGACGACTGGATTTCTCTATGCTATCGTAGTAGTTTAAGGGGTGAACCGCAAAATATCTTGACGTTCGCTGTGTAAAAGCATTATCTGCAGTGTGAATCTCTCGTACCAGTCAAACAGAGTCCTCCTTTTAGGTATGTTTAAACTGAAAGTGGTGATTTTGTGTCTTGTTTGATCTACCGTATCATCAATTCACCGTGTTGCGCCAGAGCGCTGCTTCAATTAGCCAGCAGCTAAAAAACAGCTAGCCTGGAAAGATAGCGCTCTCCTGCTCTCCAATGCCTCACAGCTTCCTCAGTTTACTTTGGTTTAAATCAGGGCTGTAACTAACATTAACCCACTTCTTTCTTTCACTTTCGTTGCTCGAGAATGCACTAATACTAAAATATGATGGTTTGGCGCTGTAACACGGCGCTGCAGACGTGATTTAACACCGCTAAAGTTGTTAGGATGCACAGAAAGAGGTGAGTTCACCGTAGGACAGTACAGTTACATCACTTATCTCGTCACTTGATCACAGGAGAACAGATCGCCGGTCGCTCCACTCAATCAGGGAATGTATAACTCCAAGTTTCAGATGTTGCTAAAGTATATTTGGCAACCCTTTTTTTTTCTTGTGGCCTCCTCCTTCTCTAATCAAGTCGAAAAACTCGGAAGTGCGCCCTCTCCTGGCGACAGCAGAGTAGTGTCACTTTCCTTGCAGTAGAAAACGCCACCAGGGCTTTCGCTAAAACGTGGAAGTGTGAGAACGGTGTATTGTATTGAAAATTTATCGAACCTGCCTTATCGCTCTATCGAGGAAAAGTTATATCGCGATACTTATCGTTACAGTTTTATCACCCAGCCCTAGCTGCTAGGGTTCCTTTTTCTGGAGAACATGGCTTTGGTTCCTGTGTCCACCAAGATAGAGAAGGGTGCCAGCAGTTTTGCATCCTTGCATGTTGGTAGCATTGGATTATTGTATTCCCCACACTAAATATGCCAGATTAATAACCAAATTTAGAGATGGCACTGATTCCAGGTATCAGTATTAGGTCGATATCAGGACAAGATGCTGGATCGGGTATAACAGGAAAGAAAATGAATCAGATTCATTTCTGTTATGTATCTAGCCTGTAATAGCACACTTTGTGGGATGTCAGCTGACAGACTGATAGATTACACGTTTTATAAATGTTTATTGATCTGTGTAGGCAACAGCAGAAAAATGTACATGAAAAACATTGGATAATGACATCAACCCACAATTCCCATGTTGGTGCATCCTTGCTTGTTAGCTATTTATTTCTTCCTGTGGGGTAGTAATTTTTGAGCATGAGAGCTTACATTCAGATTCTCATTTTAAGTGAAGTGCTTAATTGAATGTAGCTCATTTTAAAGCTTAGTAGCTTTTAAAGAAAGAAATATCCATATCAGTCTAGTAAAGAAAAAAATGAGCCATCTATAATGAGAATACTAAATTGAATACTAGAGAACTACGACTTGTGGCTATATGCTTTTTTACACTGTGTGATGACTGAACTTTGGGTCTACAGTGCTTTTCTTAACTGGGAATCAGTGCTTGATTTCAGTCTCGTCTAACAGGTACCTATGGAACAGTCTTCAAGGCTAAAAACAGAGAGACTCATGAGATAGTGGCTCTGAAACGGGTCAGGCTGGATGATGATGATGAGGTAAGTAATTCAGACAGTACTTCTGGCAGTATATTAACTGTACATTGTAAAATGTTTGTTTTATATTAACCACTTTCTCTTGTAGGGAGTTCCCAGTTCAGCCTTAAGAGAAATTTGCCTCTTGAAGGAGCTGAAACATAAAAACATTGTCAGGTAGGATTATTTACTAGAATTTCAGTTGGTGTCTTTTCATATTTGACACACATTTGCAGTCGTACACTAAATAATTATCATTTTCTATTCCACTAGCACTGTACTGAAGTATTAAAATGTTTGTTAGTCCTGATTGTTTTGTTTGTTTGTTTGTTTTTTGTTTAAGGTTGCACGATGTTCTACACAGTGATAAAAAGCTGACGCTAGTGTTTGAGTATTGTGACCAGGTAAGGCAACATTTGGTCAGAAAACGTCTTCTTGAAGCGTCTCAAAGCTGTACAGGAGTAGTGATCTGATGAGTTTCCTAGCTTTTGTTATTATGTACAGGACAGGACAGCTGCATGTTATCCAGATGACGAAATTGTGTAACCAAGGCAAGGGTATATTCTACTTAGAATCTACTTATTTAAGATTTGTGTAATGTATGTTTACGTGTATTACTGTTTATGCTAAAAATAACAAAAAAAGTTTTTTCATAAAAGTCAGGAAAATGTAACTTCGGAATTGAAGAGTGTGGGTCTGATAGGTGCTGATGGCCTCCATCACTTCCGATCAGATTCCACTCTGAAGAAGCCCCACCTATATGACTGTGTCTCAAATAAGCCCTTGTAATGAGCAGTGTTAGGTTAGCTAAAAAGGATGCTAAAGAGGGTGAGTCTGAAATTGTCCTTTCAGATCCAGTGCCTTTGCTGATTTCCAAACAGAAAATACTTGTATGTTTACATTTTAATTCTCAATGTTTAACACACCCTTTTGACACATCCCTCAAGAAGGAGGGCTGATTCCACAGCAACGGCTGTGATTTCAAGGCTAGGTTAAACAAGAATATTTTCATATTTTAAATATATAAATTTATGGAAGTATGCACTATAACAAACTAATAACTTATTCAGTGTAGGCTGAAATATAAACTAGGCGTCAGCAAGTATCTTTAGTTTTTTTTTTATTCAGTGTTTCACGTTTCTTCAAAAAAAATGAAAATTAAGAAATGATTCATATAATACTGTAATTGTTGCTGTTTATTAAGTTAATTTTGTGGAGATTTGATCATGACTTTAAATACATGGCATTCTGGATGTTCATTCTCAATGCTAAACACATCTTTCAGTTTTAATGGATCATCCTCAGATGTGGACACATCTAAAATTGCTAATTTCTTAATAATTATTGAAAACAGTGACTCAAAAACTTTTAAACAGTAACAATGCATGTGGCTTCATTAACAGGATCTAAAGAAATATTTTGACAGCTGCAATGGCGACTTGGATCCAGAGATTGTAAAGGTAAGAGTTTTCTTTGTGCTCTCTAATATGAAAGCCATGGAACACCATGCCATTGAAATGCATTATGAAGTGAATCTTTTGTTTCAGTAACTTGAACAATGTACCTCCAAGGGCACCCAACTATATTACAGGACGTCCACCAGCCTGGAGAGTGGTAGATTAACCCAGAACTAACTGTGCAGTTTAATGCATCTTCAGAAGCAGAGTTGAGTGTGCCTAATGTAAATCTTTAGCAGCTTGACTTGTCTATAAGCTACGCTGTTTATCTCCATAAATTAAACAGAATGGTTGCTCACTGGTAGTAGGCAGTCTGCGTAGATACACAGAATACATAAATAGAATTTGGTTGTTAAAATGCAAGTGATCAGCTCAAGATTTGGCTATGTTGTACATGACGGTGTTTGGGATGAATGATCTTTGAGACAACGCATCTCTGTTCCACTTCGGTGGAGTCAGCTAGCTCTTTATATTTTCTAAGAGTATTTTCGTTTCTTGTACAGTTTTCTGCAAAAGGGTGATATTGCTTAGCCCTTACAGCAAGTCCTCTAGTTGTAAAATGTTTTTAAGCAGTATTTTGCTGGTCCATTTGTATTTTTACTTGCGTGCAAAGAAAACTAAGTAGCACAATGCATATTGTAAATTATGAAAACGTCTGTGTGTTACATTTTTGCCATGTCACTTACCCTCAATTTGCAGGCTTGATTGTGTAAGCACAAAAGCATTCTTCACATGGGAAATGTTAAATGCCAAAGGGTTCAGACTGTGTTGTTATTCCTCTTCTACTACAGTCCTTCATGTATCAGTTGCTGAAAGGGCTAGCCTTCTGCCACAGTCGCAATGTTCTTCACCGGGACCTTAAGCCACAAAACCTGCTTATCAATAGAGTAAGTACATGATTGTCTACTCACCTGATACTCAACTTGGTCCATTGTCGGTCACGGTTCTACAGGTATTTGTTCTAACCCTGAGTGCCAACACCTGTTTTAACTAATGGTTTCTGTTTCTTAATGATAAATAGAATCGAACTACTGAGAGTGGCTGTTGGTGAGCATGCCTAGAGCAAATACTTGTATGTACTGTGCTTTTGTATACCATTTGTGTACCCTGTAAGGACCTGATAGCATACTTGTGTGTAGTACACCTTGACAGCTGTCAGAGGGCGTTATTCTGAAGGCATCACTCAGGAAACACTGACATGAAAAGCTTGTAATGTTTGCTTGGCCAGTTGTTCTTAAAATTGCTTAAATAGCTGTGAATAAAATACATTCCTTTTTTTGTGAATGCACCATATAAATCAAGTATCAAACATTTTCATAAGTTGTCTTGAAAATGGCTCAAATAATATAATATGAAGTATTTATAGCTGCAGCAATTGCAAACAGGACAGGGTAGAAACATTTTCCTTATTTGATCTTGCAGAAGGTACACATTTGGTTTCATGCATGTTTGGATAGGGTACACTTGAGATGGGAAATGCGAAGGGTTTTGGTATTTTCTTTCAGTGAAAATTTTTCTGTACTTGATAGCCTAACAATAGCTGAATTGGCTGTCCCTTTAAATAGTCACACCTGGTTCAAGTGCTGCACATCAGGCAGTTTAGCTTGTCAAACCCAGGAGAAACAACACTGCAGTGTTGATACATTTATGATGAAACTTACATACTGATGACAGAATGACAGTTGTGGAAATAAAGTGCCTAGACACATGCCTTTTTATTTTTTTAAACTAAACAAAAACATGAAACGCATTAGCACAGAATTTGCCAAAGTTGAGATATAATTAACATTATTTGCTCTTTAATGGACCAAACAGGCATTAAAAGTTATGAAACAAAAAACATTTGCCTATTTAAATAGCACATTTTGCCTATTTAAAGAACATGATTTAAATAAAAAGTGCTACAATGAAAATAAGAGGCTATTTAGCACAATTAGTCATGTATTAAATTATAATTATACTACAACATTTTGTTGTAGGTGTATTAGCAGCATTCAAATAAAGCAAGAGTTCACTTACCTGTTTTGGTGTTTGGAGCAAAAAATAGCCAATTCCAGTCTTGGCTGATTCTGATCGTGCATCCCTAATCACAGTGCTACACTGTTCAACCATGCATGAAACCAAGAGTAGCACAAAGGTTTAATAGTTAGAGAGACTACTACTGTTAGTCCAGCTACTAGTACTAATACTCCAGTACTTCAGAATACAGCTAATATCAAATAAGACTGCACAATATTTAGAGTCACAAAGTCTCCTTTATGTTTAAAACAAGCTTATTTTTTGGACCTGGTTGGTAAACCTGGCTTTGATTTCATGCTTCCTTACATTTGACATTATTTATTATTCTTTAGAATGGTGAGCTGAAATTAGCTGATTTTGGTTTGGCCCGGGCATTTGGAATTCCTGTACGGTGTTATTCTGCTGAGGTAGGACCAAGTACATGTGTCTTTTGCTCTCAGATTCATTAATTTAATTTTAAATTCCTTAATTCTTTCACTGAAGAACATGACCATGCATCACACTTGATCAGCATGCGTTGTGTGGTTTGACTAGTTTTGGTTCATTTTAGGTGGTAACATTGTGGTACAGGCCACCAGATGTGCTGTTTGGTGCCAAATTGTACTCAACCTCAATCGACATGTGGTCAGCTGGATGCATATTTGCAGGTTGGAAATGGAAACAGAAAAATAATCTCAGTAATTTACCTTGTTTGCAAAATTGTGTTTTAATGTTAACATTTTTTCTGTTTGCATTTAGAGCTAGCAAATGCAGGTCGGCCACTTTTTCCTGGGAATGATGTGGATGACCAGTTGAAAAGGATCTTTAGATATCCTTTAGCTGTTTTTGTTTGTCATGTGTTGTTTTTTTTCCAACCATATATTGGTAGCTGAGTAAATCATTGGGTAGTTGTTCTTAATTTGTACTTGCCTAATACATGCACTAGCATAATGCAGGCATGTTTATCATGCAGTCAACTTGTCCTTGCATCATAATGTGCAGAGGTATCTGTGAAGTTCCTTCCTGATAACTGCGGTATAGCTTAAGTTGAGGTAGTGGTTTCATTCAGACTCAAGATGGTAAAGTAACATTTGAAAGTTTATTAGTTCTGCTAATTGCAAGGCAAATATCTCTTTGTGAACTGCTGGCATTCTTTAACATGTTGGCACGTTGCTGGGGACACCAACAGAGGAACAGTGGCAGACTATGACCAAACTCCCAGATTATAAGGTATAACACTCATTCCACAAAAAATATTGCTGCTTTGTTTTCCCAAAATCTTTTCATTGCAGTCCAGTCAAAGTTAACATTAAAAATGTGTTAACATGATAAATAATAAACAATACTATTTTTTTTTTTTATTTGTTTTGACCATCTGTAGATTCAGTTCAGTTAAGGGGAAGAAGAGATAAACAAGCCTATTGTCCAAAGTAGGGATGAAAATGTTTGGCACATTTTTTTGACCAATAATCAACCATCATTAGTCTAGGGTTAAGGTTAGGGTTATGTAATTAATTGCTAACTGATAAGCCTAAAATCAGGAGCACGACTCATTAAAATATCAGTTACAAACAAATGGTTCCAGTCCTGAAATCTGATTGGCTGAGCCATATTTTAAGCCAGGCGTGTCCAATCTTGTCCGCAAAGGGTCAGTGTGGCTGCAGGTTTTCACTCCAGCAAAGTAGGAGGTCACCTGATAAATTGTTTGAAGACTAAGACCAACTGATTGAACAAGTGGAGTGGAGGTGTGCTCCAGCTTGTTTGGAGTGAAAACCTGTAGCCACACAGGCCTTTTGCGGATAAGATTGGACACCCCTGTTCTAAGCCGTTATAAAATACTTAATATACGCACGCTTATGAGTACACACATCAACTTATTTCTGTATTAATATACTAAAATATTGTGCTCCTTGTATGTGGAACTGTGGAATGTAGTACTGGTAGGTTGGGCCAGTGTCTACATGAAGTAAGTGGCCCAAAACCATATTAAACTTACCCTAAGTAATAACCTTTTTTGTTTAAACCAAGGGGTTGAGAACTGTAATATGTTCATGATTATATGACCAAAAAGAAAAACTTGACAAAATGAGTGGAACAGAATGATGGGCTACTGAAAGTTCGGTATTCTAAAATTCTAAATTATATTTATTTACTAGCTCAAGTTAAAACAAACATAAATGCATGACCAGTACAGGTTTGGCTCAGTGTACCTCACTAGCTCTTGAAAGCCCTCACCATCCACTATGTGCATGTCTAGAATTTTGCATACTCATGTGATTTCCTCACACCACCATGCATCACACTTTCTTTAAGAGAACATGGATGGAATAGATGTCTGTAACACTTTATTTGGATAATCAACTGTAAATGCCTTGTAGATGCTCACCTCACATCTAATTATCTATAAAATTTACCATAATTTACCCTAACCTTAAACCTTGATCTACCGTTGGATTTGGCTGCCCAACTTTATCCCTAAAGTGAGACCTAGTTGTCTGTTTAATCACTTACAGATGTTTGCTTTGATATGGTACTTTAGTTGTGCTGTCATCCTCTTAAACACCAGTGCTGTTCAAATAGAAACTGTTGTTTATTGGAACATTTTTAATTGTTAGAATTGGTTGAACAACTGTTTGTCATTTAATGGTTCATCAGTTAATAATTTACATCTCTAATAAAAAGCCTCATTTAAAATATTGCTTTAGAGATTGATTTATTGTTGAAGCTGTCCTTCCTTTGGAATAACTAAAAATGGTTATTTTAATTATATGTTTTATGTTTTATAGCCATATCCAATGTATCCTGCAACCACATCGCTTGTGAATGTTGTCCCAAAACTTAGTAGCACAGGACGGGACTTACTTCAGGTAGGTTATTAAAGAGTGCCTTTGTACAAAATCCATTATTTAAGAAGCTTTTATCCTCAGTTTTTCTGATTGTATTGATTGTATCTGCATTGTTTTGGTTTTCTTTGCAGAATCTTCTGAAATGCAATCCCGTGCAGCGTATTTCGGCAGAGGAGGCACTACAACACCCATACTTTGCAGATTTCTGCCCTCCATAGTGTCCGAAGCTCTTGACCCTCATTCTTCAGAATGGACCAACATGGTCTTACCTCGCGCACCCCCTCAAAAAACATCTTTCTGGTTTTATTCTTCATAGTTTGCACCTACCTTTTCTGTGACATACTCCTCTTGATGTCACTGAATATACACTGCATATAGAGACATCTAAACTTCACCGGTCAAGCCCTGTCAGATTTGCTTTAGCCAGTTGCCAAATGTGCTTAATAGTTCTCAATCGTTTACAAACTACAGTTTTGAAGGCAAGACTTCAAGGTAGTAATCTATTTTTTGAAGCTCAGATGAACAAAGTAAGTTTGATAGTAGACAGGTTGCTTACCAGCCCATGGCATGGTTATGTATAGAAGGGTTTTAAGAAACTAAGCAAATAATCGTTTTCTTCAATGAGGTTTCAGTTTTGCTATTTATTTATTTTTTTTTGCACTTACTAAACAATATAGTAAGTGTGTAGAAAGTATTGGTCCCTCTGCTCAGTGTTTCTATGGCTTTTTATTCTACTAGCCATGTATGAAGGAGCTTTAGGTTAATATAGTGTACATTCATAGGTAATTTTTAGTCTAAATATCTTCTAACTTGGAAATGTTTCATCATTTTAGTTCATGTGCTGAGTTAAAAACTGACATTCTTGAGAGTTACATAGTACGTTGTTTTTCTGCTTTCTTTTCTTTTGTCACTGGAAGGACACCACTCAGCCCTCAGATAGATCTGAAGTGTGTTTGATGTGTGACGTGGACCACAAGTAGCTCTTCTTTTCTAATAGCCTTGACAATATGTATGTCTAAAGTGTAGTGTTTTAACATATGGTGTAATATTCACATTGAAGTCATTCCTTCGATTCCCGCAGAATATGTAGCAACAAACATTGTGAACCCGCTCAAATATCTCATGAGAATCAGCCTCAGACCTCACAAGAGACAAGTTTCCACTGTTGGAACTTGGAGCCAAGTAGTTTGTAGATGTTCCTGGTCCATAAACCCCTGATTGTGGTGTTTCCAAAAATGAGAGAAACGATTGTAATATAATGAAAATTTTAGGCCTCTTTTAAAGTGCCCAGGTTTAAAAATAAGGAGATACATATGTACCTGTTAATGCAAGTGTGTAAAAACTAGGAAAGCTCACCTGTGGTACCTGGGCGTTACCTCAGTCACTTTGCAAACTACACAGATCAGATAATCACGACTGTCAAGGAGTTATCCCAACTGTTTTCTGGCTTGTTTTTTGTTGCATAATTCAGGTGTTGAGATGTAAACAAAATCAGTCAGAGTGGTTTGATGTGAAATCGTGCATTGATAAGAAACCTACTGAGTCTGGTTTCTTTACAGTGGTGGTAAAAGGGACTAGAAGGTGTCATGTCTACAACGCTGATAATAGCCATTTTATGTATATTTTTATGCATATTTATGTAAAGTGACCAGTGAACCTACATCTATATGTGATATTGATAATGGTAAAAAAGTGGGAAATCTGAAAAAAGGGGATTATTTTGCCTTACAACACCCTGCATGTAACACTACTGTGCATGTATGTTCAGTTATACATTTTAAGTGCAAACCTTACCACAAAACAGTGTCTGAGGCATCAGGCAGAGTATTTCTAACCATTTCATGTAATAGCTTTCTATGAGGGAACTTTGAGGTATTAAACCTTTCAGATGTCTATTTCCTGTTACTACCAGTAAGTGGCTTGGTCATTTTTTTGTTTTAAATAGAGCAGGACACATCAAATTACTCTGACTGACTTTCTGTACTTCTCAACCATTTAATTCTGTAGGCATTTTTAAAAAATTGATAATTGATTTAAATACATTTATCATCACCTTTCACTGTATTATAAATTCGAGTTATACAGGTTTCAGGCCTTTCATAGTGATTGTATCATTGATCAGAAAAGTTGTACCCTTTTTTGGGGGGAAACAATACATTGCTTAGTTTACTTTTAGGATGGTGAATAATTTCTGTTTTCCATTTTCGTTCTGTTAAGTGAATTAGAATGCATGTATTTATTTGTTTATGAATGTTTGCTGAGTAGTAGACTTTTTAAAATACAAAAAAATCAGGGTTATTATGGGGCGTGGCCGTTCCTGGTTTATTTTGTTGGACTTTCGTTGGAAAACTCAATATGAATGGGAATTGGAGGCTCATTTTCAGAAACAAACCAAAACATTAACGCAGTATTCAACCAATGCATTTTGTTCTAATTGTTGACAACAGGTACGCATTTCATATGCTAGACAACAAAGTTCCACTAAGTTCTCAAAAATCAGTTACCAACCTTTACCAAAGCCTGTAAGATTTGCCAGGAAATCAGCACAATCCTGTTCTTCAACCCTGCAGTACAGTACCACAGAATAAAGATGAACATTTTTGTTTGTGATATATTTGGCACTCTACTGTATGTGTGTTTACGTTGTAAGAATTTATTTTTCACATCTATTAAATATGTTTTCATCAAGATAAGATGACTCAGGATTTGAGTACAGAGCTACAATAAAATGTGCTAGAGATTTTGAAAGTTGTCCTGTAGGTGTCGGGGCAAGCTTGTTGAGGCTAAAAGACAGATTTGTCTGTCTAGTGTATATGTTTGTATATATACACCCATCAGGCATAACATTATGACCACCTCCTTGTTTCTACGCTAATTGTCCATTTTATCAGCTCCACTTACTATATAGGTGCACTTTGTAGTTCTACAATTACAGACTGTAGTCCATCTGTTTCTCTGCATAACACACCACCACATCAGTGTTACTGCAGTGCTGAGAATGATCCACCACCCAAATAGTACATGCTCTATGAGGGTCCATGGGGGTCCTGACCACTGAAGAACAGGGTAAAAGGGGGCTAACAAAGTATGCAGAGAAACAGATGGACTACAGTCTGTAATTGTAGAGCTACAAAGTGCACCTATATAGTAAGGGCAGCTGATAAAATGGACAGTGAGTGTAGAAACGAGGCGGTCTTAATGTTATGCCTGATCGGTGTATATCACAATTCCTGACATTTAATCCTAGTACACATTCCCTCTCTTAGGTCAGTTACGATCACAACTATATTTTAATAATGTGAAATGTCGAAGTAATTCAAGATACATACACATGGTAGTATTAGTATTTGGCAGCATTGACTTTAAATTGTTTAACTTGGATAGCTTTCCAGGTAGCCTTCCACAAGCTTCTCGCAAATTTTGGCCCATTCCTCCTGACAGAACTGGTGTTACTAAGCCAGGTTTGTAGGCCTCCTAGCTCACGCACACTTTTTCAGTTCTGCCCATAATTTTCTATGGGATTGAGGTCAAGGCTTTATGATGGCCACTCCATTACCTTCACTTTGTTGTCCTTAAGCCATTTTGCCACACCTTTGGAAGTATGCTTGGGGTCATTGTCTATTTGGAAGCCCCATTTGTGCCCAAGCTTTAACTTCCTGACTGAAGTCTAGAGATGTTGCTTCAATATCTCCATATAATTTTTCTTCCTCATAATGACATCTATATTGTGAAATGCAACAGTCCCTCCTGCAGCAAAGCACCCCTATGGTTCACGGTTGGGATGGTGTTCTTTGGTTTGCAAGCCTCCCCCTTTTTCCTCTATATATTATGATAGTCATTATGGCCAAACAGTTCCATTTTTGTTTCATCAGACCAGAGGACATTTCTCCAAAAAGTAAGACATTTGTCCCCATGTGCAGTTGCAAGCTGGAGCAGTGGCTTCTTCCTTGCTGAGCGCCCTTTCAGGTCATGTCTATATAGGGACACGTATTACTGTTGATATAGATATTTTTGTACCTGTTTCCTTCAGCATCTTCAGAAGCTTGTTTGCTGTTCTTGAATTGATTTGTATTTTCCACACCAAAGTGTGTTCACCATACCTTCTGGTGAAAAGTCAGGCTGGCTAAACTGCTACTCAAGTGTCACAAAAATGGAATCTCAAATAGCTCCCTACTCCCTATGTAGTGCATTAAATATGTCATGAAATAATGGCTTCTAACCCCAAGTAGTGCTTTATGTGTCAGACAGCCATTATCTGCATGACTATCTATCTGACGTTTAGACCAGCATTTGGATGTAGAAGCTATAGATCCATGCAGTGCACAAATGGAGTAGGGAGGGTTTAAGTTGCAGCTGAGGTAAGAAAAACCTTGCAACAGGTACAACTTACATTCCATTACCAACTCACCCACTCACACATTTTTCCTTCAATTTTGCATCCTTCAAATTCTCAGAAATGAAAAATGCATTTCTTGGAAGCGTTTAAAGGATTCTACAAAATGCCTGTCCCGGCTGTATCCTCAGCTTTCAGGCAAGTCTAATGTTTGGCGTAATGTGTTGGTGAGGTTCTGGGCTCCACACCATTCCTGAGAAGTGTCTGAGGAGAGTTCTCTAAAATGTAAACATGGCTGCTGCTAGTTGAAACTGTTGTGGGATCTGTTTTTATAGAAAAGCTCTCCATGTTACCCATACCTTCTTCCTTTCCCACGCCTCCTTCTTTTCACAAGATACTGGAAGTACTACTTGTAGTCATCATCAAACATCTGGTTTGCTTCATGATGTTAAATCAGGTGTGCTGTTGATGATTATCAAGCTTTGATCTTCAAACTAGCTCACAAAATATCAAATACTTCTTTCAAAAGAAGATATTTTGTTACTTTTTCTTGCAATTATGTTTGCTTGTATTTATTCTAATGATATGGTTTTTACAAAACACACACATTGTCAAGATAAAAGTTTTTTTTTTTTTTTAAATGTGCTTCGGTGCCTAAGACTTTTGCACGGCACGGTATGTACATAGAAATTTAGCACTAAATTTTGATGCCAACAACGCACGTGATCCATGACCTGAGGCTGGCACTGTACCGTTCACTTAGTCATCATTACGCTAGTATTAAAGTCATTATGGAACAGTTTCACAACACCCTTTAACGTCTTACAGGAGGGATGACATTGTCATATCTCTCCTGTAAGATGTTAAAGGCTGCTGTGAAGCCGTTTCAGTTCCAGTATTGCATTTCTTAACAGTTTTAGGCATTCCTCCAACTCACCACTCCCTTTCAGATATTTTAGGTGATATCTAAGAAAGAAAGCAGATGGTGTACATTGCTGCTTACCAGTAAACAGATTTCTGTCTACTGAACTATGTGGAGACATCATAAATAAATTTGATTAAATTTAATAAAATATTTTTTGAAGTTTTTTTGCAAAATCAAGCAGATTCATTTCTAAATTGCCATAACAAGGGTATTCTCAGCGACATTGCTTCTTTTATCGTATGTGCAGCTTTCTAACAGAGCTACATGAAATAAATTAGTTCATCAATCCTTGTAGTCACCTGTTTACACATACACATGCTGATTTTTCATTTTGGATCATATCTATCGGTCCATTCATCCTGGAATCATTATACAGTGCAAAGAGCAGCTGGTATTTTTGTAAATTATGAGGAAAAAAAAGAAATTACAAAAATGGAGATCCAACATTTCCTTCTAACAGTGACAATATGGCTACTATTTACAAGGAATAATATAATAGTCTATAGTAGTCTGTCCTTTTGTTTTTCTTTTTCAGTTTACAAGAAAAAAAAATGTGCAAGCTTTTCTAACAGTTGCTAAATGTCTGATCTTCTTGAGAAGATATTTAAAGGATTGTTGTCAGTACTCTAGTTCCTGATGGCTATGACTAAAGCTACATTGGTAGATTTCTCATTGAGCACCATGGGCAGCTGAAAAAACTTTGTTTGTTTTTCCACTTCATCAGGTTGGCAGTTTTGAGAAAGAAATGAATGGCAGAATGTTGAGAAAGTTTAAACCTAACTGCCACAGATGGGACATCTCTCACCCTGTACCTCATAGGCATTATATACAGATGCACATTCAAACTAGCACTCATACACATATTAGCAGCCACCTGGGATACCATTGCAACAGCCTAGCAACACCTTAGCACAACTTAGTTTTTTCACAAAAGTCCACATTCTGTTTCCCATTTGTTTCATTTTCTTATATATCACCAGTTTTATTGGAGGATATTTAGCTGTATTATCTGTTGTTATTAAAAATAACATGACAAAAGTATAGGCTCATGTTGATTGATTAAATGATTGATTAAATTTATTTGACCATATCATGTTTTACAACAAAAAGCATTATTCACACCTCAAAAATGGGTCATGTCATAATATAAAAAGACAGAAACAATCAGAGATAACACAAAAGCCAAAGGCTAATTTACATTGTGGTCTCTAAGACAGAAATCAAACTAAAGGCAACATAACAAGCATGGCATGATATACAAAATCACTACAAATATCAAACACAATCATTTAAAAAGACCAACCAACAATCTCATTTTTAAAACATTTGTTAAAACTGAGTATAATCAAATTTATTGTCCTCTATCTTAAAACTATTTGTTAATTGCATGTCTAAAGCCATGCAAATTGTTAACAAGCTTAACAATTCCTGGTAACCAGTTCCACAAACTTGCTGCCACAGACTTAAGAGTATGTCTTGGCACTTTAATAAGAAGGACGAACAAAATATGTGGCTCCTCCCCTGGTGCAATAATAAAGCAATAAACCACAAGAGGCCATGAGTTACTGCGATTTTATCACGGGAAGGGTGTTCTTAGGCATGACACGAAGCGGATTTTCAATACGTTAACTTAGGAAATAAACAGAAATTGCCAAATTAAAGTTTGTTCTTGTAGAAGATGTGTAAACATACTGGCACTATGTACAATGTCCAGAGGTAACTCCAGTCCTTTATCAGTCCTTTTGCGTACAATAAAGAGATCCAGAAGCTAGCTGAGGAGGACTTCATTCTCTTGAACCTGGCAGTGAGTGAACTTATTTCCTGCATAAAAATTTCAAAGGATTATGTTTATGATGAAAAACACAGTGGACCATGTTTATATGCTTTTCATTTTCATTACAGTATGAAACCAACGACGAGCAGTGTTTACTATTCCTGGTCCTGGATTCTCCCAGCTTTGCCAATTTCAGTGTTCTCCTTGCTTTAATACACCCATTTTAGCATCATGAGGGTGCTGCTGAGTTGAGTCACATGAGCTGCAAGCAGAGAAAACACTAAAATATGCAGCTTAAACATGTAGCAAAGACAGATCATGACTGACTTATTCTGACTTAACAGACCCGCATTTCTTTGGTCCTGTTGTTGAGAGGTAGCAGCACCATACTTCACATGCAAAGACATACCTAGAACCAACTCTACTTTTAGTAGATTGTCATGATGCAATGACCCTCAGCTGGTCAGCAAATCCATATTTTGGAGCAACAAATGTGGCCTTTTAGACACCGTCTTTTTCAGGGATGTCCATGCTTATTTCAACATAACAGCGCCAAGAAACAATCTGCATGTGTTGCGACAGCACAGCTGCAAAATCAGAGAGTGCAGGTGCTGAACTGGCTTACCTGTGTCAAAAACGTGTGGCACATTATGAAGTACAAAATACAGTAATGCAGCAATTGATCAAGTTTTGTCAAAGGGAAAAGTGATGTGGTAAACATGCCCAAACTATTTTGGAACGTGCTGTAGGCATCAAATTTGGAATGAGCATATATTTACAAAAAACAGTAAAGTTCATAAGGTAAACCATCTCTAATCACTAATCACTGTTTTCTGTTTTTATTAGGACTTCACATAATGTCCCAACTTTTTTGGAATTGAGTTTGTATTATTACCCAATAAAGATATACCCTTAAATTAAAGGTGAATTTCTGACATTCTGCACTTTAACCTTATTGTTTCATTATAAATCTAATGTGATGGAATACAGACACTCACAGACTGCACTGGATAGTTTAACTTCTTAAATCAGCGATGTCAATGCTGCTCCTGGATTTCTGTCTCTCTCCGGAATTTGTATATATCATTATTCTAAGTTGCATTTAGGTAGTTGCTGAAATATCTGTTCATTCTACTTACTAGAAATTTATGCATCTGTGAACCTGCAGCAGTGCCACTGTGGGTGCTATCCCAAATGAAGAAGTAATAGATATATTTACATTTTCAAACATAGTGAAACATGTAACAATATATTTCGTTTTTTGAATCGACCGTTCACTGAGTCACCATTACACGAGTGTCAATGCTGAATCACCGATGCAAGATGTTAAGGGAGGTTGTGAAACAGTTTCCTGTTACAGTATTGCAATTTCTTAAGCATGTCTGCGGTTTTTTCACTCCTAGAAATACCGGCTTATACCTGAGAGAGAAAGCAGATGATGCATCTCGGCATGTAGTCATAAACAGAGTTCTGCCTGTATCTCACTTTGCAACCAGAAGCGAAAAGCGAAGGTAAATCACTTTGAAGTATTATTTTAAGATTAATTTAAATCTATACTTTTGTTTTATTAATACATCCTCATTAAATCAATGTTAGAATTGTTATAATAATTCAAGAGTTGAAAAGTATTCATACTGACATTAATAAATGGATGTTTTATTATAGAGTTTGATTACAGAAAGTTTTACATATTTCTAATGGAGATAAATGAATTAAGTTAATTTCTATCTAGTTATGCCTGCAAATACAGGTGCTATATTTTGTGATGTTAAGCCATGAAAAAACAATTTATAATGCCTTACAAATTATATTACAACAATAATTATTTCTGAACACAGACAAAAGAGAAATGTAAGAACAAATCATAGTACTCCACAGCATCAAACTTTTCATTTTTTCCTTTTCTTCTTTTGTCCTATATACTGTGTCTTAGATGCTTAGACACTCTCTTTAACTGTGTATGTGGTTATCACAGATTTTGACATAGAAGAGAATAGCATCACAGTTGACTCATGTATTGCTGTTTTTGGTAAAGCTTGCAAGACAAAACCATGAAGGTGTTTAGCACTCCTAACAATTGTAGTCAATCTGTTTAATCTCTTAGTTTGAGAAGATGGTTAAAGTATTGCTGTCAATACTCCTGGTCCTTGTGGTCATGATTTCCATCATGGGGAAAACACAGAAGGCCGCTGTCAAGAAGGAGAGAAGAGTTCCTCAGACTCTCTCCAAAGGTGAGACTTTCTTCCACATGGCTGCCTTTATTGTTAAGTTGTGAGGAATGAGGGTTGGCAGGTTTACTTTAAACCAGTATTCACCAGCCCTGCTCCTGGAGACCCACCATCCTGCAGACGTCAGCTTCAATTCTAATCGACCCCACATGATCGTTCTAATTATTAGCTGGATTAGCTACTGGATTATTAGATTTAGGTTGATGGGGAAACCTGCAATAAGGTAGACCTCCAGGTGGAGGGTTGGTGACCACTGCTTTAAACATGTATGAGGGGCGTAGCCAGAACTTTCACAATGGGGTGGCTAGGTTAGGGTGGCAAATGAAAACAGCAGTTAATAAAGTTCTTCCATTTCATTCCATGTTCTTTCCATTTTGTAAAGAGTCTAGTCCCTCGTTCAGGAGCTGAAACATATTTTCACATATATATCAGATGCCTGTAGCTGAGCTTGAGCTACTTTTGGAAATGTACACTACATTTGATGAACTAATTTTTTTGATGTGGATGAAAAACAACCATCTAGTCCGCTTGGCTGTTGCAGTGCAAACCAAGGTGGTAACAGAAATTGGTGAAGTGAATTCATGTCACTTGTGAAAGTTGTTGTCATCTGAAAAATTGCATCTGATGTGCATCGTGGTTTGAATGTAGTTCGTGTTTTCATACCATATCTATAATCTAATTACTGCCATTTTTCTGTACCTGTAACGGAATACTGTTACTTTTGAATCCTGATTTTTTAACCATGTTACATAATTTCATTACTACTCAACTCTCTGTGGAACCGCACTGGAACAATTCTCAACCCTGGACAGCTCAGTTTGATGCCAATAAGTTGAGGAAATCTTAGTTATTCCTATTTTTGTGACAAAGACATTATTATATTAAAAATAAAGGTGCCACAAAGGTTTCTTTGCATAATGCCTTTAAACCATTTTTGATTCAGTACAAATCTTTCCGTAGAAGCTTCCACTGAAACAAGAGAACCATTTTTGTAAGTCAAGAATCTTTTCAAGTGTGAAGAACCTCTACATGATGTAAAGGCTCTAAAAAGAACCCTTAAACTGGTATGGAACGATTACTTTATGTGAAGGTTTTTTAAACCTTTAAAATGTTCTTCAAAATCATGAATCTCCTTTTGTCCTTGGTGGCACCTTTATTTTCAAATATATAGTTTCAGTAACAAAGGATAGGACTCAGTATGAGAAGTGTTCATACAGTGTTGTGAATTTGCCCTCATTCTATCTCAGGATGGGGTGATCAGCTGATCTGGGCTCAGACATACGAGGAGGCGCTCTTCTGGGCACGCTCAAAGTGAGAAACATTAGCTCTGCTAGTACAATATGCATTTGATCAGTCACACCTGCTTTATATCTTCTAAAGCATGTGTATGGTTGTATTTAACACTGTGAGCTCACAAAGCCATCACCATGTTCTAATATATAAAACTTCTACCACAGGAATAAGCCTCTCATGGTCATTTTCCATCTGGATGACTGCCCACACAGCCAGGGTAAGATTTGAACTCCAGCTAATAAGTCAGCCGATTGCAGACTTGTCCTCATGATCCAACTTCAGGCTAGGCTTGAGGAAAAGGCTTTCAGTCATACTTTGACAATTTTAGGCCAAATTGGCTACTTGATCAGGACTGAGTGGCAGAGCAAGCATCACACTGACCACTCTTTCTACAGTTAAGATGATATTAAAGGTAAAGTTCTTTTGGGAAACTGGGCCCAGGATACTAATGCCACTTTGTTGACTATGTCCACAAATGTTCAGTACTGTGCAAACATCAGAGACAGTCATTAAATACAGTTATTCATTTTTCAGCATCAGGAAAAAAAAACAGAAAATTACACAGACTACACAGATTAATATCAGCTTCCATTCTTTTTAGGAGACTTGCTTTCAGTTTTTGAAAGAAATCTGCAGGGATATTTTTTTCCACACCACCGAAGTTCAGTCTTAGAAGTTGGTTGCATTTTCTGCTTCTCACGATCCAAGTAATCCCAATTACAAAGACTCATCAGTCCATGAAACATTCCACATCTCAGGTGTACAGTTTCGGTGATCTAGTGTAAATTTTCTTCTTTTTTTGTCTGTTTCCTTTTCTCAGTAATGGCTTCTTGACAGCTCCACATTCTGTCAGACCCATATCATTGAGTTGTCTTCTCACAGTGGACAGAAACACCTGTGGATTTGTTTAGATCTGAAGCAAGAGTGGAGTTGATTTAGGAGCATTTTCTGTGGATCTTTTAATCATTTTTGAAATCCAGTTTTGGAAACCCCTATTTTTTCCACTTATTTTCCTTTGACCTCCCCCTTCATTACAGAAGTAGATGATCTCATATCTAATCTCCTCAGGAATATCTCCTGAAATAAGTAACCTAATGTACTTAATGGCTGTTTTGAAATAAGGGTGGTCTCTGCCTTATGCACAGTACTGTATTTGTTCTGGTCTTTTTTCAGCTCTGAAGAAAGCTTTTGCTGAGGATGAAAAAATCCAGAAGCTAGCTGATGAGAACTTTGTTCTCCTGAACCTGGTGGTGAGGGTTTTTAAATTACACATTTTTAATTCCTACAGATAAAGTCAAATGGATTATGTTTATGATGAAAAAAAAAAACAATGAACCATGTTTGTAATCTTGTGAATGCTTTTGCATTACAGCATGAAACCACAGACAAGCATCTGTCGCCTGATGGGTTTTATGTTCCCAGAATCGTTTTCGTTGGTGAGTCAACAGCTGAGAGATATGGACTGAGGTTCTGCAGGGCATGGACAGATTTTTTTTTTTTTTCTATTATTATATTTATTCCTTGTCTGCTCACTAAGCACCTGGCAACTTATGTAATTAATTTCACTGAAAACATTATGTATAAACTTAAATTTAATTCATGCAACCATGCAAAACTTTCAGAAGTCTGTAAATATTTGGTTAGTTGTGTTAAATCTGCCTCATCTAAAAATGTTAAAATATTTACTTTAACCACTAGCAGATACAAACTCTTATTACACACCTATATAATGTAAGAATGACTTAGTGATTAGTTTGTAGTTACTAATAAAAATGTTAAACATCTAAGATTTTAAGTGGGAAAATGCAATCATGTGCAACTCATTTAAACCCTATATTTCATTTAAGTAGTATAAAGACAACAAATCAAATGTTGAAACAGATATTTTATTGTTTTTTTTATAAAATAAATGCCCATTTTAAATTTGATGCCAACAACACGTTTCAAAAAAGTTGGGACGGGGGCATGTTTACTACTGTGTTTTATCACCTCTTCTTTTAACAACACTCTGTAAGCGTTTGGGAACTACTGCTGTAGTTTTGAAAGTGATATGTTTTCCCATTCTTGCTTAGCATAGGATTTCAGCTGCTCAACAGTTCTCAACAGTTCAGGGTCTCCTTTGTCTTATTTTTCATTTCATAGTGCACCAGACATTTTTAGTGGTAACAGGTCTGAACTGCAGGCAGGTCAGTTTAGCACCTGGATTCTTAATACAGAGCCATGCTGTTGGAATACATGCAGAATGTAATTTGGCATTGTCTTGCTGAAATATGCAAGGCCTTCCCTGAAAAAGATGTTGTCTGGATGGCAGCAAATGTTGCCAAAACATGTATATATTGTTCAGCATTAATGGTGCCTTCACAGATGTGCACACCACCCATGCAGTGTGCACTAATGCACCCCTATACCATCATGAATACTGACTTTTGAACTGGGCACTGATAACAAGTTGAGTGGTCTTTAGCCTGGAGGACACAGTGTCCACGATTTCCAAAAAGAATTTCAAATGTTGGACCACAGGACACTTTTCCACTTCGCCTCTGTCCATTTTAAATGAGTTGGGGCCCAGAGAAGGTGGCAGCATTTCTGTATCCTTTGTATATGTGTTTTTTTTCTTTGCGTTTTAGAGTTTTAACTTGCATTTGTGGATGCAGTGATGAACTGTGTTCACAGACAGTGGTTTTCAGAAGTGTTTCTTAGCCCATGCAGTGATTTCCACTACAGAATCATATCTGTTTTTAATGCAGTGCCACCTGAGGGCCCAAAGATCACGGCCAGCAAATACTGGTTTTTGGCCTTGTTCCTTGCACACAGAGATTTCTCCAGATTCTCTGAATCTTTTAAAGTTATTATGTGCCATAGATGATGAAAAGCAAAAGTTCTTTGCTATTTTACGTTGAAGAACATTACTTTTGAATTGTTGCACTATTTGCCTGCACAGTCTTTCACAGAGTGGTGAACGTCTCCTCATCTTTACTTCTGAAAGACTCAGCCTCTCTGGGATGCTCTTTTTATACTCAATCATGTTACTGATCTGTTACCAATCAACCACCAGGTGTTTTTTTAACATTGCACAACTTTACCAGTCTTTTTTGGAACGTGTTTTTGGTGTCAAATTCAAAATGGGCATATACTAAAAAAAAAAAAAACAATAAAATTTCTCAGTTTCAACATTTCAATTACATATAGGGTTTACATGATTTGCACATTATTGCATTTTGCATTTTGCATTTACATTTTGTACAGCATCCCAACTTTTTTGGAAATGGGGTTGTAAATAAAGGAAATTTATGTTAAGTTCTCACATACATCTAATTTATTGAAGCTTTGATTTGTTTTTATATTAAAGTACACTACCATTCATCTTTAAAATGTCATTTTTAAGTCAGTTTTAAAATGTTTTTGAACATTAGTTTTTATGTAGTATTCTTACATTTCTATCCAACTTGAAAATGCTGTACATCCATTTTGAACAATTTTGGATATAGTACGTTTTTATATAAGAATAACAGCTGATGTATAATGGAAAACATTTTATTTCTATGATACAAGTGTTATTAGTCATAATTTTGCATTATAACATTGATATTTTTGTATTTGTAAAGATAACAACGTATATCATGGAAAAAAGAAAATTCTATAATTTTGGAATTCAGCTTTTCATTTCAAGATGAACACTATGAGGCATTTTAGGATATTGACTGCATATTTTCTCTATTAGGATTAATCTTATTTCTTTCAATCTTTTCCTGAATAAGAACAGTTATGTCTTTATATGTCTAACATATAAAAAATGACAGATGTGCTTTGACACATATGGTATAATATTTTTGAACATTTGACATATATTGATAAACAAGCACAATATGCAGAACTAGTATGAAAATGTGCATAGATTTTAGCATGGTTCCATGAACTAAATATATATTTTTAATGAGATTTTTTAAGACCTAGTTGAGTTGATAAGAGAACCCTTTTATCAATAACTAACTCATTCCTCTGTGTTTCTCCAGATCCCTCAATGGTTGTTCGGGCTGACATCACTGGCCGCTACTCCAACCGCAAGTATGCCTACGAGCCAAGTGATATAAAACTCTGTAAGTTCAAATTACTTACTTGATTCCAAATGTAATTCAGTTATAATGTACCAAAAGTGCTTTCTCTGAGTACTGCAGAAGAGATTTCAATGTTACTTTCAATGTTACGTTACTGCCTTTAATGACAATATTCATTCTGACAGTGCTGAGCAACATGGAGAGAGCCATAAAGCTTGTGAAAACAGAGCTGTGAAATCAACATGCAGGACTCTCTCAAAGCGGATCTTCTCCCAGTTGAGAATTTACATTTGTTAATCCATTTACTGGTGTAAAATATGCAGTGATGTTGGCCATGATGTTTTTCAGCATGTTTGCACTGCAGTGTAACTGTAACATATGTATTTCATCAGTGTTGCATTCCTTTCTGGATTAAAAAAACAATTGTTCTAAACCAACTTCTAAAAAATCCCTCATGTCACATTCCTGTTTGTAAAGAAATGGATTTCAATGAATGAATGAATGAATGAATGAATGAATGAATGAATGAAGTGAACTACAGCAGCTGGTCTCACATTCCAGCATTCTCACATTCTTTTTTGTAAGATTTAACTAATACTGTTTCAGCTCAATAAAAGCTCTATATAAATGAAACAGCAAAATTGTAGTTTACAACAATGCAAACCTGGCTGGACTGTTTGTTCCTAGAATTACATTAACTGTTACTCTGTTGAGGAATTTGCCCTTATTCCTTCTCTGAGGAAGAAACCAACAACATTTTTCAAGTTACAATTATGTTTATCGTTTTATATTTTGGTATTATCTGAAAAAATGTAATAGTTACTTGCATCCTGTGTACTGACTCTTATGAGCATCAGCATACAAAATATCAGCATAAAAACTGTTTACTGTACTTAGTACTGATGGACTGGTACATTTGCACTGGCCAGTATTCCTACTAGAGTATACTTTAATGTGTACCACTATAGAGGGGTGGATTACTGAACAGATCGGTGGGGCCAGTGCCTAGAGACCACTGACTGCCGGAGGTCTTGGAGGGCCTTGGACCACAAGGCCCAAGACAGTTCAAAAGGCTAGGGCAATCCCTTGCAAATGCAAAAATCTGATGAATGAAATGCCATTTAATATGTAATGACTAGGCTATAAATGAAAGAGAATTAAAAGAATTTTTAAATCCGTGCAGAGAGAAGAACTGCCACCCAGTAATGTCCTCCAGGTTTGTCAGACACTAAAGGTCACTCATGAGTGAGTCCAAAATGAAAATAGTACCAGATGGCACCAGGATGGTAGATCTCCAGGACCAGGACTGGGCATCTCTAGACTGTGTACCAGAACTGTATTGAGTACTCGTGTGCTGGCAGGTTTCCTCTAGTTCAGAAGTCTCCAACCCTGGTTCTGGAGAACTACTAAGAGCTAATCAACCTCTTCCCACGTCCCTGATTGGCTGGATCAATAGTAGATTTAAGTAAGGGGCTTATAAGATAGAGATTGGAACCAAACTGTGCAGGAAGGTTGTAATATTTATCACCAGGGCCAGGGTTGGACCACTGCTCTAGGTAGTGTTCTGACAAGAATTCCACTCTAGAGTATCAATACACAGCATGCAATACGCTTAGGGACAAAAAACCTTCACCGAGTACAAATCTGGAGAAACCAAGGAACACCAAAGGAACGCATTTACCAAAAAAACAAACAAACAAAAACAAACAAACAAAAAAAATCCCATCATAAAATAAATACAACTAGACAGAAAGCACGGTTTGCGACCTTTTGACATGGAGGAAACTGAGATTTATGGGAATTCTGAAGTTCTACAGTATTAAATTTATAGCGATGGCAGTATATGCATTATTATAAATGACAAGGGGCAGCATTTTTATCATTAGGGTTTTAGAAGATTAAACATGTACTTTAATAACTTTATTCTAGTCTTCAGTCATTCCTCCTCACTTTTTGAATCATGTGACGCACACCGTCGTGTTTTCGCTTTGAAGCGATCCTATTGGTCCGAATTCTCTCTTAGTCACATTTGATTGGTCGTCGCAGTCTGCTTCCTGTTCCTCCGAGGTAATCAATGGTGCGGGGAAAAAGTTTGGATGTTTTCATGCATTCCTGCAACCGATGTCGCCGAAATGTTCGAAGTAAGTAAAATGACTCGCACGTGGCGGGGTTCGTTTTTGACTCTTGTCTTCGTGTTCGTCGTCGCCGCCTCTGTAGACGGCGCTTTGGAGCACCTACGAACGAAAGCTGGCGATCAGACTCAGTCCAGAGCGGTGACGGATCTGCTCCGGCGGCTGCTGGGAGACCGCGCTCGGGATTTTATCGTCTCCGTTAACGGCAGTCTGTCCAGCGACGGCTTGGACGTGTGCGAGCTTCGGTCCACGAAAAACAACAAAGTCGTGGCTGTGGGAAGCACCGGCGTTGCGGTGGCCACCGGAATATACAACTATCTAAAATACTTCTGCAACTGCCATGTGTCGTGGTCAGGAGATCAGCTGGACCTACCTCGTCCTTTACCTCCCCTCACCGGCGTGCTTCGGATCCAGAGCCAGCACAGGTGAACTGTTCCCTCCTAGAGCGAGTGAGCATGGACGATGGGCTCAACATAGGATAACCACTAGAGCAGTGGTCACCAACCCTAGTTCAGGAGATCGATCTTCCTGTGGACTGTAGTTCAAACCACAATCTGCCACAACTGCTCCAGCTAATTAACACATTCAGATGTTCTTGATTGGCTGGATCAAATGCATTAGTGTTAAGTAAGGGGGCGGGCATATCAGAAACGAGCTGGTGCTAAACTGTAAAGGAAAGTAGATCTCCAGGAGGAGGGTTGACTGCCCTTTGGTCACCATCCCTGGTCCTGAAGATCTACTTTCCTGCAGAGTCTAATTCCAACCACGATCTGCCATACCTGCTCCAGCTAATTACCATCTTCAGAAATCCTTGATTGGCTGGACCGGATGCATTAGTCTAGATATGGAGAGGAGGTAACATGTAAGTTGCAGGTTGGAATTAAACTCTGCTGGAAAGTAGATCTCCAGGACCAGGGTTGTCGACCACTGCCCTGGGTAAGGGTGGACAATATGTAATGTGAGGCATGGACATATAGGCATCGCTAGATATGTGAAGGCATTTTCACAACATACAGCAAGTATCACAATATCTAGTTTTGTACTAGCAAAACAATATGAAAAACTATGAGTACATTTTTTAGTTCAGTGTTTGCAAAAATCAAACTGTAAGAAGAATACATTAATCCAGTAGGATAATGGCATAACTCATTGACATCAAATCTGCTGCTTGTTACTGTGCAGTTCATTGTCTTATTATAACACTGCATTATAACACTGCAGTGTAGTGCTGGTTGTTTTTACTTACAGAGTTTGTTTTTATGACACATGCAGTTGTTCAAATGAATAACCCAAGACTCTGAAAAGCATAGCTTGACATAATTTATCACAGAAAATTGTACGTAGGGGATCACAGTCCAGCTCCCAAAAGCACCTTAGATGTGTCCAACTGTTCCTGGTGGGCCACAGCTCTGCAGAATTTGGTATTCTATCTCATTAAACACAACTGATTCAACTCACCTGCTAATTAGCAAGGGCTTCCTGAGTTGAATACAGAGTTCTGAGAGAGGGAAAATGCTAAATCACTGAGCTGTGGCCTACCAGGCACCAAGTTTGACACCTCCGATCTAAAGTGAAATGCAGGCCACAGAGCTGTCACGTATTTGCAAAGCTGGAGACAGAAACAATACACAGGCATTTATAACCCCCTTACAGACAGTGGTCCTCAGTTGTGGTCTTGGAGTGGCCTTGCCCTGCAGTGACACAAGTTCAGCGTGTTCTCTTGGGTTGCTTGGAAATAAGCTGGTGAGTTTAAGATGTTGGAAAATACGAAAATGTTCAATACAGAGAGACAACAGGACCAACTGATAAACGGAAAAGGAAATGAGTCCCGTCTTAATACTTGAGTGTGTAATCTAATTAAACCCAAAAAGACTGCAGCGCTATCACCCATTTCCAATACTGGAGACTGAAACAAATAACCAGGCCATGTATGTAACTGAAGTACTTTTACAAATGCCATGTGTCTTGGTCAGTAGATCACATGAAAATCAGCTGAATGTCCTGTCCCACTCGGACAGTGGTTCCCAGTGCTGTAGAGTAGCCAGAGTAGCTCTGACTGGCACAGTTTAGTTCTGCTTTTTCTCCAAAGCTGCTTTCAAGTGCAAGTGGGTCTGGTAGTTTTCTCGCAAGAGGAACTTGTACATCTGACGCATTCATGTGGTTTATATGAAAGCAGTAAACAAATCTGTAAACAAACATGGGGGATGTAAACTGTTTTTTGTAGTTTAGCATCTATTCGTTTTAGCCTATTTTACAGATGCTTTTGAACATAAACAAAGCAGAAATAAGGCTTAGTTGTACATGTTAAATATTGCCTTTATTATTTATTAGACTTAAAAGTAGCATAAAATATGAGCTATTATTTTATGACCTAAAGTTATGTTGTAAGCTTAATAAATTTGATTTAACCTATTTCTAGTCATGTTTTACTTATTTTACTTTAAAAAGTCACATGATATCACTATATTGGCAGATAATTTTGCTTGAAACCCACAAAATTATCTGTCAGTATAGGGAATTTTCACTAAAATCACTTGCTTTCAGTGTTCAAACAATTCCTCTTTCTCTTCTCCTAAACGATTCCTCCTGTTTGATTGGAATAAAAACCTGGAGCCGTGCTGGCCCTTTGCATACAAGACTGGTGACCATTGATCTTAAGCGTGTAGAGTGAAACACAGGCCACAGAGCAGCTATATCTATTTACAGGAAAGGAAACTAAAACAAATGAACACAGACCTGGACTGTCTGAGGTACATCTGCAGCTGCTATGTGTTGTGGTCAGATCAGCTGCAGAATAGCTAAGTGTAAAAACCTGACCTGTGTAGCTGCCTATATAAGGCAGTGGTCACCAACCCTCCTCCTAGAGATGTACCTTCCTGTGAGTTTCAGCCCCAACTCAAGTCTAACACCCCTCATTCAGCTAATTAAGGGCTTCTGAATGCAGGTGGGTCTCCAGAGCAGCATTGTTGACCACTGATATAGTGAATAGAGAGCTGTTGTGAAGCACAGGACACCAGAAGCCATCACCCATATTCAGCAGTGGAGACTGAAATACATAACCCTGGGATGTCCAGTCTTGTCCACAAAGTGCCAGTGTGGCTGCAGGTTTTCATTCCAATCAAGAAACATGCCTGATTCCACTTGTTTAATCAGTTGGACTCAGAGAGGAAAAAAGAATGAATTCCATCCAATCCTGTAACAAATCTAATCTGAAATAGCACACACTCACATTGTGTGATCTGATGTTGTTAACTGTGTGAGTTTGAGTAGTTTCAGCATGATAGCTGACTTTTAGATGCTCATTTGAAGTGCTACAAGTGTTACATCAATGTTGATATTGGCTGATATTCAATATCAGTAGGAAGAAGTGAAACATCCCTCATTATCTCTAATTATTAAACAAATTACACGCAAATAAGTGCACACAATCTATGTATATTTATAATGTGGTATCAATTTGTAGTAACTTAACATTGATAAAGCTATTAACTGTACATTTAACCAAGAGAATGAACCCATGCTTTCTGCGTCTAAGCAAAAAGAAAGTCTTACTTTGGCCATTACATCATGGATATAATGCTCATATCTAGCAAGCATATCACTATGAATATCGCTCAAACTGAAAATAGATATCATGGTGTTTCAGTATGGGACTGTGGTGGCCTTACAGCAAGAAGGGCCTAGGTTTGATTCCCTGGCCAGATGACAAGGTCCATTCTGTGTGGAGTTTGCTTGTTCTCCTCATGTCTGTGTGGGTTTCCTCCCACAGTCCAAAGACATGCAGTCAGGCCAGTTAGAGAGATTAAAATTGCCCCTAGGTGTGAGTGTGTGTGACTATGTGATGGACTGGTGATCTGTCCAGGGTGTTTTCTGTCTTCTGCCCATTGGGTGGTGGGATCCATGACCCACCTCTGTTTGTGGTGGACAAGTTAGCCAGCTTGCTGACTGCAGTGTTAGCTCCTTGGCTAACCGCAGCCCCACACTAGTCACCAACCATGCCAGTTATCTACATTTTTGCTACAGATCAGTGTGCAGCACTACACTCATGCAGGTATAGAATTTTCTGATATAATTATGTTCACTTTTCTGTCATTATAAAGCAAGTTAGCTAGCTCGTTAGCTGCACCAACATGGAGGAAACTGCAAATGTGTAGTGTGACTGTAGCTTTAGAGTGAGATCTTTAATACATGCATGAACGGACTCATCAGCATGACAAACATACCATGAATTGCCTGTTTTAAAGAATTTCCCTCAACAACTGTTATACTGTTGAAATGCTCAGCGTTTTTCTGTTTAGGCTACAGCTGTTTTTGACAGTGTTTATCTTGGGAAACTTTTTATTCTGTTAATTTGCTCAGTATGATCGTGTTAGGACATCCGTGTTTGTTTGTCTTATGTATGTATTTATGCGGGTCCCCGCAGGGCAGCCTCTATGGTGTTTTGTGCGGCTCGTAAACCCATGAAAAATGGTGCATTGTTGGTGTCCCCTTTGCTATTGTTTGGTGGAAGCACAGTGGACACTTGCGTGGTGGACGGAGCTTTTTAAGTCTTGTGGTTGTGTGTTTCTCTCATTAGATACACATGGGCAGTCATGCGCTATGCCCCCCAATACACACACGCAAACACACACACACACATGCACGCACACACTGTGAGCCTGGGAATAGCACACAATTAGAATGTGACCTTACTCTATAGACTAAAGATGAGGGATAAAATGAATGCTGAGCAAAAGCCTGAATGCCTGTTTAGGTTTGGAAAGGTAGAGCAGAATATAGGCTAGATAGGGTCACTGAAATCACAGGAAAACAAAAACATGTGCAATGCAGACTGATGACCTGCCTATATCCATAGTCCTTATAGGAAAGCCTGTTACTATTTTAAAAACATATTTGACATCCCCAGTAAAATGACAAATATCTTATAAATAGTTTGTAGCATTCAACTCAAAAAACACACGAAAAAACGTGTTATTCTGGCAACTGCACATGCGCAGATCTCTGCAACAAAGGGGGATTTTCCTGCTTGTGGCTTTATTGAAGGGTGGGATTTTTCCCATAAACAGACGTGTTGAGCTTTATGAGCTGTTACTTATCAGGTTGCGCTTGTGTTCATTTGCATGGAAGTTCTTAGTAGGTAAGGCACTAAATACGCCATCCCCACCAGTGCAAAGTGTCAGTAGACTGCCGGTAAGCAGCACCTCTCTTAGTAAATCTGCCCCCAGTAGTTTTAATTAAACAGTGAATTGTCATATATGACTGTGCGTCCTCAATCTGAAGCAGAGATTCCCAGAATATTAAACGGTTCTGATTAATTTCTGTTTATTAGCTTTTATTTGTCTCATTTTTCAAAAAAGGTTTTTCTGTGTTAGTACATCCTCATGCTAAAGGTTAGAATTGTATGCATTGTACATGTTTTTGTTATTTTAGTACTGCAGCATCAGCACAAATAAATGATTATCACATTAGATGTATCTGTTTAATGTAAACTGAAACAAACAGTGCTTAATATCAGTGCTTAATCAGGAAAAGCTTGCCCTGTGGAAAGGAATGGTTCAGTGAAAAATCAAATGTACACAATTTTCCACTTACCCCAGATGCAGTCGATCAGCCAAGACGTTTGTTGTCTAAATTGTGCTTCTTTAGCTTAGAACTAGAGCTACAAGGCTAAAGTTGATAAGCAATACTAGAAGTCAATAGTCACCCAAATCTTTTCCACAAATACATCACCTAAATTCTCTCAGCTTTAAGGCCCATTAAGGTGAAACAGACTTGTCGATGTGGTTTAGAGCACAGTATGATTTACTGTTACTATAGACTATTTTTATAGGCCAAATGATATGTCGGTCAGGCCCAATTCTCTGGTCTAATTTTCCATTGTGTTTGTCTCATTTTGTGTGTATCTAGATTCAGGTACTACCAGAATGTGTGCACTCAGAGCTACTCCACTGTATGGTGGGACTGGCCACGATGGCAGAGAGAGATCGACTGGATGGCGCTGAACGGCATCAATCTGCCGCTGGCATTCACAGGGCAGGAGGCATTATGGCAAGAGGTGAGGTGCCTCTCATCAGAGACGTCATTAGTGCAAATGTGAGTTTATTGTACATGAAGTCCGTAGTTGAAGACCTTACAGCAGAGGTTTTCAACTATGGACCCTGAATCCAGTTTTCAGTCCTGGATTTTGTAATCACTGCTAGTTAATTAAACTGTTAATAGAACTGATTGGCCGCATAGAGTCACCTATCAGTGATTTTCAAAGTCTGCCTACCTTTAGTCCACTGTTTCAGTAATAAAAGATTATTAATAGTCATAGGCTTTTCCAGTACTATACTAACAAGTAATTTGATTAGTTTTTAAATGGTTTAAGGTCAGTTCAGCGTAGCCAACAGGCCACTAACAGGACATGAAAATATATAACTTACGTTATATATTTACTTCCTAATCATGGTATGGTGCCCTGTCGAGGCGAGGAGGCTTGCGTGCGTTGGAGCAACAGAGAGCTATGCTGCATGGAGTTTTAACTCCTTTCAGGGTCTTAGCAGAAGTGCCACACTAAACCTACCACCTATATTGGGCAGCAGCAATATAGGACCATGTCATCAGTGTATGATCACCAGTGACAATGACAAAGACATCAATTCAACTGCGCAGAAGAAGGCAATGGTAAACCGCTTCTGTACTTTACCAAGAAAACAGATATTTAAAAGATCTTTAAATGCAACAATTTATCTTGTTTTCCCTCTGGTTCTTTATGGACATGAAAGCGGTACAATACACAAGTAGGACAGGAAAGATTTTGATGTTTTTGAACTTTGGTGTTGGCATAGACTTTAAGAGTACCTTGGACAGCAAAGAAAACAAACGAATAGATCCTAGACCAAATCAAGCCTCACCTTTCACTCGAAGCCCAGATAACCAAACTGAACTTTGGACATATCCTGAGAAGAACCAATTTATTGGAAAAGACTATTGTGCTGGGAAGAGTTGAAGGTAAAAGAGTCAGAAGACAACCAGCTACAAGATGGATAGATACAATCAGAGGAATCAAGAACCAGGCATCGATAAGCCTGAAGACCCAAACAGAAGACAGGATATTCTGGAGAAACACTATCTATGTGGTCACCAGGAGTCAGAAATGACTTGACGACACTTTTTCTGACGTTTCTGTTTCCTCTTTTCCCTCTTTCTCTTTCTCCTACCTCTGAATCACCTGCTGTCTGTCTCTCATTCTCTGGCTCTCCTGTAGGTTTATATGTCTCTGGGTCTAAATCAGACAGAGATCAGTCAGTTCTTCACAGGTCCTGCTTTCCTGGCATGGAATCGGATGGGGAACCTGTTTGAGTGGGGAGGGCCGCTGCCACAGTCCTGGCACATCAAACAGCTCTCTCTGCAAGTATGATCTTTGCATTTTTAGAACTTTTCTACACAGCCTCCATTTTGGTTTCTTCTAGAAAATGACACTGTAATACCAAATGTATGTTTGGGCAGTATAACAGTACATGAAATATGAAATCCAATAGTATTGAGTCTAATAGTATTATTGTACATTACGATTGTATATCATCAATATATACAACCCAATCTCCACAAAAGTTGGGATGCTGTGCAAAATGTAAATAAAAACCAAATGCAATGATGTGCAAATCATTTAAACCCTATATTTTATTTAAATAGTACAAAGACAACATATCAAATGTTGAAACTGAGAATTTTTTTTTTTTTAAATATATGCTCATTTTAAATTTGGTGCCAACAACACGTTCCAAAAAAAGTTGTGTACAAAAAGAGCATCTCAGAGAGGCTGAGTCTTTCGGAAGTGAAGATAGGGAGGGGTTCACCAGTCTGTGAAAGACTGCACAAGCAAACAATTCAAAAATAACATTTCTCAACATAAAATAGCAAAGAACTTTTGCTTTTCATCATCTATGATACATAATAACATTAAAAGAGTCAGAGGATCTGGAGAAATCTCTGTATGCAAGGGACAAGGCCAAAAACCAGTATTTACTGGCTATGATCTTTGGGCCCTCAGGCGGCACTGTATTAAAAACAGACATGATTCTGTAGTGGAAATCACTGCATGGACTTCTGAAAACCACTGTCTGTGAACACAGTTCATCGCTGCATCCACAAATGCACGTTAAAACTCTAAAACGCAAAGAAGAAACTGTACATAAACAGGATCTAGAAACACTGCCACCTAGGGCTGGGCGATAAAACAATAATGATAAGTATCGCAATATAACTTTTCCTCGATAGAGCGATAAGACAGGTTAGATAAATTTTCGATATAATACACCGTTCTCACACTTCCACGTTTTAGCGAAAGCCCTGGTGGCGTTTTCTACTGCAAGGAAAGCGACACTACTCTGCTGTCACCAGGAGAGGGTGCACTTCCGAGTTTTTCGACTTGATTAGAAAGGGAGGAGGCCACAAGAAAAAAAAAAGGGTCGCCAAATATAGTTTAGCAACGTCTGAAACGTGGAGTTATACATTCCCTGATTGAGTAGAGCGACCGGCGATCTGTTCTCCTGTGACCGAGTGACGAGATAAGTGACGTAACTGTACTGTCTGAACTCACCTCTTTCTGTGCATCCTAACAACTTTAGCGGTGTTAAATCACGTCTGCAGCGCCGTGTTACAGCGCCAAACCGTCATATTTTAGTATTAGTGCATTCTCGAGCAACGAAAGTGAAAGAAAGAAGTGGGTTAATGTTAGTTACAGCCCTGATTTAAACGAAAGTAAACTGAGGAAGCTGTGAGGCATTGGAGAGCGGGGGAGCGTTATCTTTCCAGGCTAGTTGTTTTTAGCTGCTGGCTAATTGAAGCGGCGCTCCGGCGCATCTGTGAAGACACCATTAATGCTGAGCGATATTTACAGGTTTTGGCAGCATATGCTGCGATCCAGATGACGTTTTTTTCAGGGAACTCCTTGAATATTTTCAGCAAGACACTGTCAAACCACATTCTGCATGTATTACAACAGCATTGCTCTGTATTAAGAGTGTAGGCGCTAAACTGACCTGCCTGCAGTCCAGACCTGTCACCCACTGAAAACATTTGGATTGTTATGAAATGAAAAATATGAGAAAGGAGACCCCGAACTGTTGAGCAGCTGAAATCTTATGCTAAGCAAGAATGGGAAAGCATATTACTATCAAAACTACAGCAACTGGTCTTCTCAGTTCCCAAATGCTTACAGAGTGTTGTTAAAAGAAGAGTTGATGAAACCCAGTGGTAAACATGACTCCATCCCAACTTTTTTGGAATTTGTCGTTGGCATTAAATTGAAAATGGGCACATATTTTTCAAAAAATAATACAATTTCTCAGTTTCAACATTTTATGTTTCCTTGGTTTACATGATTTGCATATCATTGCATTCTATTTTTATTTACATTCTGCACAGCGTCCCAACTTTTTTGGAAATGGGGTTGTATTATGTCTTTTTCATTTATAACAAATGTGTTCACAACTTCAAAACAACTTGCATTCATGTTTCTCTAGGAAAGGTTCTGTGTGTGGAAGACTATAGCTAATTAGCAAGCACAGCCAGGGTAAAAAAAACACTGCTATATAACACTGCCTTACACTGCTATAGACTGTTTTGTAGCCAGACAATCTTGGTGTTTTACATTAAAACAGATTACAAGACAAAAATAATTTACTTTATTTGTGCACTTTCAAGCTGCACACAATAAAATTGATGATTCAAATCTGACTTCAAATGTCTATCTTCCCACTAGTTTAAGATCGTGGATCGTATGAGAGCTTTTGGAATGATTCCTGTACTGCCAGCCTTCTCAGGGATTGTGCCTCAGGGAATCACCCGGTAATAACTTTCATTAAAAACCAAAATATTTCAGACTAGTTAATCTTAATCTGTGTTTTTAATGAAATTGAGTTTGTATAAAACTGTGTAATATGATTTGTCATTTGTTATTACTATTTAATAATATAACGCTATAGTCACAATACGATATTTTGTGCATAGCGTGCAGGCCCAAATGGAACGGTTTCAGAATCCTGTGTTCAAGAGTTAAGCACCATTATGTTGTCTTTAGCCTGTTTCCTCAAGCAAATGTGACCAAGCTGGGTCCCTGGAGCCATTTTAACTGCAGCTATTCCTGTGCCTATGTCCTGGACCCACGTGACCCACTCTTCCAGAGAATCGGCTCTCTCTTTCTGTCCCAGGTTGTAAGGGAGTTTGGGACAGACCACATCTACAACACTGACACCTTTAATGAGATGAATCCTGCCTCCTCTGATCCCGCTTACCTTGCCTCAGTTAGCCGTGCAGTTTTCACCACTATGACCTCAGGTATTACAGACATCTAAAATGTTTGGTTGCTACAAGGGTTGCACTGTTTTAAACAGAATTTGGTTTATACAGATACCAATAACCAAAATAAATTTTACTCTTACTGCATTTTAAAGCATATTTAATACATATATGAAGTGCACTGAGCATTTTAAAACTTGTACATTTTAGGTAAAACTCTGAAGGTGGATTATTAATTGATTTTGCATAGCTTTGTCATGGCGAAATCAGAAATGACAATTACAATAAACATACACACACTTTACGTCCAAAAATTGGTAGACACCTGCCTATCCAACATTTTCTACTCTTCTGGGAGGGCTTTACATTATGTTGAAACATTGCTGTGAGGATTTGATTGCAGTCAGCCACAAGAGCGCAATTCACAAACAACACTGTTACTCATCTGAAAAGTATTCAGTAGCTTCAGAGATTGCAGTTCCACTGCTCTGGTGTCCAGTGCTGGGTAGCTTTATACCATTCTAGTCTAGTGGTTCTCAAATCCGTCCGAAACAGTCCACATTTTCACTCTATCCCTATGTGTTGCAAGTTACATTGGTGCAAAAATCTGTACTATCTAGAGGTTTGGTTTGGAACAGTTTGAGAACCACGCTCTAGCTGACACTTGTCATTGATGACCTTAGTCTCAAGTCGCTGAATTCACTAATTATATTATGTTTTTAGCAACAAGTTTCAGTTACAAAGTATCAGAACTCTGTTAGGTTTGCTCAAGGATCCTTAATAGAGTAGCAGTGTGGGGTCCTGTGCTATCCATTTTGGTGAGCGAACAGAAAAAGCCCACCACTAACCATACATACATGACCCAAAAAGGGGCACCAAGTTATTGGCTGTAATTTAAATTATTGGATTAATATTAATAATTAAAATTTTCCTATTTATTTAATATGTTGGCCACAAATACATCGGCTACAGGACAGATCTATTAGCAGTTGAGGGGACGGAGAGCTTCTCTTATTGGAGAAGTGGCTAATGCTAAAAGGCTTTCCTGCTTTGAGTGAAGAGCACACACAGGCTCGGTGTCAGCTTGGCGGCCTCAATTAATGTTCCAGCGCCGTGTTCAGTCCATGGCACGTCTGACTGTAATTGTTCTAGTTTCATAACCCAGAACTGACCCGCCTGCAATTCTGGGACACAGTCGGGGTCCTCAACCCCAGACTGTCTGCTTCTTATTCGAGGTGTCATCAAAACTGTGTTACTCCCACACCCTGCTGGTGCTCACATACATCGGCCATCATAGATTTTCCTCACTGTTGTTTATTCATGCCCTCTCTGGCTGCCTTACTCACTCTCTTCCTCTCTTGCTATCTGTTTCTGGCAGTGGACCCAAAGGCGGTTTGGCTGATGCAGGCCTGGCTGTTTGTCAATGACCCTGAGTTCTGGAAGCCTCCCCAGGTGGAGGCCCTGCTACGTGGTGTCCCGCTGGGCCGCATGATTGTGCTGGATCTATTTGCAGAGTCCATGCCTGCGTACTCTTTCACTCAGTCCTTCTATGGGCAGCCCTTCATCTGGTGCATGCTGCACAACTTTGGAGGAAACAGCGGTCTGTTTGGAACGGTAGAAAGGATCAACCTGGGCCCCTTTGAGGCCCTCCGCTTCCCCAACTCCACCCTGGTGGGGCTGGGCATGACCCCTGAGGGCATCGAGCAGAACCCAGTGGTCTATGAGCTGATGTCTGAGCTGGCCTGGAGAAAGGAACCCGTAAACTTGGTCAAATGGGTGTCGCTGTATGCCTCCTGCCGCTATGGCAGCATGGATGAGAATCTGACAGTCGCCTGGCGCCTCCTGTTCCGGAGCGCGTACAACTGCACCATCCCTGGATACAAGAACCACAACCGAAGTCCACTTGTGCGCCGGCCATCTTTAAAGATGCAGACAGATATTTGGTACGACCCAGCTGACGTCTATGAGGCGTGGAGGCTGCTATTGGAGGCTGCGCCTTCACTGCTTTCTGTGGAAACCTTCCGGTACGATCTAGTGGATGTGACGCGACAGGCTCTTCAGCTCCTTACTACAGAATTCTACCAAGAAATAAGAGACGCATTCCAGGTGAAACACTGCCTATTTAGAGCGATAGTTTGGTAAAAAATCCTATTTTAAACATTTTTGTTCTTACCTCAAATGTAGTCGTTCAGCTGCTTATGAGGTTCCTGACACTGGACAGTACAGTAGTAGCAGCCATATTGAAGCCTGAATGTTGTCCATAAACGTGTCCATTTTTATTGACAGCAGTATGCTGTAAACTTTTGACTGATTGACTACATTTGGGATAAGGGTAAGACTGTGTAAATTAGATTTTTTTAAGTTTGTCACATAGAGTCAATCTTTTTATACTTTACTTGGCTGATACCCAGTCATACCTGTATTTTCAGGCCTTCTGAAGGTCTGAATTTTGAGGTCAAGGTTGAGTTTAATGTTTTAGGTGTTAAAACTGTGTTGCTTCTAAAGAGCTCTAATTACTTACTGCACACATTAATTTCAGGAAAAAATACTTGTTTTATTTCAAAAGATTGCAAAGTAGTGTGACTGCAAAATAGTGCTCTTATAAAACAGTGCAACTGAGCTGTGAACAATACAAAAACCTAAACTGTCTCATATAAAATTTTATATAGCATGTCTCTATTTTGCAGTTGTTTGAAAGTGGACGTGTTCATAACATAAGCCCCTCATCCTCCTCGCCCACTTTACTGTGATAGGATGCCTCCAGACACTTTGGTTCTGGAAATTCCAGTTTATGCTCAGTTTATTAATCAAATTAATTTGACTTTCAGGCTCAGAAGCTTTCAGAAGTCCTGACAGCTGGTGGCGTGCTTGTTTATGACCTGCTACCTGAACTGGACCGCCTACTTTCCAGCGATGCCCACTTCCTTTTAGGGGCGTGGCTAGAGCAGGCACGGTCACTGGGCCTCGATGAGCAGGAAGCACAGCTGTATGACCTGAACGCTCGCAACCAGATCACGCTCTGGGGACCCGATGGCAACATTCTCGACTATGCCAGCAAGGAGTGGGCAGGGCTAATGGAGGACTATTACTCACAGCGCTGGGGTCTGTTTGTGAACACGCTCGTGGAGTGTCTTGACCGTGGCCGTCCTTTCAGGCAGGACACTTTTAACCAGGCTGTGTTCCAGGTGGAGAAAGGCTTCATCTACAACCAGAGAAAATACCCGTCCAAACCGAGCGGGGATACCTACAACATTGCCCGGCGGATCTTTCTCAAGTATTACCCACATGCACTGAAGAGGTTAAAGTAAGGCATGTTTCTCTCAATTATAATAGATTGAACATTCAAAAAATTCAAAAATTTAAAAGTGTAAAAATATATTTGCCATCAGGAGAGATTCAGCTTAGCTTGTGTGAGTGAACACATTAAGTATGAGATGTAGTCTCAATTAGTCACAAAGTAAAATCTGTTGCTATTATTATTTTTGTAAGTACATCTGCTGATACATCCAGAACATAGGATGATCTGTTCCAGAAATTTTGAGACAGACCCTAATAAGCTTGTTCTTAAAGATCAAGCTCATTAGATGACTTTTTGTAGGCATGATATCTGCCTGCATCCCTGAGCGCATCCAAGCAGCGCAGCTCAAGAACTACATTTCTACAACAATCTCTTCCATTCTAGGTACAATAAATGGGATATTACATTCACGTTTGGGAATCTTAGTGGTTTACATGAAATAAATCAACAAATGAAAAACAGGTCTTTAAACTGACTGTACTGTCAGTGGGGGCTATTAAACTTTACTAGGCACAGGCCTACCTTTAACCAACAGATTTGTTTTGTAAAGCTTCTTCAATCTAAACATAGAAAGGGCAAACAAAGGGCAGTACAAAAATTATTGTACAGATCATAAATCGTTTAAACACACTCACCGTCCACTTTATCAGAAACCGCTACCTTGAACTTCCATTCACCAACCTGTTCACTTACTTTTTAGGTTTACTGTATAGGTGTACAATTACAGACAGTAGACTGTAGCTCGGTTAATGCTCAATTTCTGAGACACCCTTTACCTCATTAATCATTGGTCAGTTTTTGACCTTAACAAGGTGGACCTGCAAGATAGGTGTTTCTAATAAAGTGGCTGTTGAGTGTATATTATGCTGTATGTGTATGTTATGTTGTAGCTAAACCCAGTTTGGCCAGGAAGGAAGGTCACATGCTCAGAGGTAAAAGTTCAGAGTAAAGTTAGAAGACCACCCACAGCACCAAAACAGCATGCACAGCCTTCTTCATCCTGCAGAGATTTTGTGGGTACTGTAGAAGCAGAATTCATCTCATAATTAGTTCAAGATCAGGTTGTAGTGTGAAATCAGTGTATTTACACATCTGAGTAGTAATATTAATAAGTGTGTAGGCACATAAAAACCTAAATCCAATGCATTCCACGCATTTACTTATACACTGCAATATTAAGGAGACATTGTTTGATGATTCAGTGTATTGTGTTGTGCTTCCGAATTAGAAATTACACTTCTATTGAATTTTCAGGTGCCAGAGTAAATATTAACTATGCGAGATTGTGAAATGCTGTAAATATTTTGTAAATGCAAATCGCATGGAAAATATTTCAGTTTATAAATATCTATGTAAATCTTCAAAAGCTAGAGGTCCAGCATCTGTCTTAATCACCTGTACAGACATGATGAAACACTATAAGAAACTGTCTATTGTTAATGTTACTGGCTAGGATAATGTAATAATGTGTAATTGTAAACTTAAAGAGCTGATAATAATGCACAGCTTTTGTTACTGTCTTATGCTATTTCTGTTTTGAAAATTGTCTTTTTTACTTTTATAAAGAACTCTATTTGTAGATGACTACACTTTTCTACTTTTATTAAAAAAATCAAGTTTACAGAAGCAGCATCTTTTATAAGTAAAAAAGAGATGAGTCGACATTGAACATGCATTACAAAAATATTTGAACTTAATGACTTTGAACACTTAGTTTTTTTTTATTTTCAGAAGGGTGTTACCAGCAGTAAATCTCAATGCAGGACTAAATGTTTAAAATGATGTATTTTACATCTAGTAGAGTGCAAGTGCCTGTCTGTCTTTTTGAGCACTTTCGTTCATGAGTGTAAGTAGCGGTAATTGTCAGGAACCCAACTGAATGTGATTAGAAATTGCTGAAAATGAAATGCTATTTTTGTATCTGGTTGAATAAAATCTATTCTTTTCCTATCACTAATGTCTGTCTTTATCCTGCCTTCATAGCACATTAAGGGTTTTTTTCAGCAAAAGAAAATAAAATGTTTAAAAAATCATTTTTAAAGCCTGAATGGTTTCCATTTAACTGAAGGTTGAATGCTACAGCGTTAGTCTGAACGTACGTAAGGCTTTTTGTCCCTGTCTTGTGATGAGTAGAAATCTAAAGGTTCTTCAAAGTCTCTCTTCTCTAGAAGAGAGAGAGAGAAGAGAGGACGACAAAGCAAAGGATGAAGGCCAAGTTCCCTTCATGCCTCAAATGACGCATGCTCTCTGCTGTCACCGTGAAGGTAACTTAAGGTTGCTGATCTTAAATGTGACCATGAAGGTGTGAATGCCTCTAATCATTTATGGTATGGTGAAAAGGTTTTCTTACAAAATGGTTTGCATTAATAATATAGGAATCTACACTCACCGTTTACTAGAAACCCTGCTTTGTACTTCCATTAAAAGGTAATTTATTGTATGAGATGCACCTACCTTATATATCTACTATATCGGTATACAGCACTGTACACCACCAATGGGGGCCTGCAAGGTATGGGTTTCTAATAAGGTGGCCTGTTCGTGTATAGAGTAGTGTATATGAAGCATCCTTAATAATGAAACATTAGTGGAACACATGTACGCACTGATGTTTATTGCTTTGCAGTTTAAACTGCATACATGTGAAGTGATAGCACATTTGAGATTTGACCAATACAGTATTTATTTTGTAAAACTTGAACACACACAAATAAATACATTCGGCATTTCACTCATCTGTTAAAGAAAGACAGAAAAGGAATCGATCAGGAACAGTGAATAGATTAGCAGTGCATTTGCTGAATGGATAAAACACAATCAATCTACCTCCTTTAACCTGTGGGATATATGTTTGCCATAGACGACTCCAGGTAATCTGAGTGTCTTTCCTTCCTCTGAGCTGCCCTGACTTGCATGCTCTTCAGGACCAGTGCTGGGAATTCTGGAGCCGTGCGGTCCACGTACACACCCCTGTCACTGAAATACGACTGAAGAGCACTGAGGAACTGAGGAGAACAGAGTAGAATAGAACAAAATAGAATATAACACAGAAGAGAACAGAATAAAATAGAATAAAAAATAAAGTACATCAGAACAGAACAGAATATAATCAAGCAGAGAAGATCCAAACATTATTAGAATAGGATATAATCATAGAACAGAGTAGAATAGTACAGAATATAATATAAGAGTACAGTAGAGCAAAATATAAAATAATAGAACACAGCAGAGTAGAAAAGAATGTAAATAGTACAACAGAAGATAAAACAAACAGCAGAACAGAAAATATATTAGAGAGGTGAAAGAAGAGGTTTACTGAACACATCTGTTTGCTTTCTTTCCTTAAAATATTGCAAATTAATCATCAAATTTATTTTTGGTGAATACTAAGGTACAACAGTTAGCTCACCAGGTCTCGGTTCTGTGCATTTTCCAGCGTCCAGAGCTTCTCGAAGATTGACTTGCCCAAGACTCCCACTGGAAAAGAGACCACCCACAGCACCAAAACAGCATGCACAGCCTTCTTCATCCTGCAGAGATTTTGTGGGTACTGTAGAAGCAGAATTCATCTCATAATTAGTTCAAAATCAGGTTGTAGTGTGAAATCAGTGTGTTTACACATCATAATAAGTGTGTAGGCACATAAAAACCTAACTGTGTTATAGATAAATAACATATTTCTGTCAAATGCTAAAATGCAAACCTTAAGCCTTAGGAAGCCTAATAAAATTAGTTTAAAATGAACATAGGTACAAGAGATTACAGCCTACCTTACTCGTGCTGCCTCGCTCTCTTCACTCCCAGGGAGGAGGCAGTGCTTTTATATAGCAGGTGATGGGTAGTGATGATGCTGTCAGACCATTAGAACACAGAATTTTTTTCACAAAAAAAATGCTGAAATACTATATGTATTTTATAATCCACTGCTATGCCGATGACACTCAGTTATATCTAGCAAGCGACCCGGATGATAAAATTAAACTTAGCAAGATTGAGGACTGTATAAAAGACATAAAGGACTGGATGTCGCGTAACTTTCTCCCTCTAAACTCTGATAAAACAGAGGTTCTGCTTCTTGGTCCAAAAGCAGCTAGAAACAAACTGTCTACTTTAACACTTAAACTCAGTTGCATCAAGCTCATCTGTAAAAAACCTTGGTGTCATTATAGACCCTGATCTGTCCTTCGACATACATATAACTAATATTACTAGAACAGCCTTCCTGCATCTCTGCAATATTGCTAAATTAAGAAATGCATTGTCTCTACAGGATGCAGAAAAGTTAGTTCATGCATTTATTACTTCAAGGCTAGATTACTGTAATGCCCTGCTGGCTGGATGTCCCAGCAAAAGCCTTAACAAGCTTCAGCTAGTCCAGAACACTGCAGCCAGAGTTCTTACTAGAACCAGGAAGTTTGACCATATCAGCCCAATTTTATCAACCTTACACTGGTTACCAGTTAAATTTCGCATTGATTATAAAATTCTCTAACTGACGGACTAAACGGACTCGCCCCTCAGTACCTGAGTGAACTTCTCTCTCACTATGAACCATCACGCCTACTTAGATCACAAGGTGCTGGCTTACTATTAGTACCTAGAATTAATAAAGTTACGTTAGGGGGGAGAGCTTTCTCATACAAAACCCCCCAGCTTTGGAATAATCTTCCTGTTAATGTTCGGGACTCAGAATCAGCCTCAGTGTTTAAGTCTAAGCTAAAAACTTAATGTATAGTCAAGCCTTTGGTAATTAGTTTTCCCTGTCAGTTCTATACCTACCAGAGTCTCTGCTGCTCTGCTTACACTGTAATTTGTGATCAGTCACCCATTACAGAACTGACTCTCTGTGTGTTTTTCCTTTCTTTTCTTTGCCGAGTTGAACAGCTGCCCATCCTGTGCGTTCTGATGCTGCTGCCTCTTCTGCCTTGATCGGGTGCCACTGCTCGCCAGCCCTCTGGACCGGCTTACCACCATTGAGCCTCCTGCTGTACAACGCGGTGCAAACCTCACCCTCACAACCTGACCCCACTGATGCTACTGCTGTTGCTACATGAACTAATCAAAATTAATCATTTGAACTAATCAATCATTTAAACTAATCAAATTAATCAATCACCCATTACAGAACTGATTGTTTTTCCTTTTTTTCTTTTCTTTGCCGAGTTGAACAGCTTCCCATCCTGTGCGTTCTGATGCTGCTGCCTCTTCTGCCTTGATTGGGTGCCACTGCTCGCCGTGCAAACCTCACCCTCACCACCTGAACCCACTGATGCTGCTGCTGCTGCTGCTGCATGAACTAATCAAATGAATCATTTGCTCCACCTGTTTTCCCTGTTTTTGTACTATAATACTTTATACTAACAATGTTTTACTATCCGGTGTCGACCAGAGGAGGATGGGTTCCCCTTCTGAGTCTTGGTTCCTCTCAAGGTTTCTTCCTGTTTCTCTTAGGGAGTTTTTCCTTGCCACTGTCGCCTCTGGCTTGCTCATGGGGGCTTGGACCCGGATTTCTTTCTGTAATGCTGATTTCCTTGTAAAGCTGCTTTGTGACAACACCTGTTGTAAAAAGTGCTATATAAATAAACTTTGCTTGCTTGCTAGACTTACTGGTGTTACTTTATTCTGATTGGTCCCTTCAGTGTCTATAAAGCAGCATGTCTTGATTCAAAGACTAGGAAAATCCCCTACTGATGATGTTTCATTAAGGTAGTAGCAAATTTTCTAAAACTAGAAGTGCTCCGGTGTGGATGTTTGGTGGCGGGAAGGTGAGGTTGGTGAGGTTATTGCTATCATCAAAGCTAGCTAGCACTACAGATTCATTTATTAGCAGTCAGGATTTGTTGAGCTGTAGAGCTTCACTCCAACTCTCCCTCTCATGTCCGCTGTTCTTCTTCCAGTGTATCTCATCTCTATCAAGGATTTTCTTGACCACTTTCAGCAGGATCTCATGTAATACGTCCTGAGATACATATTCCATCCTGAAAACACTTAGTAATGAATTCAGTAACCATACACGGCAGCTACCGGTCAACACTGCTGCTGTAAGCACAACACTGAAATTTTAATATTTACAGGTTAATTTGTAGTGCCACAGGTGCCCCTATGATGTCACCACACATACAAACCTACACTGATCAGCCATAATGTTGAAACCACCTCCTTGTTTTTACACTAACTGTCCATTTTAGCAGCGCCACTTACCTTATAGCTGCACTTTGTAGTTCTACAATTACAGACTGTAGTTCATCTGTTTCTCTGCATACTTTTTACAGCCCCCTTTCATCCTGTTATTCCCTGGTCAGGATCCCTACAGGGCCACCACAGAGAAGGTAATGTTTGGGTGGTAGATCATTCTCAGCACTGCAGTGACACTGATGTGTGGTGGTGGTGGTGTGTTAGAGTGTGTTGTGCTGGTACGAGTGGGTCAGACACAGCAGTGCTGCTGGAGTTTTTTAACACCTCAGTGCCACTGCTGGACATTGAATCGACCTCCAATGAAAAATATTCAGCCAACAGCGTCCTGTGACCACAGTGAAGGACGAGAGGATGACCAACACAAACTGTGCAGCAACAGATGAGCTACTGTCCCTGACTTTACATCTACAAATTGGAACAACAAGGTAGGTGTGTCTAACGTAGCTCATCTCTTGCTGAGAGCTGTTCAGAGTTAATTATCTTCACAGCCAAGGCTCGTTCTGACCGTTTGTTTGTTGATGATGCACGTGACCACGTGATTCATTCACGTGACGTTACTGAGTAGGATGTGCGCATGCGGGTCGTTTCAGAACACCGGTTCGTTCACATTAATGACAGATTTGAATCACTTACCTAAACGAGTGCGAACCATCATGTCAGAGAGATCGGGTTTGAGCGAAAAATCGGATTTAAGCAATGAGGCTTGTAATGTAGACGTAGCAGTGTAATATTTAACGTTTATATCTCATTCAATCATTTACATTTCCAGAAACAAGTTATATCCAGCTGTTTGCTAGCTTCGTTAGGGGGACTAACTTACTGTTTATCTCTCGGCTGTTAACGTTAGTGAAAGTTATCTAAAGGCTATCATTGTTCACATCTATGTTAATTAGCTGATATTGCCTTACCCTTCCTATGATCACAGAGTTTTTTCTCCTCTTTATGCATCAGCATGGGATCCTTCACCCACCCTGACGCGAAGAGCCGGTGGGTTTCTGTGCTTTTAGACGCTTTGAGAGACTCTCCAGAATAGGGAGAGTGGTTTTGTATGAGATAAATATATGTATCAAGAAAAACAAATATATGGTAGCTTTTCCGCCAGTTTCAGCGGGACCAAGAGTTCGGGGTAAACTGTATAAGGATCGCAGCCTATTTTATCCACGTTTTTCTCTTCCAAAGTAAGGTGATTAATCTTTCACCTCTAGTTACGTTCGTGTGAAGCAGCGAAACCAGAAATTTCACGTGACTGAAACCCAAGGATACATACCTGGATGCCGCGTTAGGTCCAGCCAGGCATGTCAACGGCGCCGCCATTTTGGGGCGGGCAACATCGCAGCTGGACTGTATTCCGTACCATTACAGAGCGGCAGGTTAAGAAAGATACTGTCCAAAATGATACTATTTTAAGAGTATGCTCTCAGAAAATGGGATAGGATTATTTAATGTAGGGAACGCAGCGATCCACGCTCATGTTTGTGTTAATATGTAGATATGGCCGTGTGGTTGGTGAGGCACAGAGAACCATTTGATATAAAAAAGGGAATTGGAAAAAAAATGCTAGACCGAAACAGAAGAGATGAACTACGCTTGCTATGCTAAAATTCCTTGCTGATGGCTGGTTAGCTAACCTAGCTAGTTAACCACTTGGCTACACGGCTCCGAAGCTAGTTAGCATGGCCGTAGCATTTACAAAACATGCAAGTTAACAATCAACTATTATCCAAAGCCTGCATGTTATATCTTTATAATGGACTTTTGTGTGAACATGTGTTTAACCTTTAACTGTAATAACTGTTGCAGTATTAGGCTCTGTCATTGGCCCTTGTGCTTTTGTATTGGCTAATTAAAAGGCCACATTCTAGAAGTGTCTTCCTCTTCTTCTTTTTCTTCTCTGAACTAGAACAATATTTTTTTCCAGTAATTTTTCTTTCTTCGCCCACCATGCCGCTCTTCTCTCTCTCTCCTCATGTTCATAGTTTTCATGTAAGCATTGTCTATTTCACCCAGCAGATCCATCACGCAGGGGATCCAAAGCAGTTCCTCTTTGCTCCAGCGACATAACCGTGAATCTCGCATACCTTATGCTTATCATTTCTCCCGGTTGTTTTTCTTTATATAATTTATCTGCTTCTCGAGCAACTGATTCACTCTGATTTGTCCCTGCAGAGACTTCAGAAGCTCTCTCTCCTTCTCCGTCTTTGCTGCAAGCTTTGCTTTCAATCTTTTCTACCGAGCCTCCTTCGTATATAAAGTGAAAAGTCAGTAGACGCTGAAAAAAAGGAAGATGGAGGGTTGTTCCATTTTCAAATATGCCGTTCGTATATACTATAGAACTGATTTATATGTCTCTTTTGAAAAACTTCAAATGTTCAACGTTTAAATCTTGCAAAGTTATTTCAATCTTGAGAGATCCTGCTAAATCCTGCTGGTCTCAGTCGTGTTAAGAAAAATTAGTTATGTTTTATTAGCCGGAAATGGGGAAATTCCGCCTCCTGCAGGCAGTCCCCGGAACAGAAAACTGTCGCTGTAGAATTACATGTAATGTTACGCCATCTTTTCCCTCGCTTTGGAAGGTTTACTGTGAATTTGAACAGCACTCTACACGGTGAAGGCAATTGAAACCTATCAGTTGTCAGAGCAGTAGTCTGTTTACATACAAAGTTTTAACAAGTTTAGGTTTTTATTTGCCGGTAATATAGAGCAAAACAAAGTCAAACTTAATGCTTAATGCTGGAATAGAGGGACACATTTCTCTGCCGCATATGAAGGAGCCTTCGGAATGGGACAGTGTAGTTGCGCCGTTGTGGCGCAGTCGGCCTTCAAATGCAGCCTCTGAAGGATGCAGCCCCTGAATTGGGACACAGCTTATGAATTAAACGTATCTAGGAGGTTACATCAGTGGTACGTACTCAGTGGTACGTACTCCCGGAATGGCCGCGTTGAATTTTGGGATGCAGCATACTGGAAAATTTTGCCAGAAATCATCCGGGTATCTTTAGCATACTACAGAAATTCATGTTGGTCACATACTGCATACTGCTAACTACTTTTGAGCAGAATCAGTACATGAGCAATATATAGTAGGCTAATTTGGACACAGCCCATGAAGGTGCAATCTTGTCAATACGTTTTCAAAGGCATTTCGCCACACAATGAGTGCAGTAGGTGAGAATACATAATTGCGAAGAGGAGATGTGCTGTTTCCCGTTTATAGGCTGTGGCCAGAGCCTCAAAAACATTAATTTCGTTGAACCCTTTTTCATTAACAAGGAAAAAAATTTTGACAATAAAGATTTGTATATAGTTTTCTAAAAATGTAAAGTTTAAATCGTAGTCTTTAGAGGGAGTTACAGAGAGCTCCAATCAGAGCTCAGCTATGATCTGTTGACAAGAAGCCGGTCAATCAGATTAGCTGTCGGGGCGGAGCAAAACCAGAACACATGATTACACATGGAACATGGGAAAATATGGCAAAACCCACATTTTACTGCTAAAATATATGTATTATTTTTCTGATTACCTAGATTAGCTAAAGATAGACTACAGAAGATGTGTCATAATGTCTATCATTAACGTCTTCACACATTTGTGACCTTTACTTTTCTCAGGCTCCTCACCATGTCTTCCACAGTGGCAGCAACATTCACAGATAATGGCTGCCTGTAGAATGTCCTAATAGACCTCTTCATTCATTCATATATGTTTGTATTCATTTGTATGTACAGAAAGAGGGGCGTCTGTCCCTATTAATGAGAATCTCTAGTTCACAGGCCATGCTTCTTTTCATAATTAGTTTATTATTCTTTTGCTGATCATGTAAAGGGTAAAAGTTGATTTGAAGTTTTTTGAGGTTTAAACTGATGGAAAAATTGATTTTGTTCATCTAATTTTACTCTGTTTTGTTTTACTAAAAAACTTAATTAAACCACTTAAAGTGCTTGTTACCTCATGAAATATTCGTAGGTTAAACTGACAAACCATTTCTTACAGTGAATGAAAAAGAAAAATCATTGCATCAGAGAAACATAAAAATACAAAATGGTGTATCTTTATTATATAGGAACAAATGAAGAAACTAAAAAAAACTAAACTTTTTGTCTTAGCTAGAAGCAAAGAAAAGAAGTCACTGATACTGTAAATGCTTAGTTTACCTGGTGTGCATTACTTGGCCACATGTTCTCATTCACATCGCACCTAATGTCCTGTATTTCTTATACACATAAAATTATCACTTTGTTTATAATGTTATGGACCCCTAATGGACTATGCATTGTGAACATAATTTCTCCAGAAATTACCCCTTTTATAGATGGTCAGCACCTGGGTAGGACTTCAGCTCAGATGGGAATCAGTCTTAACTGATAAGACATAACACTTTTGAAGAAACAGGTTTGCATTTAGCATGACAATATATCTTCTCACACGCCTCCTATTAAATCACTGCTGTTGGTATCTTTACAGGAGAAGGACAAAACCTACTTTACTTTTAATGTAAGTCAGTGGAACCAGAAGTTTTTCCAAGTAATGTATGTAAAGTAAACAATTTAAAGGGCAATATTCATTTTCAAATTATGTTAAAAACTAAAAAACGCCAAAAATTGACATACAAGTTGTTTTTTTTTCCCAACAGCAGCAAAATATTATTTTTTTATGCCGCAATAAGAAAACTGTAAGATTTATGATGTAACCCACAATCTGTCTGCCAGTTTAGTCTCTGTTCAGTGGCCTGCTTCCAGCTAACGTGTTATGATGAACTGATGGCTGATGCCATTTGCCTCATTAGCTTTATGTTTAAGTTAACAGAAAAACAACCACATTTGCGATCACAAAAAATGAAATGTGTGATAGTGAGTTTCCACTCAGTTCTGAGCCAGGGATCGATCAACTCAAAAGCTAAAACAGATCATGAGACTCGGCCCACCACCTATTACATTTGAATATTACCCTTTTTCTGGCTTGCTGTTCTCGTTGATAATGCAGTTTAAGTGTGTTATTAGAGAGTGAAAATGCATATAAGATAAATTACATTTAAATTATCATTTTGACACAATTATTGCAGAATCACATTAAGCATAAATATACAAGTCTGGAAATAAATGTAAATAAAGTTACTGATAAAGCATATAAATCTTTGTGTAAATGAAATGTGTGTACTAGTATACCAAATATCAAACTAAAATCGTAGTGTTGAAATTATTTTTTTTTATTTTGAGCTCAACATTGCATATATGATACTGATATGATTCTGTAGAAACGCTGCACTATTGAATACTATATAACATAGACAAGTGACGTTAAATGCTAGCTTTAGGAATGCCTCTTTAATTAACATTTCAAATAACGTTAACAAATCTCTTACATTCACCATAACTATTCATGAACCTCTGAACCTAACGCTCATTCTAACGTCACCTACGAGTCTCAACGCGAAACTACTTTTGAACTACAAATCCCAAAATCCCACAGCTGTGTTTTCCGCTCATCCTCCAATGAACAGCCTGTTTGCCTGTCACGTGTTTTCTAACTCGGGCAAATGGGCATGAGACTGCCTTGAGGGAAGCGTAATGAGGGAACACAGAAACGATGTGTATAAAAATGATGAAATTTAGCTGTTAGTTGTCGTATGAGAGGTTTGCCAACGTAACTTGGCTGTTCACGACGGATCAGAAAGGCGTTCTGGTAGGTGGTCGTCTTGTATGAGCGAAGCCAGTGGTAAATCTAGACAGTCCTTACTACAGGTTTGGTGGCTCGTTTTGTTCAAATAGCGATTTTTTAGCAGCTCACAGGCTCCGCAGACCTCCTCCATTTTAACCTCAAATATGTTAACTGCTTATTTTATCTGCAGTGTTTTAATACGCATTACCTAAACCAGTTTCTCAACTCAATTTAGCATGCCGCGGAAAACTTGTATTAGCCTGCCAGCTAAACCTTGACGTGACACTTGACAGAGGTAGGAGTCGTGCCAAGATAGAGTCTAAAACCACACCGAAGTAAGTAAAAAGCGGCTACAAAAAAGAAAAACTGTCCACACAAGTAGTGTCTCTCTATGGAACTTAGCGGAACTTCTTGATAAATCCAGTATCTGCCTTTATTTTTATCACATTTGCCAGTTAGCTGGTCAGGCTCTATTCTCTTTTATATGGAAGCAAGTTTTCCGTCACTGGAGAAAAATATATAACCACTTAGTAAGTCATAAGAATGAAAAAGTATTACATAATTATGACTTAATGTATTATTATTATTATTATTTATTATTATTATTACGAGTTAAAGCAGTTTAGATGATGTGTGAGTATTATGAGTTAGTTTCACATAATAATGATGAAAATAATAAGATTCTGTGTCAGTATTTTGATGTCATAATTATGAGATGCTAAGTGAAAATTATGAGATTGTAAATCATGACATAGTAAGTTAGCAGGCCATTGTAATGAGATACTTTGTCGTAATTATGAGGTTAAAATTTTAGCTACTTTCAATAACAAAACAATAAAATTAACCAAAAAAGGGATTTGTAACTAAAGGCTCATGACTGATCTGGAAATGAGGAAAAGCATATTCTTTTGCAGTTATACTTGATCCTGTAATTGATATACTGTTCTTTTGCATAGTTGTTAGTATTGGAAACTGCTCAGTTTAAGTGCAAATTCAGAAAAGTCGTGCAACTTTCTATAGTATGCTCTCTATGAGTATTTCTTAGTCCTGCTCTTGAAGGAAAAACTGCTTTGTAGTGTAGTCACAATGCACTCTGAGAAGACAAGAAATGTCATTCAGCTGTAATGCTTTTCCTTTGAATTAATGAGATCTCTGTTCTCTCTCTTTCAGGTTGCTGGATGAGGCCGTGGTGAATAGTTGTTCATAATGTCAATGTTCAGCACTGGTGTCCTGGTTCTCACGTCCCCATTACACACCCTCCCTTTCCGCCTCGCACCTGTCCTCAGCTCTGCTGCCCAGGTGGTGGAACGCACCCTATATGTGCACCTCCACCCCGGTCTCAACCTGGGCACGGGCACACAGGCTCGACCCGCCTTCATTCATCCTGTGGTGGACCTTCCCAGTGTCATCTCTCGCCTCTACAGTAACGCAGCTGACGTGTGCGGCCACCTAGACGTTAGGGTGCTGCTGACTCATTTCAGGGCGCAGTCAGGAGTGCCTCAGGTTGGGGCAAGTGCTGTCTCCAATCCTTTCCCTTCTCCGCAGACCCTGTCCCACTCCCCTGAGGTGGTTTTGACAGATTACCCCCTTCAGGACCCTGGCCAGTCGTCGCTGGTATCTCAGTGTCTGCAGAGGTACGCAGGTTACTGCTATGTCTGCACACCTGGGCTGTCCTCAGTCATACTGCATCCACAGCTCAAGCAAGCGAAGAGCGAGGATGAGGAGCAGAAAAGAACAGAAAGAACCGAACCCATAGAGACATACAGTGACGTGGTCGTGGGTGGAACCTTTGACCGCCTACATGGTGCCCATAGGACCCTGCTTAATATTTGCTGTCTGCTGGCCAATAGGCGCTTTCTGATTGGGGTGTGTGACCAAGAGCTCCTTAAAAGTAAGCTGAGAGCAGTAGTATTTCTTTTAGTCAAATTTCAGTGTTGGTTTCCTTGATTTTTCATATGTATAGTATTTCTTTGAACTTTTTTGTGGCATCCCATTGCTTTATTTTGTTTCTTTCTCTCTTACTCTGCCTGTAGATAAGGTGTTGAAGGAGCTGATTGAACCATATAGTCAGCGCGTGCAGAAGCTCAAGGAGTTTCTAAATGATGTCAAGCCGTCTCTCCAGTATGAGATTGTTCCTCTGTCTGACCCCTTTGGCCCGTCTATCACTGACTCTCAGCTGCAGTGCATTGTGGTCAGTGAGGAGACGAGGAGAGGCGGTGAGGCTGTCAACAGGAAACGCGCAGAAAATGTACGTTTCTGAGTGGCTACTGTACACAAAGTAGACACAATGAAGTCCAGTCTGTGGTGTCTTTCTTGTTGTTTATGTATTCACAAATGAAAAGGGATACAATTGCAGAGAAATAATAATAGTTTTCACATTTTCAATGCATGAGGGACAATCTGCAAGCAGATCGCTTCTATGTCAGACTTAAATTATTCAGAGGGCCATACCTTTGTGTAAAGCATGCCACTTAACTGAGTATACTGTACTGTTTTACACATGTAGTATTCCTAAAATGATAAAACTCACTGGGAGGGATTAACCGAGTCCAGTTTGTAAGGTCTGGTTTCTCACATAATATTCACCAAAATACTAAAAACCCAAATAAAACTGAAACTAAGGAAAAACTACCAGGGGAAAAAAAACTAAACTAAAACTATTACTGCATCTTTAAAGCTAACTGAAAACTGAAATTTAATAAAGTAAAAAAAAAGAAACAACTAAATAAAAACAGTAGTACTAATGCAGTTTCAAAATTGTAATAATGCTAATGTAAAATGAAATCTGTAAGATATAGGGGAAAGGTTACAAAAGAGGTGATCTGAGGACAGGACATTTGGAAGTGCATTTCACTGTTTATTCCACATAGTTGTGAGCACATGTGTCCAGAGTTCAGTTTTCTTTTGTGATGCAATACAAGTTATCGTCCAAGCATCAAGTTAATGCCTTGATATTGGACTAGGTATAATGTTAGTAAGTCAGTAACTTCAGATTAGAAATCCAAACTGTTGTCCTCAGTTAAAATTGTACCTTAATGAAACCTGAAGCTTTAGGGACTTTAGTTTGGAGTACTTTTCTTCTACTGACCATCAAAATACTTGTTAATGTCTCTCAGATGGTTGTATAATAGTTGATCATGAATTATTTGGTATTTGAATGAACATATACTGATTTTTGTGTAGAAGTTGATTTAGTTAGATAATAATACATAAATTGTCTAGCACAGGTTTTTGTGACCCTATCAGTGCATAAGATCAACTTACAACTTATAACTCAGTTTTCCCACGTAACTTATTTATGTCTTAGATCATAGGTGCCCAGTCCTGGTTCTGGAGATCTCCCACTCTGCAGAGGTTACCTGGTCTAGGTAATGAAGGCCTTCAGGAGCATCAGAAAATTAGAGCCAGCTTTGTTGGATCTGAAATCTCCAGGGTGGTAGATCTCCAGGACCAGGATTGGATCACACAAAATTTGTTTCCCACTTTTATTTTGGGATTTGAGGGTTTTTGTTTTGTATTTTTTGTATATACAACAGTTTTTTTTTTAAACTTACTCTGCTCATATTATGCATCAGTCATACCCAACATGGCTCCAACAGAGCTACCAGGTACATGTAGGCTAGGCAAACTTTTACTTGGAGAACAAACAATCATTACAGGAACCTGATAAGGAGATACTAGATAGAAGGCTTAAAGCGCTCAACAGGAGTCCAAGACCTCGCATTGTCTAACAGTAAGTATGTGATAAATTTATTTGCTGGGTCTTGGTTGGCAGGGATCTAAAATTGTTGTGAATAAATTAATAAAATAATAAAGCAAGATAATGGATTAATGGTCTGACATTGTCACATACTTGTTACTAAGCAGTTTATGCAGGTTCTTTATATAAAACGTGTACATCTAATTTGACCTGTCCAGGGTGTATCCTGCCTTCCACCCAGTGACTGCTGGGATAGGCTCCCCCCGTGACCCATAAGGATAAGCGGCTTAGAAAGTTTGTGTGTGTGTATATTGCCTGCCCTACATCACTGGTGTAGACAGAAATACATTTTTGGGTATTGTGAAAAAGTGGGAAGGCCAACTTATTGGCTCCGTGACTGGCACTGACATGCTGAAAACAAATTGAAGGTTTGAGGCAGTGGTTGCTAAGCAGGTCCTGGAGGGCAGAGAGCACTGTGATTTGGTTGACCATACAATAACAGCCCTCACAAAAAAAACAAATCAAATTTCTTATCTTAAAAAATGCAGCTTAATAAATATTCTCTCCCCATTTAATTTGATGGGCCAGTGATCAATCTGGGTAGGCTCAGGCCAGGTGTACCTGTGACAATGCTGCTACCGTGAGTAGATTCCCTGCTAAACTGCAGATGATGAGAGCAGAGAAAACATGGAACTATCAAGGGTGCTGTGGCCTTTCAGAATTGGAACTGGGGGCCACGACTGGTTTTAACTGTTTATTTTCATCACATTAATGCTGTGTTTTACAGGGTTTATCAGAGCTGGTACTGTATGAGATCCCACTAATTAAAGATGCACATCACACAGACATAGAGGAGGAGAAGATCAGTTCATCCAGTCTGCGCTCACGACTACTGGGCACACTCCTCAAGCCTCCCATGGTAATTGTCAGCCTATTTATTGATTTATTCATTAATTGATTTAGTCGTACTTATCTTGCTTTCATCCGTTCATTGATTTGTTTATTCCTTTCTTCATTTGTTCTGTCAGTCGGTCTGATATTAGGGCACCTTATGAAGTGCAAGGGGTCTATAGTATTTGTTCAGCCTATTTAATCTTTTGGAAGGTTTTATTTGAGCTATCCTTATTGCATCCAGTTTATTGTGATTGCAGTGTCTTTTAAACTCGAAAATACTCATGTATGTGCAATCCAGCAAACAACAACAAAGTAAAGCATTAAATTAATGCAATGACTTTTCTTATAATGAAGTAATATAACACATGACAGTTTAAATTCCTGTAAACACATAAGTCACTGGCTTAAAAAGAACTGCATTACTTGCTTTACTTGTATGTCTTTTAAGAGAACGAAATGAGTTATGCAATATGTATTTAAATTGTAATTTATCTCTCTGTATATTATGTGCCTGTCCTTGTATGTATATTGCGTGTGTATGAGTAACCTGAATGCATGACTCTGATTGTGCATACGAGAAGCACAGCACAGGAAGCGCCGTGAACTCGGCGAACAATGTCAAAGCATCTAATCGCTTTAATGTGAAACTGATAAATGAAGATGAAGAGAGACCTCCAAACTCACTTCACCACGCTTTCTGTACTTTTATCCATTTACATAACTACACTGGTCAGGTCTGGCTATTTAAGAGTGCAGGCGTTTCAGTTCTTTCAGCTACTTCACATTTCAAAAGTATTAATCATTCAAAGGTGGACTATTAAAGAAGCTCCAACTATTGGAGCTTGAGGACACAGGGAATAATTGAACTCTTCTAGAGTACTTTTACATCTATTTTTTCTGGACAAAATAGTGTGGAAGCTTTGTTAGCTGTAGCACGCAGTGCTGTGGTTTGGAGCACAGTGTTATGCAGTGTGGCCTTCAAATGTTTTATCAGTGGCAGTAAAACAGTATTCAACTATTTTCTGTCATAAAAAAACACAAAGCTTTGAATTTGAAATTGCACATGTTGGTTACATATCATACATGACATGAATTCATATCTCATGAATTATTGAAAGCAATTAATGCCATTCAAACCTGCAGTTGCTTATAATTTTGTGTGGTGAATGCACATCATGCAAACTTTTTGGATTGTTCAGCTTCTTTCTTTGCCATGTGTGATAGTTATAGGGTCCTGGACAGGACTTAAGCCTAGTCTTAGACTAGGCTTAATCCCTGACGGGAAACTGACATAGTGTTTTGCAGGCTTGCAAATCTCAAGATTGTTATTGAGTTTGCTGAGAAAAGTAATTGTTTTTGCAACCTGTTTATTTCATTCAGTGAAATTCCCAGTGGAGCTCTGTGCAACGGTGTAACGTTCTGTCATGTCTCCTCACTCTTGCCAGCCTCGGCCTGCTCTCTCTCAGGTGCCTTATGTGATTGGTCTGACAGGGGGCAGCGGGAGCGGGAAAAGCGCTTTGGCGCAGAGACTAGAAGGGCTTGGAGCAGTACGGATTGACGCTGACCAACTTGGCCATGAGACCTACAAACCTGGCTGTGTCGCCTACCATAAGATACTGCAGGAATTTGGTACAGGTAAGAGAAAATGGAGGATTCATTTTGCAATAAATTTCTCTTCATTTGCTAAGTTTAACATATTAGAAAAAACGAAAAAATTTACACAACCACATTTTGTCCAGGACACATTTAGAGGCATTTAGGGATGTTGCTAGGCCAGATAAATGTTCTTTAGTCCCCCTTACCAAATAAATGTACTTTATTAGTTCAAAGCATATTGTAGTTTTTTCTTATTCATTCTTCATTATTCAACCGTGCCATTGCGTCTCCAACTTCACAATATACTGTGATAGCAGGGCATGACCTGGGGGAGGCACTGCTGCTCTAATGCAGTTCTGCCTCTGCTGCGCTACTAGAGATTTATTAATGTAAAGTGAAAAGTGGAACCCCCAGCTCGGCCAATCATATCAAACCTCACAAGTTTTAAGCCAGTCATATCAGACCTGGTTGAGGATCTCTGGTTTTATTCACTTTGTAAAGTAATGTCATTCGGCAAGTGCCAAAACTGAAGACAGGAGCTAAAAGCTGACTGAAATAATTATTAGACACACAGAGTGAAACAGTAAGTAGTTGCAGAGTCTACTGTATGGATTTGTGGTAAATTGTTTGTATGTATGTGTTATAGTGTAGCTTTTACTCAATTGCTTGTTAACTTAGCTTACCAGCTTTGGGTTTATGTGAGGCAAAGAGAAGGGGTTAGGTACCTAGCTATAACACTAACAATAGCTGGCTAGTGACAAGCCAACTAGTTTGAGTTTGAAGAAACTTTGTGAGAGTGTGAACTAGTAACAGGGATATAAATAATGCTATTGGCAGCTCTTTTTATTCCTTGTTTATATATTTCTCTTCAGTATTTGGAAACAGTGACAACATTTACCAATGGTATTTACCATATGTCGTTGTTTACAGTAAGTTAATGTCAGTAAAAAGGTCATATAGTATTGATCAGAACACAGTTTTATATCCCTCAATTCCTCAACCTATAGATGGAAATTAAGAGGTGGCCACTCTTTCGAAGACCAGTCAGATGAGAAGATTTTTACCAGTTGATCTCTCATTATTAAATCTGAGTTCAATAAAAAAAATCTGAGTTCAATAAAATATTACTAAACAGGCAAGGAGAAGGAGAGAAAGAAACCAAGAGCCTGAGAGCCTGAGAATGAGCAGATCTGGTGGAGGTTAGTGATCAAGAAGAAAGCGATGGGGAGTTGCTTTAAGCTTTCAATTAAAATTAATACTCAATGTAATAAAACTTGAGTGAGACATACTCAGTTATTCAGTTATATTATGCATCTGGGTTATTGTACAGTACTAGAATATGCACCAGGTGAACTTTTCTTGCATTGGCATGGGTTTACATTACAGTTTGTTTTGCAGTGACAGTCAGTGGTGCACAGTGATGTCTGTTCCGTGAGATCAGGGTTAGACAGTCAGTGAGAAGATAAAGCCATCTTTTCCTTCTTCCTCTTCTGTCTGTTTTTGGATAGAACATAGAAAATGCAAAATAAATGAAAGTATGAATAGTAGGATTTTGCAAGAGTAGTTGTTGATTACTAATAGCCCACTTAACTGCGGAATCCATACAAACACCTGAAAATGACCAGCCAAAAATGCACAGGTCGTATCAGTAGAAACAGATGAAAGTGAACCAGTAAAAATTCTTGAAACTGTCATCATATAAAACTGACACATTGGTGCTACATGTGAACGATACTTCTCCGTCTTTCTGACTTGAGGCGAGTTGGAATACTAGGGGTATACCCATTAACTCCTCATTAGAAGTCAATATACATAAACAACCTGGGAAGAAATGTGACTATAGTTATGTGCATAGGTTTGGACACCAATCCCCACCCCCTGAAGTCAAATTACGTTAAGTAAGTGAAAGTACATTTTGACATTCTCTATAGAAAAACCATCCTCTAGAGAGAAATTGTTTATTTTCTAAATTTAACATATTGGAAAGTAAAAACAAAGTGTGGCTTGTGCAAAAGTTATGCCATATTTTATATTTTCCGATATAGTAAACTCAAATAAATAGAAGTTGCGCACAAAAATATGCCATATTTAACTAAATTGCCATATTTTTATTTTGTTCACTGTAGAACAATTTTTTTTCACTCCAATCTACAAAACATGCATTTTGATTCAAACTTTTGCATATGACTCTATACATGTGTAAATACTTGACTACAACACTGATATGTATTATTGATAAGTGATGTATTTGAGTCTTTCGTGTCAGATATTTTGAATGAGGATCAGACCATTAACAGACGAACTCTGGGAAGAATGGTGTTCGGGGATAAGGTAATAAAAGCATCCTGTAGTGAACTGAGAAGAATCTAGAGGTGTGTACTTTCTATCATGCTGAGTATATGTTTGTCTGCCTCTTTCCAGGAGCGATTGAAAGCCCTGACTGATATAGTATGGCCGGAGATTGCCCTTCTGGTAAAAGCAAGAATACAGCAGGCTAAAAAAGAAGGTAACTCACTTTCTGACCATGTTTCTGACCAAGTCTCACGCCTGCTTTACCTTTACTACGTCTGTGTGAGTGACACGGAACATATTGCTGTTCAGTTCACCACCCATGTTAAAAGGTTTGAGCATTCACATGGGTTGCACAAGCAGAGCATTCCAGATGCAGTACAAAAACAATGTGGCATGCAGTAAAACTTCGTGAAATAAACTACAATCCCAGTTCTACACAGGTTGACACAGTAGGAAAAATGCAATTAAAAACATAAACAGTGATATGTAAAATCTTTTACAGGTATTTAATTGAAAACAGTCCAAAGGAGGGATATCTAATTAACCATTGCTCCGCCTGTGTTCCTCGTTTTGTAGTATAATATTTTAGATTAATGCTGTTTGGTATCCTGTGTCGACCAGAGGAGGATGGTTTCCCCATTTGAGTCTTGGTTCCTTCCTCTTTATCTTAGGTAGTTTTTCCTTGCCACTGTCGCCATTGGCTTGCTCATGGGGGCTTGGACCCGGATTTTTCTGTAAAGCTGCTTTGTGACAACACCTGTTGTGAAAAGCGCTATATAAATAAACAAGAGAGAGATAGAGAGAGATATTTAATATTTTACTTTATCAACTGCTGATTTTCGTAAATATGCACTGATCCAAATTTGATGCCTGCAGCACATTGCAGAAAAGTTAGGTCAGGGGCAAAATAAGACTGGGAACACCTACTTTGATATAGACACGCCTCCACTGAGCTGGAACAGTGCAACGGAATTCTTGGAGAAGTAGGAATTGGTTAAATGTCTCAGTACTGCAAACTGTTATTGTTAATGTGAACATTCATTGAAAGGGCTGGAAAATGGATTAAGATTATTTGACAGTGTCTTGTCCTATTTTTCCCTGTTTCTCTCTGCCCACTTCAGGAAAATGTCTTGATGCGGTGTATGTGTGTGCATATTTGAAACTCCCTCCCTCTCTTTCTGTAGGTAAGCATGTGTGTGTCCTGGATGCAGCAGTCTTGTTGGAGGCTGGATGGACAGACATGGTGCATGAGGTTTGGGTGGCCATTATACCAGAGGAGGAGGTAGTGTACTCCCATGCCTTCTATTTCCACATTGAACTTCACAAAAATGCACATATGGGACCCAAAAGGGGTGTAAAGATAACACAAATTTAAAAATTAATCTTTATTTAACTGTTGTATCTTGATTCGATATGTATACAACAGATATATGAAGAAAATGTTTCTTCCATGCTCCCATTTTCAGTTTGTTCAGCATTCAAGATTATCGAAGCACAATATTTGGAACAAAAATTGTGCTTTAGTGCCCCAGTCTAATACTCTAGCTAATATGCTGGCCACAAGCTACATGCTTTGATACAGTTAGATATGTTTTATTACATCCCTAGTTTTTTTTTTTCTTCTTTCTCAGGCAGTAAGGCGTATAGTGGAGCGTGATGGTATAAGTAAGGAGGATGCACTGAGGAGACTGCAGAGTCAGTGGTCTAATGCAAGGCTGGTGGAGCAGGCGAATGTAGTTCTGTGTACACTGTGGGAGCCAGATGTTACTCAGAGACAGGTACATTCACCTATACACTCAAACCTCACATAAGAATTGCAGTGGTGTTTGTTTATCTTTTTAGAAACAGTCAACCTGTTTTCAGATTACTTTATGATGTCTGAAATTGGTTCCAAGTGCTATAATTACTGAGTATGTGTGTGTTTTTCGACAGGTAGTAAAGGCTTGGAATCTTCTGCAAGAACGCATTCAGCAGAAAAAAGAAAAAACTGGACTGCCGTCCTGAGACAGCAGTTTTATATTCAAGCATATGCACACGCTTTAGCAGTTTACTTTCGCAGTCTGAAAGAGTACAAATCAGATTTTTGGAGAGAAATTTGACAGGGCTTTATCCTTCTTTTTCTTTTTTACTTTTTAACTATAGCCAAATATTTAAGATGTTGACTGGTGGTCCTTGCCTCAGTGGATTGTGTGGGCATCTCTCTGTATGGACAGGAGGAGTGGACCGTTACGTCCCACCACACCCAGAACTGCACTTAATCTGAAGTTTTGACTGCATGACTGGATTAGATTCTTCACGTGGAAAGGCCAGGTATTGTTTATGACACTAATCAGGAATTGCCAGAATGGCAGCCAACACTAGCTCTGAGATGATTAGCAGAGGACGTGTTAAACATAATAAATGTATTGCCACATATTTAGTGCAGTGCAGTGGCTGTGGGCGATAATGTACATGGTTGCTGTACAGCTCTTTGCTTTAAGTCAGTTAAGAGCCAGCATATTTCTAATGAAAATGTTCTTGACATATATAGTAATTTGTGGCACTGTGAGGCTTCAGGATTAAAATTTTATGTCTATTTTTAATGGTTTATTTGTTAGTCGCAGTTTTCTATTTGTACTGAAAAAGTGGGCCAGTCACTCCTACAAGTTCTATAACTGGTTGGTTTAGTTTTGATTCTGTCAGAATTTTCGACCCCAGTGTTACTTCTCATTGTCTGTATGATCTGAATCATCGCTTATGCAATCGTAGGAAATGTAAGAAGAAATTTAAAATGATTAAAGGGGAGGACTGATGCCAGTTTGGTGTTACTTTAACCTCTTATTCTCCAGTGTGTATCTTGGTTTTTCTATCTGAATTTACATGACCAAATCGTAAGGCAGATTATTCAGTAACTGCATGAAATAAATATTTACATTTATTTATTTTTGTACAAGCTCCCCTCAGATTAACAGAACATGTGTTTTATGATCATACACATATTGCTATATGCTTACAATTTACTGCTGAAAGCCAAACTCCTTAGACGCTCTTTGTATTATTTTATAAAAATAATTTTTACAGAGTACTGAAGAGCCCAGATTTGTGGAAAAATGGGTCAACTTTCAGTAGACAAAAAAACTGAGTTAATCTTCTTCTATTATAAGGATTTCAATTACATTACCCATCTATACGACTGGAAAGAAGACAGTTACAGCTCTCATATGACACCCACCTTTTGAATGTAGCTTATGAAATCAAAGTTATGAAGAATATGACAGTGCATTTTGGAACCACCAGTGGTCTCAAGGAGTTAAAGAGGTTAAAGCTGTGTTTAAACAGTCCTGATGTTTATAAAATGTATGATTATGGTATTCAGACTGAACGCAACAAAAAACACTATTCAAGTGCCCTGCTCAATCAGAACACGATCAAGAAATGTACTTGTGATACATAATACCAGGCTCTCATCACCTTGAATTTACTATAAAAATGTTTTTTTCAAAACGTTAATAAAAACCTCTTGTCGAGGAGAAAAAAGCTAAATTTCAGAAAACCTCACAAAGTTTGTTTTACTAATATAATCAATATCAGACTAGTTCAACCAGTTTGCAGTGACAGCACCTTTAATCTAAAACTAGGGCTGCTTACATAGGATCCCTTACAGCTAAGGCCATCATCTGAGCATCTGAGTGAACCCTAGGACCAGTTTTGTCATTTGTATGGAGGGAGGTGATCCTGCTAGTACTGGGTAGAATGACAAATATAATGCTGGGATGTCCCTTCCCTTTTTAATAAGAACCATTTTAATAACCAAAGAAAATCTGAGAATATTAAATGTGCGAAACAGTGACAACAAAACTGAACCATAGATTGATAAACCTATGTAAGTTTTGCTTTCTAACACTAGACCTACAGGACCAGCAAAAACTGTGCTAAATGTTGTTTCATGTCTTAAAGCTGGAGGATAAGAAGCCAACTAGACAAAATGAGAATTTTAAGAGAAAGAATTTTCCATTCCTCCTTAATCAAAGCAGCGGTTATTATTCAGTCACCTGTATGCCATTCCTTTATGTCTGCTTCCTCAAAACAAAGTGGAGTACTTCAGATGCAATGGACTACACAGCGCGAGGTGATTGGTCTACTACTTTTTTCATTTGAAACATGACCGAAACATTTCTGACTCAGACATTTAGCTAAATGGGTTAATGTTAGTGTGTTTTGCAGTGTCTGTATGTTGCCTTGTCTGCACTTATTTGTAGCATACTGATATGGTAATGACAAAAATCATGCCTGATGAAGAATTGCATGTACATGATGAACGAGTAGATCCTACATCAGTGCTCAAGTGTTGCTAGATATAAACACTGATCTTAGATCAAGACTTGAGCAGTGAATTTTTGAATATAGCCCCAAGAAAGTGAAAGTTGAACTGTGGGAAAATGCCTTAGCAAAGCTTAACAAAGTACTTCAGTGTTTCCCAACTCCAGCATTTTGTCCTGTCTCTTTCGGGCTGTTTCACAGTTCACACTTGCTGTTTTTGTATGCTGGTGCGTGCAATGTTGTGCTTTCTGGAAAGTGTCTAAGGCTACGTTTACATTACAAGCCTCATTGGTCAAATCTGATCTCTCTGACACGATGGTTCACACTTGTCAAGGTAAGTGATTCAAATCTGTCATTAATGCAAACGAACCGGCATCCTGAAATGACCCGCATGTGCACATCCTACTCAGTAACGTCACGTTAATGAATCACGCGTGTCGCGTACATCATCAGCAAGCAAATTAACGAGCAGAACGAGCCTTCACTGTGAAGATAATTTACTCTGAACATCTCTCAGCTGTTCATTATTAGAGCGAGATGAAGGCGAAACTGGTGAAATGTGCCACTTTTCTGCTGTTTACAGGCTTTAACTTATGTTCGGCTCTGCTGCCATGGTAAGGCTGAATGATGGCGCACGCGCAGTGGGGAAAAAAGCACATGAATTCCGATCTGAGCGTTCACATTAAGGTCGCATGGCCACAAATCGGATACGTATCGGATCTAGGACCACACATGAAAGTGGCTTGGGTCAGATTTGAAAAGATCATACTTGCGTGTCCACACAGCTCTGAAAACATAAGGTCTGAGTCACATTAGGGCAAAAAATCTGATTTGTGCCACTTCAACCTGGTAGTGTGAATGTAGCCTAAGTGTGTCCCCTTTCTATAAGCTAAAAAGCTAAATTCACATTAAACACATCCTTTTCCAACTATAGCATCAGCAGTATTAGAAATCCTAGAAATTAGAAAAATAGTATAAGAAATCCTCTGACAAAAAATCGTTACATGCATCATTTTCTGATGCCTTAATGTCAGTGCAGATCCTGGCTGATAAGAATGACTTCTGTCTCTTGAGATACTTCTTATCCGTTTTAGTCCACTCTTCTAAGAACTTTGCTGCTTCATGTCTCCAAAAAACATTGATACTCCCACATTCCAGGATGACAAATGTAGGGTGTCTGTATGCGAGTGGGTTAACAGACTTGGGACATAGTGACAGTTTGACTGACCAACAAAATCACCAGGCATCAATCTCAGGTTGGAACAACAGGTAAAATGCTGAATTAGACACCTGAGCTTTTGCTGAAATGAGCACTCAGTTTGAGGAAGAGTGACCTATAATGGACCTTAAACTCGAGACTGGTGTAATCCTTACTTTATAGGGTTGGCGATGTTATAAAAGCAAGGGTACACATAACCATGTTTTAGAAAATAAATGAATATGACTGATTTTTTTGGCAGAATGATTTTCAGGTCACAGTTTGAGGGGGTAGGAGTGATGAGGAGACCTGAGTCAGAGTAGTGAAGTGAAACTTTTCTGTTTTCAAGATAGTCTTTGTATATCCTCTCTTTAAAGGAAATAATGCGCAAGAGACCTATTAGACTTTTTGATGTGCTGCAAAACTTGTGCTCTAGACCCCTAGTGATAATTTAACTTGAGAATTTTTTTTAGTTTATTTTTGTTTTGTGTTGCTTGTTGCCATTGTTTATTGTCAGCGCGTTTGATTTTACGCTCATCAAAAAAAAAAAAAATATTGAAATGGACCCCTGCAGCCCACCCTCACCCTTCATATAGTTTTGCGTTTTCCCATGCTCCAACACACCTTATTCAGCATGTAAAGGGGTTGGTGATTAGCTAATGATATGACTCCAGTGTGTTAGGTTAGAGCAAGCACAACAGTATGCAAAGCAGGTGGGCACCCACACTGGAGTTGGGAAATCCTGCCTCATCTTACTGTAGTTTTTCTCCCCATGCTGTTTATATTGTGGCCTACACTCTCATAAAAAAGGTACAAAACTCACTGGGATGGTACTCTCAAGGGTACATCTCAGTACCTTTGCTCAGGAAACAAAACTGTACCATAATCAGTTGAAATTATATTTTCTATAATGTAAGTTGAATTGACTCCACACACCCCATCTTGTTTCTAGGCCTTTTATTTTATTGTTTTGTTTTAAAATATTAGGCTGTGAAAATGTACAAATATGTACTTTTCACTTGGGAAAAACTTTAAGGTACACAATTGGACCATCACTGTTGTACCTGTAAATGACAAATGTACCTGTACAGTACCTTTATTTCTAACAGTGTATAAGACAAGTGCCTTGTGTTTTCCTTAAACGTTTTAAGCCTTCAAAAAGTTTGTAATATTAAAAAAGAATTGGCAGTAAGACTTGAATATCAACAACTTTTTCCTTTCAGCTTTAGTGGGAAAATTGTTTGACACCTGAAACGTCGCGAAAAGATATGATGCATGCATTTATCATCATGTCTTACAGAGAGAGATGTTCAGACTACAGCCTTTCTAAATGAAGTCCTAAAATGGCTCTATATGGCAGAGGAATGTCTCTCGCATAATGGTTCAGGTGAAAAAATATAACAATTAAATAAAATGTCCTTATCAAGTTATGGTGAAGTCAGGGAGGCCAAAGGTACAGAAATTGCAGCAAATGTGTAACTAGAGATGGGAACGTGATATACAACTTTAGGTTTATCGATAAAGTTAGTAAGAAATGACATCATGAGGGAAGCAAATACTGCTTTTTCAAAAAAGAAAAAAAGTATCACTTGCAATTTACTATTGCATGATGGAAGTATTTAGAATGAACAAATGTACCAAATTAAGTGATTAAGAGATGATTTTTAGGGCAAAAAGCAAGTTGCTATGAAATGGAAATAAAATTCCTAATAAATGCCCAACTTAACAATTGAGCAAGACAAATGAAAAGGACAAATTGGCACATTAGTATCTCAGAGGACAAATGTCTTTATTTGACTGTATTTATTTAATTAAAAATGTTACAGTGGAAATATTACAAAACATGTCAAATCTGAAAAGGTCACTTTGGTCTAGGAACACTTGAAATTGGTATGCTATGAAAATGAAACATGTATTCTGAAGATGTCCAGCAGGGAGAGTCATAGCTTACCAGATAAACCTCTGTCTCTAGAACCTACCACTGAAGATTAAACCCCTTTTGTGATGGGCAGTGCCATTTATTTTGAGTGCTTTGTCAGCCCACAACACCCAAAAAAATCTTCCGTTTTGCTTTCGCTACATTTGGTCCACACCGCTGCAAATTTTGCTATGGTCCTAAAGCTCCAAGTGAAGTCCACTGATCTATCTGGCTACAGTGAGCCTGGCTGAACACAACGCCTGTCCAAGATAGTTGGAAGCATGACACTTGTATATACCAGAGTCCTCTGGCTGGACTTGAGCCAGAGTGAGGGTGCACAGGCCGTCCTCCTTGTACTGGATCTGCACACGCTGAGTTTCTTCAAGTGGCTCATCATCAAGCAGCCACACCACCTCTGGGTCAGGGTAACCTGCAGGAAAGACAGGCATTTATACACTGCATTCATGCAGTCCCAAATTTATTGTACAGTGATGCAGAACTGGCTGATTGTAGATCATATTGTCCGTGGGGATTCACAGTTTTACACACTTCCAAATAGAAACGTGCAACTAAATGGCAATTTTAGTGCAGAATGCTTCAAGTCTGTGGTTCACGTCTGCATTGCAGGCCAGGGATACATAATTTATATAATTAATAATGAAATGTCCTTCTAGGAAAAGGAGAGAAACATTCTCAGTGTCCGTTTGTGTAACAAGATTTTATTCTACATCATTCTAGGCTAATTCTATCAAAATGATGAACATATACATTTGTTTGTATATTGCAGTCCAGCTCAGTTGTGGCACATTAAATGCATCTTATCTTATTATGTTAGCACTTACCCTGTATGACGCAGGCCATGTATACAGTGGCACCGCAAGGTTCTGTGAGATCATGAAAAGTTTGAGGGAAACTTGGCTGACTCCTCAGCTGCTGCTCGAGAGACGCAACAGCCTGTTCTGCCTCCTTCCCCAAACCTCTATCTGAAAAAGGGAAAAAGGATATGGACCATTCTGGTGTTGAGTTAAAATCATAGGTGGTTTTACAGGAGACGTCAGCAGTGGCACGCTGTAGATATTCAGTTGTGTGCACACGCATTACCACTCATCGGCATGGAAGGAGACTCGGACCCATCTGATCTGTGCGAGAGGTGAGCCATCCTCTTCAGTGCCAGCACAGCTTTACCTGTTTTCTAGAACAATCACAGAACCAACTGCTGAGTAAAGCACATTAAATGTTCTGCCACTCTAACAATGCATAAGCTACAAATCCATCATTTCCGGCTCTGCAGTAGGCCTGAGTTATGGGGCAATGTAACTAGATATAGTCAATGATTGACAAGTAACTAGATGGGACTAATTATTTTAAACTGCTTGCTAAATAATATGAAATAACATGAGCACATCATGTTCGATTCACTTTCACTGTTAAAACATTGGGTTATTATGGGTATTTATAAAAGTACCCCCAACCATTTATGCATTTTGTAAAGTTCTGAAAGCTTGTCAGAGTTGCCCAAGGTTAGTTGAGGTGGCTAGAGTGGACAATCCGTATTTAGGGGACATGTTTAGGAAGCGTACCTGCCATCTTTGTCTGGCCAGGAATCGTCTCATCTTGTCCTTGTTGAGGGTTTTTGTGACTCTGTGAGAGGAGGAAGATGAGGCCATCCATGCATGGGCCAAAGCCTGTTCACAAGACATTCTGGCCCTGCGTTTGTTAAAAATACAAATTAAAAGAGAAGAGTCAGGTTTTCTTCATTATTATAAACTACGGCAATTTCTGCAAACCTTAATTTTATTTTTATAAAATAGTTTTACAACAATAATAATCACAAAGCAGCTTTATAGAAATCCAAGCACCTTTTAGAGGTCCAAGCCCCTAATGACCAAGGTTACAGTGTCACAAAAAACTCCCTAAGAGCATTGAACCTGAAGAGGAATCCATTCTCCTCTAGTCAATACTAAGTAGCAAAACAATAACAATGAGACTTAAGAATTATAAACAAGGTGAGTCCAATCATTAAACGGAAGCATTCAGATTAACACGTGAAAACACATGACTAGTGTTAGACGTCTGTCAAAAATAAAAAAAAAAACAGCCTGGGAATTAAATTAAGTGGACTAGTAAATGAGGTCATTACAGGGCTCAGTTTGAGGGGGGGACACGAGATGATAATATTTATTTATTTATAAAATAAAAGGTAAAAATATATATATAAAAAAAAGGCAGCACTGCCAGCTGCATACTCTCCTGTTTGAACTCATGATCCATCACCCCCTACCCCCCCCCCAAAGGCAGTGTACTTAGCGCAGGGGTACAATGTTAATGACTGATTTGGACAATTTCAGCAGTCACCACCCTAATATATAACACGTCCTGATGGTTCTACAGGGTGAGTCAAGTCAGGAACCACCCATTATCTGTAAGACACATAGTGAAGGTTTCCTAGACATCGAATAAGTCTAATCTTGAACCAAATTTTAGTGTAAATAGAGTCTAGGTTTAGGCTTAATCTGGGTCTGGGAATCTGGTCCTTAGTGTTTTATTCAAGACTGTGATTTACAGATATTTAAGTAATTGCTCACTTTTGACTCACCTTGTACATTGATCTTCTTTTCAAAGATCCATTTTTTTCCCAGACTGGTTCTTCCCAAAGATCTCATTTTTAACCAAAAGATATATTTACTACATAAACTTGCCATTAAAGCGAACAGCTAACATTGAAAGACTTGGCTCAGTTTGATGTTAATCAATTCCAGACCTTTTCTCCTTCTTCAGCAGCTTGCAGATAAAGTCCTTGGCCTCATCTGTGATGTCATCAAACTCTGGGTCAAACTCCCAAGATGCTGCAGTGACCAGAGCCAGCGTCTCTGCGTCACTGCTTCCCTGAAACGGTGACTCCCCACTCAGTCTGACAGACAGATAGTGAAAGTTATGGAGGTGAAGGATGGGTCATTGAGGACCACTGAATAAAGACAATCAAAACTAAAATCTGTTTTGAGGTGTAAAATTATGTCTGCTGACAAATGTTTGCAGGTTAAACCATTTACTCTCTTAGTAAAAAGGGTACTAAACAATCAATGGGGTGGTATCCTTGAGGGTATGTCTTGTACCTTTTAATTTGGGGAATATATTGTACCATATTCTATGGCACTTACATTTAAATTCAATTCAACTGCTTGAACTATATACACCCACTCTTGGCTTCAGGCTTTTTATTTTATTTTTTTGGTTACGAAAAAGGTAAAAATACAAACTTTTCCCTGGAAAAAACGTATTTAAGGTAAAAGATGGACTTTCGGGCCATTCTTGTACCTTTGAGGATACATATGCTCTGTCTTTACCTTGATGGACAAAAATGTACTTGTACATTCTGTAGTTCCACTTAACTTCATGACAGAGAGGGAATTTTGTCCTCTTTTATGCTCAAGTGGGCTGTTTTGCTACTTTCGTGGATCTCATTGGTAACTAATATCCCTCCCCTCTCTACATATTTGTGATCCACACCCTATTATGCTAATTAGTCTAGAAATCAGCAGAAATTGAGAGTTGATGTACTCTTTTAAGTATGATTCACAGGGACAATTATTGGCCATACTGGCCAGTAAACCACAGATAAACCTTGTGGCACTTACAACAAGTATTTACATTATGAAAAAACTGAATATTAACAAGTGCTAAATATTGGCAATACTCACAGGATGTAGCAGATGACCCCAATGCTCCACATATCACTTGCCAGATCCACAGGCTCAAAATTGATCACCTCTGGAGCCACAAATTCTGGCGTCCCATGCATCACCATCAAAGGCCTACCTGGTTCTGTGGAAATTAATTACAGTCTCCTGTTTTATAAAATCAGAGCACCTAGTCATCCCCTTATATCCTCCATTTCAAAGCACACCAGGTGGGTGCTCATGACATGGATGCAGGTCACAAGCACAGATTCCAAACAACTAGGGAGCCAAAATAAAGCGTGATCTCTACAAACAGAATGGCTTATCAGTTTGATAAATTACAATATTTATCTGCAATAATAAATGTTTTTGAAATAAATAACTGCTGACATATAATGAAGAGCACATTTTGTTTCTCTAATAAAGGTGGTATTAATTATATTACAGCATAGGTACTTCTTGTATATGTAAAGCCTAATCCCAGCAACATAGATCATGAAGAAAATTCGTGAAAGTGGTCTATAATGGGTTTTGAAACAAAACTCTTTTTTTATAAAAGGTGGCAGTATCCATAGAACACAATCTGAATCAGGTTAAAAAGACAACCACTAGTAGCAGTTTCCTGTAGTTAATAACAGCAGATGGGCAGAAAGGAGCTTTGAGCTTTACAGCCCAAAACTACTCACTTTCATGTGCGATTTGAAAAATTCCCTAAACATCCACATAGAATTCCCAAAGAGGTTTGGGTTAAATAAATGGAGTCATGCATACACTGCATAAAAAAAAAGACAATTTTGGATGAAGATAAGAATGACCAGCCTGTTCCTGTTTACAGCAAGCGCTCAAGATCATATCAGCTCTTTATTGTGAGCTTTAATCTACTTAGATGAAAGAATTCACTGGAAAAGAATTCATTCAACTTCCATGAACATTTACCAGCTACAAAATCAATGTGACAGAACAGCCTTGAATGCTTTATGCACTATTAAACATCCTTAAAAGCAAATAATAAAAGCACTACAATAAGGTTAATGTCCTTTCACATTTAGAAGTTTTATACTTACCCAGCTTCCTGGCCAGGCCAAAGTCAATGATCTTGATGAGGGTTCCTATAGAGTTGACACAGACTATGTTCTCTGGTTTGAGATCGAGGTGGACAATGCTTTTGCGATGAATGTACTGGACGCCCTCCAGTATCTGACGCATGTACTGCATGCTGTTGGGCTCTGTGTGCTCAAAATTTTCATCCACGATGCGCTCAAACAGCTCACCACCAGCAACACTGCAGCACAGAGACCACGGTATGTCAAGTAAGCGAGCTCATGTAATTTCAAACCTGACAAAGTGCTGCTGTATGAGAACATGAACTTTATTTTTAAGAGCTTGTGGTTTCCTGAAGTTTCCTTTAGTGATGAAGGGATTCAACATACAGTTTCTGTCATAGTTCCATTAATCTATGCTCCAAGACTTTTAACCTGTATCTATGAGAATCACTGGAGCTGGAATCCTCAGGCATGACATTGGTCCATCAAGATCAGCACTTAGAGCTCACTAGAGTTGGGCAAAATACCCTGAAAAAGTAGTGATGGCTGACTACTGAACACACTAGCATAAATGTATTCAGTAACATATTAGTCCAGTATAATACTGATGCTAAGCTTATCACTTTCTAACATGTCCACTACTGAGACTGTTAGTTTGATCATCTCTCAGAAGAGCTCAGTAATGCTGAGATTAATAACTGATCATCACATTGATTTATCAGTCTACTCAGGCTTTAGCTGGAAATTCAGTGTTTGTAAAGAAGCCATTAAATGAGGTCCTCTTTAGAGCTGGTCTAACAGGCATGTTTGCTACATGCTGTGCACTCATTTCAAAAATAGTATTTTAAAAAAGTTCAAAAAAGTTATTTTTTTGTTTAGTTGGAAGTATTCTAAAAGTTATCTCCTAAAAATGTGAAAAGTAACTGTATTCCCCATATAGCCTTTATAAAATGTAACTTGGACTGAAACTTAATTTCTATATTCTGAATACATATTCAATACTTGTATTGTTACATTCCAGCCATGTAGCTCACTCATTCAACAAAAAAGCAAAAATAGCAAATTTGACTTTGCAGTTGGGTTCCCTTGAATGTAAGCTGTACCACAGAGTTTGCAAAGATTAAAGGGAGAGAGAGGAAGAGAGGGGAGGAAAAAAAGAAAAGGCCAGCTTTCCAAGCCAGAAAATGCTGGTCGAGCCAAATTCATCATGCACTCAGATTACAACCAGGACACAGATGGATCATTTGACATGTAATTATAAATTTCGAGTGGGCCAATAAATCCTAACTTCCTTACCCAGGAAATCTGCTCAGCATAGTTTTCAAGCAAGCCTAGCATGAACAGATGTTACGTTGTGAACTTAAACTGGCAATTCTTTGCTGAAGCTTTGTCTGTCATTTTATTTATTTTTCTTTGGTAGCTGGTTCAGTAATGGTTGCTTTGATTTGTTCTGTGATTATTACAGCTAGTTATTCAGTGAGAAAACACAGATGATTTTGTGAATACGAACAATGGGAAGGCAAAAGCAAAGGAAATGCAATTATAGTGCCTCTTCCTGCTTAAAGCTGTGGTTCAATTATGTTCCTGCTATTGTTCAATTTTAAAGCATTTAGCTGTGAATGAAAGATAACCGAATGCCACACACTGCACCATTAAAAACATTTGCACTGAATTCCGTTAAACAAGCCCTCTCAAATCAATGCAACAAAAGATGACATTGAGAAAGACTTTAAAACACTTACTACTCCATGATCATGGTGATCTCGGAGCGGCTGTCATAAGCCCCCAGACACTGCACCAGCTTAGGGTGGTGCAATTGCTTCATCAGCTCAATCTCCTTCCGTGCAGCTTCTTTGTCTTTAGACACAACGGCACGGTAGAACTTCCCAGCACACACCCGACCAGTCTCCTTATGGGTCAGTCTGAACACCTGCCCAAACTTCCCTCTGTGCAGAGATGCAGATAATGACAACAGATGCTACTCACAGTCATGTCAAAATCTTGTAAATCTACATATGCTCTTTTTTTTAACTTTGAAAATGCTGGCTGCCCTTTAGTTTGTATAAACATGTCAAAAATGACAGACCAATGGAAATGGTCAGAAATGACTTGCAATAAAATCTTGTTCCACTAACATACATTAGAAGTTACAAATGTTTTCTCCTACAAAGTTACCAATGTTGAGATATGAAAGTGATGATACACACTTCACACCATCATCTCAGTATTATACTTGGTTTAGCTATGATCATGTTTTAAAGCCGGAACAGAAGTTGCCGAGTCAATGACAGATCAGGTACTCACACTCCTAATTTTTCATGGATGTTGTAGTGATCTTTGACTGTGTGTGTTGTGTCAATGACAACGTCGACAGATGACGGAGTCTCTTCTTGTGGCTCCCCTATGAAATACAATCATAGCTGGTGATAGCAATTTATCCATATCAAATCAATTTAAGTCAATGTAACTACGTTTATAGTCAACACTGTACATATACACTGAGTTGACAGTTAATTGGGTGTCTGTTGCTGCAGAATTTATCAGCCCCCTCTACCCTGTCCAACAATAGAAAGGGACCGCCATAGGACCACCACTGGCTAGAAATTATTAGGGTGTTTTTAAAACATTGTACTTTCAGTGGCACTTTTTAGACACTTCATCATTGTTGGTGATGGGCCTGTCACAATTCTTACATAATCGCCTGATCCCAATTATTTAAGCTCATTGCAATCATTTTTCACAGTCATTAGATTTTACAATCATATAATACTGCAACACGTAGATCACAAATTGGATGCGCTGGGCAAGTAAATAAAATAAAGCTGTAAATGCTTTCACACATGAGACAACTCATGAAAATATCTATTGGGGCTGTAACCTGTTTAGAGGGCAGTGCAAGTAATATAGGTTCATTTGTTAGCCGTGAAGCTAATTCTAATTCTGCTAGCATTATTTTTGTTTACATTTTCAATCTCAAGAAAAAATGCAGCTTTGCTTGGCCCCACACATGATTCTGTGTAACTGTAGACATTTGAGGAAATATATCTTGGAATCAAGATGGCTAATTAGTTAATTAATTAAGGCTTTAGCTAAGTACTTTATTAGCTGCATACAATGAACAACAAAATAAGACATTAAATCGTTAATCGCAATTATTTGACAATTAATCATTAGCTACAATTTCATGACTGTGACAGCCTTAGTAAATGAGATCTCTTTTCATTTACAGTTTTTGTTAGTCATATCAGTGGTCAGCTTCTGACCAGCACTGCTGGCTGAGTGTTTTCAGTTGGTGGACCGCTCTCAACAGTGACACTGACAAGTGTAAGAATTCCACAAACTGTGCCTGATACACTCATAGCAGCACCACATACACTACCATGTTAGTGTCACTTCTAGATGGTAGTCCACTCAAATATTATTTGGTTAGCCATGGTTCTCTGGTGGTCCTTTCCTACTGATGGATGGGGTAGAGGGTGACTGATGTAAAGCAACCGATGGGCTAGTCAGTAACTGTATATGGTAGGTGAATAAATCTCAGAAAATTGCCAATAACTGTAGGTACAGTGTAGATGTATGTAATAAACTTGCAACTCTGTAGTTCAATTTGGATCTGAAGCAGCCAAGCTCTACCTGCAGTGTCCATCTTGATGCAGTCTGACTCTTCGCTGGGGTCACTGATCCCTATGGCATTGCAGGCCCGTACACGGAACCGGTACTCGCCCTGAGGGTGAAGGCCTGAACAGACCCGATAGGTGGTGTCCTTACACTTGCTAGTGAGCTCTGTCCATTCTCCGGAGTCAGATGGACCTAGGCTTTGAATTTCTACCACATAGTTTGTGACAGCGGAGCCACCGTCGTAGCTTGGGCCACACCAAGACAGCACTAAAGAACTAGGGGTCAACTGAGACACGAATGGACATGAGGCAGGGCGCTCAGGCCGATCTACAAGGGAAAACAAGAAGAGGAAGTTATAAGACTTGATGTGACAATGCAGTTGACAAGTATTTTAACAACAGTATGACCAACATTAAAACTAGTGTGAGGTCTAAGAGCAGAATAGAACAGAGTTTTCTCACCTCTGATGTTGAGAATTATTGTGTGCTGAGCTGTGCCTCGTTGATTTCGCACGAACAGTGAATAGCTTCCTGCATCGGCAGGAAACACCTCAGAGATGGTCAAGATGCTGCCGTTACTGCTGCTCTCTATATGGGTGCGTTCTCCATCCACTACAAGCTAGATGAAGAGGCAAAGAGGCAGAGAAGAAACTGTCAAGCACTGTTGATGTGTCCTCCTCTAATAACTCTGTTGAAATGTCCTTTACTTAATAGCTTCATAGACGGGCTGTTTCTGTAAATATCTGTGAGACAGATGGAGTTTGGAGCAGCTTATCCAGAGGCCCTTACAATTGCAGAGGTAGGCAAACATAGCATTAGTAGTAATGCTGATTCTGAATCATATTAAACATCTGAGCAACATGAATCAATTGACCCAATCCAATACAAAGTTTTAAAAACCAGCATTTTAAAACTTAAATATCGTTATCAAACAATGCTATAGGGTTCAGTATCAGTATGGAAAATAAACATGGTATTGTGCCGTTAGTAAGCAGAACAAAAGTATTAATCCACACCTTTTTTCTGTTGTGGATCCAACAGGAAGCTGTAGGCCCTAAGCTTCTGAAGGAGCAGTGCAGTTGAACACATTCACCCACACAGACCTGGACCTTTTCCAGAGGATCCAAGAACTCCACCAGAGGTCCTGACAGAGGAAGACAGGCAGATGTCAGTTCATGCCAAATGACCAAAGCTTGGCACCACTTTGTACATGTTTAGAGGCTGATCCTGGACATGTACTTCTGTTTGTACAGCTGAGAAAATCCCATTGCTAATGGCTAAAGCTAAGGCTAATGCAGTCATATAATACCTTCATGCATCAAAAGATACAAAATGGTAACAAACACACCATTTTAGAACTGCTTTGGGAAATGGTATTTGTAAATTGTAAAAGCCATTTACTACCTATAAATAATTAGCTTCAGTTAGGACCAAACTTGTTTAGGAATATGAAAAGGTGGGAGGAATCAAGATCAACTTATGAAAATAAACCCAAATCCAACCCAAAAACAGTTATTGAACATTAAACTGCAGAGCTTGTGATCACCTCCCTGCCACCAAAATGTCAGTGAAAGTTGTAATCTTCACCATTTATATCTTCATAAGCAGTAACACCAAGAGGTACGATGGGTAGTTCAACCAAAGGACCCAAAACCAGGTTTCAAGATTTAAGGCAAAAAACAAAACTTTACTGCTGATTGAGATAATTGAGAACCTGCATTAACCCAGCAGCCGGAAACCAAAGTGCTATGGCCTCCCCACTTTCTGTTGCTAACCACAACCTTCTCACATGACTGTAAATACAAGGCTCCTTTTTTGCAAAGTCAGGTCAACACCAACTTTGAAACCTTAGTACAGACAAGCACGTCTACACCATCTTTTACCACCACCGAAAAGAATGAAAGAGATGAAAGAGTTCCTATTTACACGTTTACTTGAGATTTTGTGGAGATTTCCTGTCACAGCTAAATCTAAAGCTTCAGCTATGCAGCTTATCATCAAGCTTGGCTTGTTTGGTTTCACCATAGTGTTTTATTGGATAGCGGGTGATCAAAGAAGTGCATTCTTTGATCACCCGCTATCCAATAAAACACTATGGTGAAACCAAACAAGCCAAGCAGAATTTAAGCTGGCCAAAATATGTATTCATCATGGAGAACACTCAGTACCAAACACACTTACCTGAGCTACAGTAGACTCTTCTCCTAGGTGTGACTGCTGGAGTGAGACACAAACCAAACAAGTTAGAAAGACAAGGCAGGAACATATTGACAAATAGGACAGGCTCAAACAGTCATGTGACCACCTAGGAGGAGATAATCGCTAGGTATGGCCTAATTGCTAATCTGAAAGGCTAATTTTACTATTGGCCAGTCCTTCCAAATGCCAGTTCTGTGGTTCACAATTAAAAACACACCGGAAAGTCCTAAGAAAGACCTGGCAGCAGAGCAGATGGGCAGACATTTCATGTTGTGCTTGTTTTGGCCAATACGGGGCTGAATGCTGCTATTTACTAACTTCTACCACTTGCCTAGTTTTAGAGAATACTGCTGTGTAAAACCTGACCAGAAGCTAGCCATTGTCATGTGAGTCCACAACATCAACACAAACATCTTTTGAAGACACACGGTAACCCAGGGATTAAAAGCATGTGTGGGGTTACGGGACCAAATCGTGCTACCAGGTAATAAGTAGGGTGATTTGTATAGGCATACAATTTACTGGAATGTAGGCTACCATGCGATATACAAATAGTGCATCAGTTTTTAAAACTGTGTTCCTTTTTTTAGCCATTCATGACGTATGGCATATGTTGATTGCAGCCATGTCTGTCTCTCCAGAACTGGAGCTAGCCCAGGGGAATGTTTAAGGTCTGCTATAGTGGGTCTATAACAGGTCTCTTTTAACTGCATCAGTTTTTAATATGAATATGAATTATGAGCTCATAAAATCACTGAACGTTTTGTGGTAAACGCATCCCTGCCTCTCATGCCCTGGCCGGGCAACTGGGGTCCTTTCTGTGTGGAGATTGCATTGGTTTCCTCTGGGTGCTCTGCTTTCCTCCCACAGTAAAGACAATGTAGTCAGGCCCATTGGAGATGCTAAAATGCCCCTAGGTCTGAATGTGAATGTGTGTGTGTGTGTGTGTGTGTGTGTGTGTGTGTGTGTGAACATATATGTCTGTGTGTCTTCCCTGTGGTGAAGGATCCAGCACCCCCTGTGACCCAGGAGGATATTAGGCTTAGATATTGTGTGTGCGTTCCCTGTTTCATCCTTGCCAAAGCTGCTAGACTTAATGTCTTTTGAGACCCATTTAATATAGCGACTTTATTTCTAAAAAGTGACAAGCAACAAATCTTGCGAGGGGGGAAAGCAATAAATATAACTCATTTTCTTTATTGAGTGTTCCATAGTTTTAATTAGCTTAACTCACCATGGTTGTCTACTGTATGATTATATGATTTTCTGACATGGTGTGCAAAATTACTTAGTTAGTGCCCAATTTCATCAGTCAGCCTTCATCATAGTTTATTACAGTACAGCAGTGCTCATAATACATGAAACAGGAACTCTCCTCTGTTTTTATTACATGGATAACAATATATTGCTGGCCAAACTGGAATTGTGGTTTTCATTTTAGAAATCTGGCCACCTTAATTTTTCAAATTAAATGCAGAGTTTAAGGAGCAAAACCACATGAAATGGTTGCTAATTAGCAAGTATACTAGCTAGCTAGTGTAATAGCTAATCCATCTGAAGTTTTAATAAGTTTGAAAGTATTATGATTGTGATCTGCAACTTAATAAAACATCCAAATTGTCAACTTCAGTAAATTAGCTGTTGCACCAGCTAGCATTTGCTATGTGTAAGATTGGAAAAGTTTCATTGAAATGTTATTATGACTCCTGAATGCTGTACAAAATCAATAGGTTTGTCCTTAAAAACATTTTTGGTTTTCTTTTGGCTGTCCCTTGTAGGCCAGTTGCTTGCACATGAAGCCCACCCTCTGCAAGACCACATCAGGGTTCTGTTTAGGGAAGTCAGAATGCTTTCAGGATAAAAACAGAATTCAAATAAACATCCTTTTGTTAAGTGTGTTATTCTGGAGGCTGATGAACCTTCATGTCCTGTACAAGAGTTTTTAAATAACATACCATTCAAAACACTGCAAAGTGGAGATGCATCCTACATCTCAGACTGGAAGCACAGGAATCCGGGGGGAGCGGAAATGGCCTCTTTCCCAGGACAGGGAATGGAAAGGGTACATTTACCCAATATAAGCCTTGTTTTTAGTCATAATCACTTTTTCACTCATGAAATCTTACTATTTGGAACTTTTCTCTAGACTCTAAGCTGACTTGTTTTATACTACTATTACAGTAGTATTATGCTGCTGTACTGTTTGCATTGCGGCACTGTCTGTCTCTTTATTTGCACCACTTAGCTTAATTTCATGATACATTTTAGTTCTTAATAGTGCACACTATTTAAAGTTCTTAGTTAGTACATCGTACTTTCTGCCATTGTCCACTGCTGTTGTAGTGGTTCTACTATTGTATCTTCTATTGTTTGTTTTGTCTTGCCTACTGTTGAAATGTGCACTATGACACTAGTAGAAAAGTCTATTGTTACCCTGTACACTTGGGTATGTACAATAACAAACACAATCAAATGCAGTTGAATGCAGTCAGTGAATCTGCTGGGCGTGGAATAAGGGTTTATGAAAAGATGCACGCTTCAGTGCTGAGTTCTGTAGGATCTCAGGCTCTGGGATAGTAATGAATAAGAGTAGCTTGCAAAACTTTTCTGAAACTATCAAGCCAGTGTCATTGTTTTGCAAATAAAACTAGGAAGATACCAATGTAAAGGGGAAGTACATACAGGATTAATTGCATTGCACATTTGATCATCTTTTCTCGATGACTTGGAGATGTTAATTCATCAATGTTATAAAATTTCAGCATAGTGAAATGGTTACAATGTGAACAGAGTCATTCACACAGATTATGAAATGCGTCATTCTAGAGAATTGGTCACAGCAGTCGTGATAGGAAGCAGACATCCAAAACGTTTAATGCCTCTAAAAGCTGTATCACATAAAGTTGTTATAAGGAAAATTATAATTAATACATTGCCTAATGTCCAAGACATGTCTTGTAATAGTTTTGCAATAAAGTTTTGGCCTAGAATGTCATTTTAAAAATACATGTAGTCAGGGGAGGCACATACAGGGCAAAATACCCTAAGGTATCTTATTTTTCAGATTTGTCACTATTTTACTAATCAACATAACATATAAAACCTCAGAAGACACATGGTTGTTTTGGATAATAAATAAAATGAAAGTATTTGCATTGTAGATATCACAACTCCTGGGTCCTATCAGCATCACTGTGAAGAAACCCAAGTCTAAGTTTCTCTACAGTGCACAATTTCACATCAAACCTCTCGGAATTACTTTGTTTACATCTGAGCAATTGAATTATGCACAGTTTTTGACAAATCGGTGGTATTTCCCTTTAAGTGTAGCATTATGGTTATGTGTGGCTTGTGAGGTGCTCATACCTTTTCTCTCCTTTTCTCTGTTATCCACACTCTTCTGAAGCGGCTCACTCTGGGGTTTAGGAGTTGACACATTCTCCATGTTCCCTGAACCCTGTTGTTTTGTTGTCTGGTTTGTTTCTGTAAGAAACATAATGATGCAGACTGTAGCTCTACCTTGTGGGTGTACAGCTAGAGACTGTGACCCTTTTGTTGTTTGTGAGTCATCTTCTAGTCAGTGTCACTACCATGACACTACCATGTTAGTATTACTGCTGTGCTGAGAATGCTCCGCCACCCAAATAATACCTGTGATCAGTCCGGCTGATAAATTGTCCCACACATAGGCTATAGTCTGTAATTGTACACTTACATACTGGGCATAAAAGCTAGGTAGAGCTCAGTGAGTGGTAGGTGTTTCTAATTGGGTGTCCAGTCAGTGTTTAGTAGGGGCCATTCCATGCCAACTCACATACGGCCTTTTTGATCACATCATGGATTTTTCATGAAAATAATTCAAGAATTCAAGCAAAAACTACCCTCAAACAGAGAAAAATTTAAAATGGGCGCAAAAGTTAGGTTTTTAGTCATGAGTATTTGCCCCATTTGATTCTAAATGGCATCTTAAATACTGAGTTAAAATGCTTAAAATGATGAACCGAGCTGAAATATAAACTGGGTACAAACATTAAGATTGATATTTCACTCTATATCAACTGGTTTCATGTTAATAAATAGCAACAGGTTAAGACGGATGTACTTTTTATGTCAGATTAAGCAAAGTTCTATATTTGAAATGTAATCTTTCAGTCAGTTTTCAAAATTATTTTTACAAAATGTGTCTGATTTAGGACTCACTTCTGTCATGAATGATTCATTTCTGCATGCGGTGTGTAAAGTTACACCATGACTTTTAAATAGCTTAACAGCTAAACATCCATTTTATCAGACATTTGGACATAATGTATCCATAAAAGTAGCTTGGACAGATCTTTACCTTTGTCCAGACCTATCTTTTCTTTGTCCTGCAATGGTGTAATTGTCCCGTTCTCTGTCCACCTTCTACTTTCTGCTGCAGTGTGTGGTCCTGCTGATGGCTTCAGCTGCAGGCTAATCGTGGACACATAGGTCTCCTTCTGACCGCCTTTGTCACAAGCCATCACAAACAAGTCTGTCAAAGTTCAGCACCTTGAAAAGCAGGGATTATAAAGCCATTGTAAGGTTTTGGTAGCTGAAAATTCTGTGCTCGTCTCTCGCGTTTCCTCCTCAGGTCTGTTTCATTTTCACACTAGATGTTTTTAACGCAAGCTCTCATCGATGTGACCGCATTATTTCACACAGTCCTCTAGACTCAATGGCAGGAAACAGAGACTGCTATTAGAGCTGAGTGCAACAGAATGAGACAGAAAGAGAGAGAAAGAAAGAGGCATGTTCAAGTTCCTCAAACACACCCTCTGCTCTCATTAGGCAGGAAACTGAGGCTATTGGTCCATTACTAGAGTGCTGAGGAGCCGGTCTGACTGCATCACTTTAGTCTTGTACAATACAGGCTAAAAAATTGCCTCAGGAAGTCATGTTATCCTCTATTGTGTGATACTATCCTGGTCTGACTAGTCATCTTTAAATCCCATGAGTATCTACAGTCATGTCCATAAATATTTGGATGTTGGCAAAGTTAGTGAGCTCAAAGTGCAAACGTTCAGCCTTAATTTGAGTGTATTTACTCCAAATCGAGGGAACAGTGTAGTTTACAACCATTGTCATAGTCGCCCATTTTAAGTGCTCAAAAGTAACTGAACAAACTAACAGTCATAAATTTAATTAGCACTTTTAATACTTGGTGTCAAATCCTTTGCAGTCAATCACTGCCTAAAGTCTAGAATCCATAGACATCACCACACACTGGATTTCTTCTGTGATGATGGTCTGCGAGGTCTTTACTGCTGCTGTCTTCCATTCCTGCTTGTTCTTGAGGTGTTGCAGAGCATTCCACTTCTTTCCCTTAAAAACATCTTACATTGCTTTCATAGTATCTTTCAGGTCACTGCTCTAAGAAACGCTGTCCAATGAGTCTTGAAGCATTTGGCTGCATCTAGGCAGATAATATAGCTCTGTACACTTTGGATTCCATCCTTCTGCTTTTGCCCGGTGTCACCAATAAATACAAGAGAATCATGCTGTAACACTACCTCCACCATGCTTGACAGATTTGGTGGTATGCTTTGGCTCATGAGCAATTCCTTACCTACTCCATACTCTGCTCTTCCGATCATTTGGGGTCAGGTTGATCTTTGGCTAATTTGTCTTAATTTCAACTTGGACACTGCTCATGATCTAGATAACTATTGAGAAAGAGTTTTTCTTCACCAGGGAAAGACTTCTTCTGTCATCCACCACAGTTGTTTTCCATGGTCTTCTGGGCCTTTTTTGAGCTCATCAGTGTGTTCTTTCTTTTTAAGAATGTACCAAATAGTTGATCCGCCCACATATCATCTCTCTGATGGTTTGTTTAGATTTTTCAGCCTGATTATGATTGCCTCACTTTGTTCCTCATATTGAGAGTAACAACAGATTCCCAAGGGAAAAGCCCCACTTGAAATCAACTCTAGATCTTTTATCTGCTTATGGAAGCATGAAATAGCTGAGCAGCCAATTGTCCAATTACCAAATATTTATTGACATGACTGTACTGCATTTTGTGATTAAACAACCCAATATTAATGGGCATATTATGTTATCAGCTGAAATTATGCTCTAAAAATACTTTCATAAAAAGGTACAACCAATGTGGTAAATACGACATGCAGAGGTAGGTAGTGAATTGACACAGTTCCAAATACTTAATTTGACCCATTTGTCATGAAACGTGTTTAATTTTAAAGTTGGGAACAGCACCTGGACAGCTTTGCTATTTATCACACATCAAGGGTCCATCAATTACACTTTGTGTCCTTGTTAACAGTGTGTTGTTGTGATAGCGTTTGGTTGTTAAATTTGGCAAAAAAAGATTTATGTACACATTCATTTATTTTAAATTAGAACATTTTTAATGTGGCTTAAATCCATAGGCACTTTCCAGCCCATCTTTGTGTCCTTACACACAATGGATGCATGGGAAATGCAGTCTGTACATTTAGCAACATCTTTCCTATGCCTTTACTGTAGCAGACTGTGCATGCTCCACTTTTCCAATGTTGGAAAATGACAAGGATGTTTAAAAGTGAGGTAAACTGAGTCTCCATGATGATGTAAGACGCAACCAGCTCTAGCCATCCCTCAGAAAAAAGACAGTAGCTGTAGTGATAGCTAGCAAAAGAAGTTATAGCAGATTTCTTGTGTAACTTACTATACAGTATTATATTTATTACAGTTATGTGATACTATATAATTATATGATTTGTTTTCAAGGTTATATTGTATTTGCATGTATATAATCATAAAGACAGTCTTAGTGTAACATATTCTAACATTGATATTTTGCATTAAATACTAATCATATGATGGGGTGGTTGGTATGAGTAGTGTCCCCCCCTAAAGTTAAAATCTAATGGCACTGGGTAACCAGCATGAGAAGAGAGTCTAATTTTGTTGTTGCCTTCAGCTGCATGAGCCTTTCGTCCTACGGGAGGCACCAGTGACGTTATAAATGAGCACACACTAATGATGCTTAATAGAGGGGAAATTGCACACACATGCTCATGCTTATCTTGTAAAGCTATCTTTGTAGGGTATTTCCATAGACCCCTGAAAGTGTGTCATCATTTTGTAGTCACTGTCATTTTTAGCTCTAAACTGGTCTTCTCTATGAGAAAAATGAACAGCGTATTCGAAGGTCAATAATATCAGGACCTGTGGTAAACAAAAATGTTCCAAAGCAGATCTCCATTAGCGTATCAAAACCAGACAGTCAGACAGTTTCAGGGAACTGTTAGTCTACTTGTGCACAGGACAAATGAAACAGCCTGAATCCATCACATTTATTTTGTTTGCACCAAATAAAAAAAAGTGATTTTAAAAAAGTAGAGAAACGCACCCATGAATTACAGAAAATCTGCGCATGGGTAAAAGAAAATCTGAGAACGAATTGTTAATTGTGGGAACAAATTAAGAAATCGTGACCACAAATAAAAGAAAATGTGCATACAAATTGCAAAACCCCCCTCATGGGGTCCAGCCAAATGTCCCAACATCGTCGCACATGTTTATCATTATCATCATGGGGATATTTCCTCAAAGACCTAAATACAAACACACAGAAACACTCATAAACACACATGTACATACACATGAACACACTTCTGAGAAATTCTTGGGAAATGAAGTGGGAATTTGGGTGTGATGTTTTCATTCCTCATTGGCATTTCAACTAATTGTCCGACATCCTGTTCCCACGGATTTCAGTCCACAAACGATTTTTTTCTCAGAGAGGACAAGACAGAGACCTTCTGATACTAGTGCTGCACAGACTCAAACTGTTTAATCACAGACATTGTTTCAACTGCCTCACAATACACTGAGCTCTTCTGGTATTCATACTAACAGATCATAATGACAGGCTTCTCACAGTAGTCACTGAGGTTCATGGATTTAACTCTCATTTTCACTGTGATACACTCCACACAGTAGTCATCATTGTTATCATTGCTTACTATCATCTAAGTACTTCTGTCCAATGACAGACTAATCCTGTTATCACAAACAACAATATAAACTGTTGATGCAGCAGTATTCTTGGAACAAGTATGATAGATTACATGAGTTTATTCGATTTTTCATCAAAGAAAAGGGATGGAAGACAGCTGAACCTATGCTGAAAATATGAGGTAATCCTGCAGTGGTGGATAATGCAGAATTATTTACAATGTGACTGTTTTACAGGCTTTATACTGCTTTTTAATAATCGTTTTTTAATTAACCTCTAAAATGGCAGCTTAAAATTCTTCATGATTTCATGAAATAAAACGACATTCTTCACAAGGAATTCCAAATCAGGTTTACTGGGCATCTAGAATGTTAAAGTGCACACAAGTGAAGGCAGTCCATTAAAAAAAATCGTGCCAGCTGTGTAACATACACCGATCAGGCATAACATTATGACCACCTCCTTGTTTCTACGCTCATTGTCCATTTTATCAGCTCTACTTACTATATAGGTGCACTTTGTAGTTCTACAATTACAGACTGTAGTCCATCTGTTTCTCTGCATACTTTGTTAGCCCCCATGGTCCCTCACAGAGCAGGTGCTATTTGGGTGGTGGATCATTCTCAGCACTGCAGTAACACTGACGTGGTAGTGGTGTGTTAGAGTGTGTTGTGCTGGTACGAGTCACAGAGATACAGATGGACTACAGTCTGTAATTGTAGAAATACAAAGTGCACCTATAAAGTAAGTGGAGCTGATAAAATGGACAATGAGCATAGAAACAAGGAGGTGTCATAATTTTATGCCTGATCGGTGTAGGTACAGGGTATTTTCTCACTTCTCCAGCTGAGGTATTGTTAATGTATCCCTACATCTGCTCTAGCTTCAGTTGTAGGTGGTGAAGATAAAAAAAACAAGCTCCTGCAGCTATGAAGCCCACTGCAAGAGAAGCCCAAGAGTTCATTGTGTCTCGCTGCTTCAGAGTGGCCATGTACAAGTCCACAACCTCCTTAGCACTCCTTAGCCAGAGCTCAACGATAGGAGTCCATTAAGTTCTTAAAAGACCGTGAAGATCATGTTTACCACACAGAGTACTGCTCTCCTTACACTTTTCAAAAGGCTTATTCATAAACCAAATAAAGCACCTGTTACCACCTGTTATGCTGTTCACATGCTGATCACACGTTATATTATTGGTCAATATAGCCAGATTCTTCAATGGGTTAAGCACTATCTTCATGTGCATTTGTATAATGTCCACATCAGGCACATAAACAAACCACACATCTTATCAATTTTTAGAATTTGCAGTGTCATGCCTTTGCCACACTGTATAGCCAATTCATTTGCAGTTTAAAATATTCCCATTTCTGAGTTAAAAAGGTTTTGAACATACTAACTGAAATTTATTTATTACTTGGTGGAGAAGTATTTTACTACTCAGGCAGTCTTTAAGAGTCAAAACTAACCAGACGTCTCATGCTTTTAACACAAGGAATACCAGATAGAAGATTGTATTCTGTCATACATCAGTAACACTCCACTGAGCAGTTCAACCATTGTCTGCTCAGGAAATACTCTGTTTCTTATAGCTGTCTACCCGTTTTACCAGATATCTACTGGTAAAACGTTTGCCCATTCGTCTATGCAGAATTCTTTCACCTGGGCAATGTTTGAGGGGTTTCTTGCATGTACAGCCTGTTTCAAATCTCCCCACAGCATTTTAATGAAATTCAAACCTGGGCTTTG